ACTCGTAGGATTCACAACCCCAAGTTGCATGCCTGGCCTCTTTGTCTCATCCACATTCCCCCTCCCCCTGCCCCATACGACGTCCCCGTTTCTTTTTGTAAAGGGGAGTTTACTATTTTCCGCAGGTACGACTTCCTAATATTTACCAAGTATCCCTCTCTTTCTCTATCTCTTTCTCTCTTGCTGGATGGAAGGCATTCTGATGCTTTATGTTTGTACAAAATGGTTTGTTGTTGTTCTTTTTCCCCCCTTGAAAAGCCCTTGAGCAGAATCTAGCAAGGATTAGTCGCGAGGAGAGAAGGAAAGAGGAGGGGGAAGAAGGCAAAACACTCCTGAATCTATCCGGGTTTTAGTCCAAATCAGTTGCAGTTGTGGGACTTGCTGAAATATTGGCCATCTCTCCGAAAACATCTTTAGGGTTTGCCCTACATTGGAAAATGATTGCCCCCTTCCTTCCCTTTTACCCTTTCATCCTTCCTTTTCTGCATCTTTCTCCTTCCTTCCCTTTTCTTTCCTTCCTCCTTCCCTCTTTCTCATTACATCCTTCCCTTCTACCCTTTTGTCCTCCCTCCTTCTCCTTCCTTCCCTTTTGTCATTCCTTCCTTCTCTTTCCTCTATCCTTCCTTCTCTGTCCTTCCTCCTTCACTTCCTTCCATCCTTCTCTTCCACCCTTCCTTCCCTCTTTCCTCACCGCCTTTCTCCTTCCATCCTTCCCTCCCTCTTTCTCATTACATCCTTCTGTTCCATCCTTTTCTCCTTTTTCCCTCTTTCTCCTTCTTTCCCTTGTCTTTCCTTTATCCTTCCTTCCATCCTTCCCTTCCACCCTTTCATCCTTCCTTTCCTTTTGTCTTTCCTTCCTTCCTTTTTTCCTTCCCTCTTTCCTCTTTCTCCTTCCATCCTTCCCTCCCTTCTTTCCATCCTTCTCTTCCACCGTGTCATCCTTCCTTCCTTCTCTTTTGTCTTTTCTTCCTTCCTTCTTTCCTTTCTCCTTCCATCCTTCCCTTCCTCCCTTTCGTCTTTTCTTCCTTCTCTCCTTCCTCCTTCCCTTTGTTCCCTCCATCCTTCCCTTTTGTCTTTCATTCCTTCTCTGAACTTTATAATTCCCTTCCTTCCTTCTCTTTTCCATCCTCCTTCCCTTTTGTCTTCCCTCCCTTCCACCCTTCCTTCACTTTTTGTCTTTCCCTGCTTCCCTCTTTCTCCTTCCATCCTTCCCACCCTTCCTTCCACCCTTTCATCCTTCCTTCCCTTTTGTCTTTCCTTCCTTCCCATTTTCTTCCCTTTTACCTCTCTCTTTCCATCCTTTTCTCCCACCTTTCATCCTTCCTTCCCTTTTGTCTTTCCTTCCTTCCCTTTATCCTTCCCTCTTTCCTCTCTCCCTCTTTCTTCTTCCATCCTTCCGTTCCACCCTTTCAGCCATCCTTCACTTTTGTTTTTCATTCCGTAACTTTATCCTTCCCTTCCTTCCTTCCCTTCTTCCCTTCTGTCCTTCTCTTTTCCTTCCTTTTGTCCTTCCTTCCCTCCCTCTTTCTCCTTCCATCCCTTCCACCCTTCCTTCACTTTTTCTTTCCCTGCATCCTTCTTTCTCCTTCCTTCCTTCTCTTCCACCCTTTCATCCTTCCTTCCCTTTTGTCTTTCCTTCCTTCCCCTTTTCCTTCATTTGAAACTTGATGTGAGTTTTAACAGGAGCGGACTCACTGAATGCACCAGATCAAATACCTGGATCTGTCCACATGAAGCCCTGGTGGGAGGCAGGTCCCATCATGCAAGCGTCCCTGGATTGTATGGGGAATGGGCCGTGCGACCCCCATTGGGGTGTCTGGACCCCTCTCTTTGCGCCTGGCCCTTGCTGGATTTTGCCCCTTGACTGTTACCTCGTGGGGTTTTGTACTTCTCAATGATTCTGTACTGTCGGCCCGTGGCTTGCCCTTTTGTGAGTCTCAAAAGTTTCAATTATATACCACCAAGTGTCTTAAACTCGATTGTATTTGCCATTGTTTTGAAAGTAATATAACGTATTGCACCTTTTGTTTTTTTTTTTCACACCCTTTCCTTCTTATTATTTTTTTTAGTGTTTTCAAAAATGTAGCCTGTAAAGAACGAGAATCAAGGTATAAATATAATGGCAAAAAAAAAAAACCACAAAGTTCCATATAGACCACAGCTATAACATGGACTGTAGGTTCTTTTTTAATTTGTTTTGGGTTTTTTTCTTCCTTGGTATGTAATAAATATTTATGACAATTGATTGGATTCTTCTTTTTTTTGGGGGGGGGGGGTTATTGATGCAATAAATGTCTACTTTGTATTGTCAAATACTTTCGCAGCCGGAATCACTGGAGTGTTGTGTGGTTTTTGGGCTGAACAGTTGTGTTCTAGCAGCACTTTCTTCTGACATTTCTCCTGCAATTAGCAATTTTGATTCGCATGTGGTGAGTGGGATCCACCCATTGAGAACCACTGGCCTTCGACAATATACCCTAGCTTTTGTTCCCTTTGAATTGTTTATTGCCTGGAGATAGCCTTTGTCCGGGTGGTACTCACTGACCTTTGACTGTTTGCTACCTGGAGACAATAATAACAATTATAATCATCATCATGATCATTTTATTATTATTTTAAGTTTTCTGGGCTAATCAAGGTGGCCAATTGCAACGTTCGCACTTGTCTCAAGCAGCCAGCTTTCCAGGCTGTATAGCCATGTTCCAGAAGCATTCTCTCCCCCAGGCAGGAAGCAGCCAGGCTTTGAAGCTGCAAGGCTATTAAATGCTAATCAAGGTGGCTATTTGCAACATTCACACTTGCCTCCAAAAGACAAGAGTTCTTTCTCCCACCCTGGACATCATTCCACAGATATATAAACCTCACTTGCCTAGTCTCTGAGGATGCCGGCCATAGATGTGGGCAAAACATCAGGAGGGAATGTTTCAGGAACATAGCCAGACAGTCCAAAAAACTCACAGCAACTCAATGATTCTGGCCATGAAAGCCTTTGACAACACAATAATAGCACCACCCAGGTGAAAGGTGTCTCCAGGCAGCAAACAATGCAAAGGAATGAAGACCAGGCTACTACTAAAATAACAATAATAATAATAATAATATTACTACTACTATTATTATGTCACGAGGCAGCAAGTAAACAAGGGCCACTGAGCACCACCCAGGCGAAAAGTGTCTCCAGGCAGCAAACAATGCAAAGGAACGAAGGCCAGACTACTTCTAAAATAATAATAATAATAATAATAATAATAACTATTATTATTATGTCTCCAGGCAGCAAGTAATCAAGGGCCAGTGAGCACCACCCATACTAAGGGTGTCTTAATAACGATGTCTCCAGTCAATAAGCAGTCAAAGGCCAATGAGCACCAGCCAGACGAAGGGTGTCTCCAGGTAGCAAACAATGCAAAGGGAACAAAGGATAGACTACTTCTAAAATAATAATAGTTATTATTACAACCTCACATCCTCTGAGGATATTTGCCATAGATGTAGGCGAAACGTCAGGAGAGAATGCTTCTAGAACATGGGCATATAGCCTGAAAAACCTACAACCCAATAGTAGTAGTAGTAGTTATTATTATTATTATTATAGAAGTAGTCTAGCCTTATTATTATTATTATTATTATTATTATTATTATTATTATAGAAGTAGTCTAGCCTTTGTTCCCTTTGTATTGCTTGCTGCCTGGAGACACCCTTTGTCTGGATAGTGTTCACTGGCCCATGATTACTTGCTGCCTGGAGACATAATAATAGTTGTCGTTATTATTATTATTATTATTATTATTATTATTATGTCTCAAGGGAGCAAATAATCATAGGCTAGTGAGCACCACCCAGGACAAGGATGTCTCCAGGCAGCAAAAATGCAAAGGGAACAAAGGCCGGGCTACTCCTACTCCTACTCCTACTTCTACTACTACTACTACTACTACTACTACTAATAATAATAATAATAATAATAATAATGTCTCCAGGCAATAAGCAATCAAGGGTCAGTGAGCGCCACCCAGGCTAAGGGTATCTCCAGACAGTAAACAATGCAAAGGGAACGAAGGCCAGGCTACTACTACTACTACTTCTACTTCTTCTTCTACTACTACTACTACTACTACTACTAATAATAATAATAATAATAATGTCTCCAGGCAGAAAGTAATCATGGGCTAGTGAGCACCACCCAGGGCAAGGATGTCTCCAGGCAGCAAAAATGCAAAGGGAACAAAGGCCGGGCTACTTCTCCTACTACTACTACTACTTCTACTACTACTACTACTACTACTACTACTACTACTACTAATAATAATAATAATAATAATAATAATGTCTCCAGGCAGTAAGCAACCAAGGGCCAGTGAGCGCCACCCAGGCTAAGGGTGTCTCCAGGCAGTAAACAATGCAAAGGGAACGAAGGCCAGGCTACGTCCATGCAGATACTGACACGCTACTCAAAACTTGCAAATCAAGCTTGCTCACTGCACCCTTTACACTTGTTTAACAGACATTGGTATTTTTCTCCCACCCTGGAGATTATTCCATATGATATATGATATACTCCCCTTGCTTGACTCCCATCAGATCCTCTGAACACAACAGCCATAGATGAAGGCAGAAAAAGGAGAAAATGCTGCTAGAACACATTGGCCATATCACACAACACCCCAGGAATCAGTTTGTTTTCATTCACAACTGGGGCTCCATTTGGGACAACAACAACAACAACGCTCTGCAGAAGAGAAGGAGACTGACCCTGGTGTTAGACAGCTTACCTGTATAAAGGTGCGATCCCTATTGTTCCCAATGAGAATGAATGGGGGGAGATGCTGGGACTTATAGTCCAATTCACCCCAATTGGGCAAGACGAACAACTTACATAACGCAAAGGCGGAATGGGGAAGCGGGTCTTTTTGTCATCTCAAAACACCTCCAGATGGATTGTCTTTTCATAATAACTCCAAAGCAAACATTAAAGTAAGAGTATTATTTTACTCACAACTTCAGATTGGAATAAGTAGTATTTATTGCACGGGAAGAGGAAAAAGAAATATATCCTGGTCCCAAAAACAAAACATTTGAATATTTCTGTCTCTGAGCCACACAAAACTGGCCAATTTGAGCAGCTTCTCTTTTTTGTGTACGTTATAATCGACTTAGAGTTTTCAAGCATCATTTCAGGCACAGCCAGGTTTGCAAAATAGTGTTGTATAATACACAGTGATCGAAGAAAATACCCATCGTAGACCTCCCTGCAATCTGAAAAGGAGCCCGAATGCCTCGCACTCGCTCTCCTTGTTTAGCTTATCAGCATTCCTGTCCTCCCTTGAACTTCTCGCGTCAAAGGGAGTTTGCCACTGGAATGCTCCAATGGAAATAATATTATCATTAGTAATAATAAAAGCACCCAAACCCAGGGAAACAATCAAAGCTCTCCCAACAGATGGCCATCCAGCTACTTACAAAGACATTAGGTCTCAAGCAGAAGAGTAGCCAATGGTTATAATTTAACCTGTTTCGTTCATATACTTTCCTCCTTTCCTTCCTTCTATCTCTTTTGTTCAGTTCTTGCTTTCTTTCATGCACCTTCCTTCCTTCTCTTTCGTTGCACTCTTTCTTTCTTTCTTTCTTTCTCTCATACACTTTCCTTCCTTCCTTCTTTCATTCAATCTCTTTCTCTCATACACCTTCCTTCCTTCTCTTTCGTTCCTTTCTTTCTTTCTTTCTTTCTCTTTCTTTCTTTCTTTCTTTCTTTCTCTCATACACCTTCCTTCCTTCTCTTTCATTTCTTTCTTTCTCTCATACACCTTCCTTCCTTCTTTCTTTCATTCAACTCTTTCTTTCTCTCATACACCTTCCTTCCTTCTCTTTCGTTCCACTCTTTCTTTCTTTCTCTCATACACCTTCCTTCCTTCTTTCTTTCATTCAACTCTTTCTTTCTCTCATACAACTTCCTTCCTTCTCTTTCGTTCCACTCTTTCTTTCTTTCTTTCTTTCTTTCTTTCTTTCTTTCTCATACACCTTCCTTCTTTCTTTCATTCAACTCTTTCTTTCTCTCATACACCTTCCTTCCTTCTCTTTCGTTCCACTCTTTCTTTCTTTCTCTCATACACCTTCCTTCCTTCTTTCTTTCATTCAACTCTTTCTTTCTCTCATACACCTTCCTTCCTTCTCTTTCGTTCCACTCTTTCTTTCTTTCTCTCATACACCTTCCTTCCTTCCTTCTTTCTTTCATTCAACTCTTTCTTTCTCTCATACACCTTCCTTCCCTTTCGTTCCACTCTTTCTTTCTTTTTTTCTTCTTTCTTTCTTTCTTTCTTTCTCTCATACACCTTCCTTCCTTCTTTCTTTCATTCAACTCTTTCTTTCTCTCATACACCTTCCTTCCTTCTCTTTCGTTCCACTCTTTCTTTCTTTCTCTCATACACCTTCCTTCCTTCTTTCTTTCATTCAACTCTTTCTTTCTCTTATACAACTTCCTTCTCTTTCGTTCCACTCTTTCTTTCTTTCTTTCTTTCTTTCTTTCTTTCTTTCTTTTTCTTTCTTTCTTTCTTTCATACACCTCCCTTCCTTCTTTCTCTTTCATTCAACTCTTTCTTTCTCTCTTACAACTTCCTTCCTTCCTTCCTTCTTTCTTCTTTCTCTTTCATTCAACTCTTTCTTTCTCTCATACAACTTCCTTCCTTCCTTCTTTCTCTTTCATTCAACTCTTTCTCTCATACACTTTCTTTCCTTCCTTCTCTTTTGTTCAGCTGTTGCTTGCTTTCTTTCCCTCATATACCTTCCTTCCATCTGTTCTTCCTTCCGTTCATCCTTCCTTCTTTCTTTCTCTTTCAACTCCTTCTTTCTCTCATACACCTACCTTCCTTCCTTCTCTTTTACTCAACTTGCTTTCTTTCCTATATCTGCCTTCTTTCTCTTTCGTTCAACTCTTGCTTTCTTTCTTTCCTTCATACACCTTCCTTCTTTCTTTCTTTCAACTTGCTTTATTTATTTATAATTTATTTATTTACATGTAATATTACTAATAATATTACAATATAATGGTATAGTACAATATAGGAATATTTAGTATTTATTGTGCTATGCTAATAATATAATATATTGTATGTATATATATCTTGTAAGCCACTCTAAGTCCCCTTCGGGGTGAGAAGGGCGGCATATAAATGTCATAAATAAAAAAATAAATTGATTTACCTTATTTATACCCCACCTCTCTCTACCCCAAAGGAGACTCAAGGCGGCTTACATATGGCAATTATTCAATGCCTTGGAACATATACAAACATTAAGCTTAAAATCAACTGAATTAAAATACATATTAAACATTTAAAAGCCTTTCTTTCTTTCCTTCATACACCTTCTTTCCTTCTTTCTCTTTCATTCAGTTTTTGCTTTCTTTCCCTCATACACCTTCCTTCTTTCATTCAACTCTTTCTTTCCCTCATACACCTTCCTTCCTTCTCTTTCGTTCCACTCTTTCTTTCCCTCATACACCTTCCTTCCTTCTTTCTTTCATTCAACTCTTTCTCTCATACACCTTCCTTCCTTCTCTTTCGTTCCTTTCTTTCTCTCATACACCTTCCTTCCTTCTTTCTTTCATTCAACTCTTTCTTTCTTTTTCTCACACACCTTCCTTCCTTCTCTTTCGTTCCACTCTTTCTTTCTCTCTCTCATACACCTTCCTTCCTTCTTTCTTTCATTCAACTCTTTCTTTCTCTCATACACCTTCCTTTCTTCTCTTTCATTGCACTCTTTCTTTCTTTCTCTCATACACCTTCCTTCCTTCCTTCCTTCATTCATTCATTCATTCAATTTCTTTCTCTCATACACCTTCCTTCCTTCTTTCTTTCATTCAACTTTCTTTCTTTCTCTCACACACCTTCCTTCCTTCTCTTTCGTTTCTTTCTTTCATCTCTTTCTCTCATACACCTTCCTTCCTTCTCTTTCGTTCCACTCTTTCTTTCTTTCTCTCATACAACTTCCTTCTTTCTTTCATTCAACTCTTTCTTTCTCTCATACACCTTCCTTCCTTCTCTTTCTTTCTTTCTTTCTTTCTCTCATACACCTTCCTTCCTTCTTTCATTCAACTCTTTCTTTCTCTCATACACCTTCCTTCCTTTCTGTCTGCCATTCTTTCTTTCCTTCCTTCCCTTCCTTCTCCTCATAAGCCTCCTTCTTTCTCTCTTCGAATCCTTTCAAAACAGCCTTGATTCATGAACCCTTGGTTAGAAAAGGCCCCGTGGACCTGGAACAGTTAAAAAAAGTCAAGTTTAAAAGCAAACAAGGCCAGGCCAAGCCAGGCCTCTGTTTGATGGTTATTTCAGAAAATCCAGCATCCTTGCTGTGCTGTGATGCCGTAATGTGCAAACGCAGTATCCCAGGGCAATGCAAGTCCACTTTGCCCGCATTTTCCCGTAATTCGTCTCCTGGAAATCGGGATTATTCCAGCTGCCTCCGTTACCTGAACAAAATCCCTGGGTGGATGGAGGGTTGCAAAGGGCTTAATGGGACCTCTGGAAAGCGGCTTCGATCTCTTCGAGGCTCCTGCCCCTCGTTTCGGGGACCCAGAAGATGGTGAAAACGACGCTGAAGAGGCAGAAGGTGGAAAAGAGCCAGAAAGTGCCTGCTGGTGTGAGGACCCCCTGCGGAGAAAGTCAGGAAGGAAGGAGACAGAGGTTCAAGACGGAGACGCGCCTCCATAGAAAACAACCAGGCATCTCAGTGGATCAGGAAGGCAGAATCCAAGCGCAAAGGAAGAGTAGCCAAGCTATTCTCCGTCATCAACCTTCTCCAATGTGACCCCATCGTGCCACCCCTTCCGTTGCGTGGCTCGCTTACCGTGAGGTCGCTGAACTCCTTGGTGACGAGAAAGGCCATGGTCCAGTTGGTCAAGACGCAGGCACCACTGACTGCCCCTCGCGCCCGGAGCGGGGAGATCTCGGACATCAGGAGCCACGGGATCGGGCCCCATCCCAAGGCAAAGCCTGCAAGGAGAAGGGGACGGCGGTCAATGACGCAGCGGGAGTAGTAAGAGAAAATTTTAAACTAAATTATTTATAGACGGGGAAATATATATATATATATAAAATAAATCCCAACGCTCGCTGCTCAGCCAAAATTATGAAGCTCACAAAAGGTAGAGGGAGTATAGTTGCTGAACCAACTGTGTATTTAAAAATTAGAAACTGGGAACCACTGGAACAGAGAGACTTAAACTGATTCTTCAAATAAATTTCGCTGCCACCATTTCAGTATTTATCAGGCTGAAGTCATATTGAGAGTTTGTTCTGTAACACACACTGTGCCAATATAGTTTGTTAGAGGCTGCTGTGAAGCTGCTTTAGTAATTCTTTGACCACAAAGGTATTCACACTGAGGCTGGTATAAGTTGAATAAAAGAACTAGAATGTTTATTGAACAGGCTTGAAATATTCAGGTACACATGCTTAATGGTTTCAGTAAAATACTGGCATAAAAATTTTGTGGTTGTGTTAGAGTCAAAATCTTAAAATCCTCTGGGTTACAAGCCTTAAAAGTTCCACCACAGAAAATTACTTCAGGGAATGAATRTCTGAAAGTAACTCCCAAAAATGCCCCTTAGGAACCTAGTCAAAAACCCTGAACTAGACTTCCTTAGGAATTGAACATACTAATGGGGGTACTGCTCCACAAAACAGTATTCTAGCTATTTACTCAACAGCTTCTTTGACCACAAAGGTATTCACACTGAGGCTGGTATAAGTTGAATAAAAGAACTAGAATGTTTATTGAACAGACTTGAAGTATTCAGGTACAAATACTTAATGGTTTCAGTAAACCACTGGCATAAAAAGCTTGTGGTTGTGTTAGAGTCAAAAAATCTTAGTAGTAGTTATTGTTGTTGTGTGTGCCAAGTAGATCCACATTCCAAGGCAGACATTCCAGACAATGGCTCCTTTTCCATAAAGGTCTCTACTTACCTGCGATGAAGAGTCCCAGGCTCAAGACGGACAGCCAGGCGAGATTCGGTCCTTCCGTGACGGCAAGATTAAGCTGCGAGTACAGCAAATGCACCTGGGAGGAATTGTTTGGGATCGGAAGGAACATCTTGGAATACATCCCAAAAGTGGCCGTGCTGGCAGCCATGATGAGCCCTAAAATGATAATGCAAAACATCAGGATATAATACAATTTATGTAATATAATATAATATAATATAATACAGAATACAGTCAGGATATAATCTATATAAATAAAAATGTAATGTTCGTTTGTGGGATTAACACAACTCAAAAACAATTTGGACGGATTGACACCAAATTTGGACACAAGACACCGATCAGGCCAACAAGTGACCATCACTCATTGAAAAACACAGCGGAAGGGACTTTAAAAAGCCAAATAAATAAATAAATAAATTACAATGCATGTGCAAAACAACATATATATATATATATATATATACACACACACACACACACACATACACACACACACACACATATGCAAACACACATATATACACATTTATAATGTAATGCAATATAATACTACTACTAATAATAATATATTATTATTATATTATAATCCTATTATAATATGATATTATAACATGATATTATAAGAAGGATTCACCATGGATGATGGGACTTGCAGTACTTTCACTCACTTCCTTACAGCACTGTGACCCACACCAATGACGGATCAGGACCAAACTTGACAAACAGAGGCCCAATGGCCCACTTTACAACCTGGTGTGGTTTAGGGCAGGATGGACCATGGACGATGGGATTTGCAGTACCTTCACCCGATTCACTTCCCACAGAACACTGTGGCCCCTACAAATCACAGACTAGGATCAAACTTGGCACACAGAGCACTGATGACCCACTCTACATCCTGGCGCAGTTCTACGGGGGGTAGGCCATGGATGATGGGACTTGCAGTACCTTCACTCACTTCCTGAGACTACTGTGACCCTCACCAATGACAGATAAAGACCAAACTTGGCATGCAGAGCCCCTATGACCCACTCTACATCCTGCTGCAGTTTGGAGGAGGGTGGACCATGGATGATGGGACTTCAAGTACCTCCACAAACACAACACTGCCCATCACCAAAGTGAAGGCTTTCATCCTAGATTATCTACCATACCTGATAGAACCAGAAGGACTTTGCGCCCTGTTTTATCAATCAGCAGAGCCGCCACGGCTGTGAAAAAGACCTGGATGGAGCCCACAATGACTGAAGCAGCGCCGCTGTTCTAAAAAACAAAAGAGAGCGAAAAACCAATATATTTTGTGCATTAATACATGAGTGCGGATGCCCCCCCCCCCCCAAGGCCAACAATGCACACCCGTCACCTTGAAGTTGGCATCTTTGAAGATGGTTTCCGCATAGAACATGATGGCATTGATGCCGGAGACTTGCTGGAAGAACATCATGGAGATGCCGATACAGAAGGGCTTGTAGATGGACGGGTCCTTGAACTCGGCAAGGGTGAGCGCCTCCTGGAAGAGGCAAGACAGGCCAAAGTGTTAAAAAGAACAAAAACAAACACACCAATGTGATCTCTCCCATAGGAGGATATTTACAAGGACAAGGTTCTTTATACTTCCTACTTTCATTCCGCGCTGGGCTTCTTTCTCATGCAGATGAAACAGCTTCACTCTCACAGAGCCTCTTCTCACACCAAAGTTACACAGGAGCTTCACATAGTAGCTTTACACACAGCAGTCTTCACACTAAAGCTTCACACACTGGCCTTCTCTCATTGAAGCTTCTCACACCAGGTCTTGTCAAACTGAGGCCCACCTCACACTGAGGCCAATCTCACACTCAGGCTTTCTCACACTGAAGCTTCACACATGATGCCCTTCAACCTGGGGCTTCTCTCATCGAAGCTTCTCACCCCAGGCCTTCTCAAAATAAGGCCTACTAACACTGAGGCCTACTGACACTGAGATCTTCCCACACTGAAGCTTCACACACGATGCCCTTCAACCTGGGGCTTCTCTCATCAAAGATTCTCACACCAGGCCTTGTCAAACTGAGGCCTACCTCACACTGAGGCCCATTTCACACTGAGGCTTTCTCACACTGAAGCTTCACACACGATGCCCTTCAACCAGGGGCTTCTCTCATTGAAGCTTCTCACACCAGGCCTTGTCAAACTGAAGCCTACCTCACACTGAGACCTTCTCACATTGAAGCTTCAGACAAAATGGCCTTCAACCTGGGGCTTCTCAAACTGAGGCCTACTAACACTGAGGCCTAATCACACTGAGACCTTCCCACACTGAAGTTTCACACACGATGCCCTTCAACCTGGGGCTTCTCTCATCAAAGCTTCACCCCCAGGCCTTTTCAAACTGAGGCCTTCCCACACTGAGGCCTACTCACACTGAAGCTTCACACACAATGTCCTTCAACCAGGGAGTTTTCTCATCAAAGCTTCTAACCCCAGCCTTATTTACACTGAAGCCCATCTCAAATTGAGGACTTCTCACACTGAAGCTTCACATGCAATGGCCTTCAACCTGGGGCTTCTCTCATCGAAGCTTCACCCCCCTCCAGGCCTTCTCAAACTGAGGCCTACTAACACTGAGGCCTACTCACACTGAAGCTTTACACACGATGCCCTTCAACCTGGGGCTCCTCTCATCAAAGCTTCACCCTCCATGCCTTTTCAAACTCAGGCCTTCCCACACTGAAGCTTCACACATGCCCTTCAACCTGAGGCTTCTATCATTGAAGCTGCTCACCCTAGGCCTTCTCAAACTGAGGCCTACTAACACTGAGGCCCATCTCACACTGAAGCTTCACACTCAATGGCCTTCAACCTGGGGCTTCTCCTGTGGCAGAAAGAAGGGGATCAGACTGGATGGCTCAGGCGGTCCTTCCCATTCATATCTATCTATCTATCTATCTATCTATCTATCTATCTATCTATAATATCTATAGCTGGATGACCATCTGTCGGGACGGATCGAATGGTGCCTTCCTTTGTGGCAGAAAGAAGGGGATTGGACTGGATGGCTCAGGTGGTCCTTCCCATCCATATCTATCTATCTATCTATCTATCTATCTATCTATCTATAATATCTATAGCTGGATGACCATCTGTTGGGACGGATCGGATGGTGCCTTCCTTTGTGGCAGAACGAAGGCAATCAGACTGGATGGCTCAGGTGGTCCTTCCCATTCATATCTTCTATCTATCTATCTATCAATCAATCAATCATGTCTATGGCTGGATGGTCATCTGTCAGGAGGGATCGGATATCTATGGCTGGATGGCCATCTGTCAGGAGGGATCAGATGGTGCCTTTGTGGAAGAAAGAAGGGGATCAGACTGGATGGCTCAGGTGGTCCTTCCCATTCATATCTATCTATCTATCTATCATATCTATGGCTGGATGGCCATCTGTCGGGAGGGATCGGATGGTGCCTTCCTTTGTGGCAGAAAGAAGGGGATCAGACTGGATGGCACTGGGGGTCCTTCTCATTCATATCTATCTATCCTTCTGTCTATGTCCGGATGGCCATCTGTCTCGAGGGATCTGGTGGTGTCTATGGTAAAAAGAAGGGGGTTGGACTGGATGGCCTTGGGCGGCCCTTCCCTCTGCTCCCTCACCTGCTCTCCCGCATGGGCCTGGAGCGCCAGGCATTCCCGATGGTGCTCCACCCGAGGCCCCCGCAGGAAGCGCAGGGCGGCCAGGGCTTCGTGTTCCTGCTTCTGCCGCAGGAGGAGGAAGCGGGGCGTCTCGGGCATGAAGGCCATGAACCCCAACAGGAGGCAGGGCGGGACGCAGCATAGCACCGCCAGCCAGCGCCACTCCAGCACCAGGCCTGAAAGAGACACACAGCCACCTTCAGCTTCGAGTGCTAAATCCGAGGGTCCCCAGAGGTCATCTAGTCCACCCCAGCAGGACGTGGAAGCCCAGCAGCAGACTCAGCTTGAAATCCATGCATATCATTTGTATTCCCTCCAAGTGATGGTTGAACCTTCTTGTCTTGGATAGGCACGTGAAATAATTTTAAGAAACTATTTCAAAAGTTTCAAAAGTCATTACAAAGTTAGGGAGCACTTTTTAGTGTTTCTATATATATATATATATAGTTTTATTGTGGTTTCCAAGCACTGAGAAGAGTTTATCCTGAGCCCAGCTTTCCAACAGAGACAAGTCGCTCAACGGGCGAGGTATAAATAAAGTTTATTATTATTTATAAAGTTTATTATTATTTATAAAGTTTATTATTATTATTATTATTATTATTATTATTATTATTATTATTATTAAAGGTGCATAATTATAGGGCATTGCCTACCAGCCGTATATGCTCCCAAGATGCCAATCACCACCATCAGCTGAACGCAAGAGCCCAGCATGCCACGGACTCCAGAGTGAGCGATCTCGGAAATGTAGATCTAGAACATAAAACCAGGAAGAAATACACAGCATTATTATTATTATTATTATTATTATTATTATTATTGGACATGAATCCTAGAGTCGGAAGAGACCCCCAAGAGCCATCTAGTCCAACCCCCTTTAGCCAGGAAGGGCGATAGAAACAACAACAACAATCCTAGAGTTGGAAGAGACCAACCCTCTTCATTATTCATCAGGAAGGAAGATGGAATAATAATAATAATAATAATAATTATTATTATTATTATTATTATTATTATTATTATTAAACTCCTAGAGTTGGAAGAGACCCCAAGGGCCATCCAGTCCAACCCTCTTCAGCAAGGAAGGATGATAGAAATAATAATAATAATAATAATAATAATAATAATAATAATATTCCTAGAGTTGGAAGAGATCAGCACCTTATATTATTATTATTATTATTATTATTATTATTATTATTATTATTATGCTCCTAGAGTTGGAAGAGACCCTCAAGGGCCATCCAGTCCAACCCTCTTCAGCCAGGAAGGATGATAGAAATCATAATAATATTCCTAGAGTTGGAAGAGATCAACCCCTTATATAATAATAATAATAATAATAATTATTATTATTATTATTATTATTATTATTATTATTATACTTCTAGAGTTGGAAAGGACCCCAAGGGCCATCCAGTCCAGCCCTTTTCAGCCAGGAAGGATGATAGTAATAATAATAATAATATTCCTAGAGTTGGAAGAGATCAACCCCTTATATTATTATTATTATTATTATTATTATTATTAGAATTGGAAGAGACCAACTCCTTTCAGCCAGGAGCGAATGACAGAAATAATAATAGTAGTAATAATAATAATAATAATAATAATAATAATACTTAAAAGACTCTGGCACAAGTCAGCCAATGTGGTCCCAGCGGTGATTGGCACTCAGGGTGCAGTGCCTAAAGACCTTGGCCAGTACTTAAAAACAATCGGCGCTGACAAAATTACCACCTGTCAGCTGCAAAAGGCCACCCTACTTAGATCTGCACACATTGTTCATCGATACATCCCACAGTCCTAGACACTTGGGAAGTGTCCGACGTGGTATCCAATTCAACAACCACCAGAGTTATCTTGTTTGCTGTGGACTCATCTTGTTGTGTATCAAATAATAATAATAATAATAATAATAATAATAATAATAATATACGAATGAATCAGATGGGCCTGGTTTTCTGCTCCTTCCCCTAATTATGATAATAATAATAATGATGATGATGATGTCAGATGACCCTGCTCCTTCCCCATATAATAATAATAATAATAATAATAATAATAATAATAATATATGAATGAATCAGATGGCCTTGGTTTTCTGCTCCTTCCCCTAATTATGATGATAATAATAATAATAATAATAATAATATACGAATGAATCAGATGGCCCTGGTTTTCTGCTCCTTTCCCTAATTATGATGATAATAATAATAATAATAATATACTAATGAATCAGATGGCCCTGGTTTTCTGCTCCTTCCCCTAATTATGATGATAATAATAATAATAATAATAATAATATACGAATGAATCAGATGGCCCTGGTTTTCTGCTCCTTCCCCTAATTATGATGATGATAATAATAATAATAATAATAATAATATACTAATGAATCAGATGGCCCTGGTTTTCTGCTCCTTCCCCTAATTATGATGATAATAATAATAATAATAATAATAATAATATACTAATGAATCAGATGGCCCTGGTTTTCTGCTCCTTCCCCTAATTATGATGATAATAATAATAATAATAATAATATACTAATGAATCAGATGGCCCTGGTTTTCTGCTCCTTCCCCTAATTATGATGATAATAATAATAATAATAATAATATACGAATGAATCAGATGGCCCTGGTTTTCTGCTCCTTCCCCTAATTATGATGATAATAATAATAATAATAATAATATACGAATGAATCAGATGGCCCTGGTTTTCTGCTCCTTTCCCTAATTATGATGATGATAATAATAATAATAATAATATACTAATGAATCAGATGGCCCTGGTTTTCTGCTCCTTCCCCTAATTATGATGATAATAATAATAATAATAATAATAATGACCCTGCTCCTTCCCCTTATAATAATAACAACAATAATAATAATAACAATAATAATAAGTAAGGTAAAGGTTTTCCCCTGACATTAAATCCAGTCGTGTCCAACTCTGGGGGTTGGTACTTATCTCCACTTCTAAGCTGATGAGCTGGTGTTGTCCACAGACACCTCCAAGGTCATGTGGCTGGCATGACTGCATGAAGCACCATTACCTTCCCGTTGGAGCGGTACCTATTGATCTACTCACATTTGTATGTTTTTGAACTGCTAGGTTGGCAGAAGCTGGGGCTAACAGCGGGAGCTCATGCCTGTTCTTTATCTTTTGACCCCACATGAACTGCCTGGCTCAATACTATTGAATTCTGGGAGTTGTAGCTCCATAGAAGAAGTCCAAATGGGCATCGCAGCCATTTTCTTCCTTACCGGCACAGCCAATGAAGTGACGCCGCTGGCCACACCGGTCAGGACCCGTCCCAGGTAAAGCATCCAGGCGTTCTGCGCCGAGAGGATGACCGCGAAGCCGAAGACGAAAGGGACGGCACACAGCATCAGGGTCAGCTTCCGGCCTGCCTGCTCCACCAGGAAACCCCCCAGGATCCCTCCGGCGGCGGCACCCAGCGTCACGACGGACTGGACCCCAAAGAGAAGGAAAGAGAGGGGAACAACCGAGCCCGAGGCGCCCACGAGATGGGGCAAGGACGGGGACAGGCCATACTGACCCCAAACCAAGACTCCTGGCTGGCGTCCAGCTGCAATTCCGGGCGGACGCTTTGCTTCAAGCTCGGGATGGCCGGAGAGCTGTAGCCCAGGACGAAGCCAAAGCTCAGCGGCCCCAAAACGGAGGCAAAGGTGGCCAGGTAGAGGCCCCGGTTCTGGACCTGGCTGCAAGGAAGCACAAAGGAGGAGGAGAATGATGATGATGATGATTATTATTATTATTACTAGATGCAGTTATACTATATTGTTCTCCATCAAAGGAGACTCAAAGAAGAGATGTAAACAACACCCTTCCCAGTAGACCTCAATTAGTTATTAATATTATTCTATTATTGTTATTACTGTAATTATATGCATTTATATTATATTTTTCTCCATCAGGAACTCAAAGAAGAGATGTAAACAATGCCATTTTCAGTAGACTGCAATTAGTTATTAATATTAATTATTATTAAATTATTATTATTAGTTATTAGATACATTTATATCCCATTTTCTCTCCACCAAAGGAGAGATGTAAACAACACCCCTTCCCAGTAGACTGCAATTAGTTATTCATATTATTATTCTATTATTGTTATTATATGCATTTATATTCTATTTTTCTCCATCAGAGACTTAAATAAAAGATGTAAACAATACCATTTTCAGTAGACTGCAATTAATTATTAATATTAATTATTATTAATTTATTATTATTATTAATTWATTAGATGCATTTATATCCCACTTTCTCTCCACCAAAGGAGATTCAAAAAAGAGCTTTAAACAACACCCCTTRCCAGTAGACTGCAATTAGTTATTAATATTATGCATTTACATTATATTTTTCTCAATCAGAGACTCAAAGAAGAGATGTAAACAATACCATTTTCAGTAGACTACAATTAGTTATTAATATTATGCATTTATATTATATTTTTTTCCATCAAAGACTCAAGAGATGTAAACAATACCATTCTCAGTAGACTGCAATTAGTTATTAATAATAATTTATTATTATTATTATTATTATTATTATTATTATTATTACTGTTATTAGATGCATTTATATCCCATTTTCTCTCCATCAAACGGGGATTCAAAGAAGAGATGTAAACAACACCCTTCCCAGTAGACTGCAATTAGTTATTCATATTATGCATTTGCATTATATTTTTCTCCATCAAAGACTTAAAGAAGAGATGTAAACAATATCATTCTCAGTAGACTGCAATTAGTTATAAATAGTATGCATTTGCATTATATTTTTTGTCCATCAAAGACTTAAAGAAGAGATGTAAACAATACCATTCTCAGTAGACTGCAATTAGTTATTAATATTAATTATTATTAATTTATTATTATTATTAATTTATTAGATGCATTTATATCCCACTTTCTCTCCACCAAAGGAGATTCAAAGAAGAGATGTAAACAACACCCCTTCCCAGTAGACTGCAATTAGTTATTAATATTATGCATTTGCATTATATTTTTCTCCATCAGAGACTCAAAGAAGAGATGTAAACAATACCATTCTCAGTAGACTGCAATTAGTTATTAATATTATGCATTTATATTATATTTTTCTCCATCAAAGACTCAAAGAAGAGATGTAAACAATACCATTCTCAGTAGACTGCAATTAGTTATTAATAATAATTTATTATTATGAATTACTGTTATTAGATGCATTTATATCCCACTTTCTCTCCATCAAACGGGGATTCAAAGAAGAGATGTAAACAACACCCTTCCCAGTAGACTGCAATTAGTTATTAATAGTATGCATTTGCATTATATTTTTTGTCCATCAAAGACTCAAAGAAGAGATGTAAACAATACCATTCTCAGTAGACTGCAATTAGTTATTAATATTAATTTATTATTGTTATTATTATTATTATTACTGTTATTAGATGCATTTATATCCCATTTTCTCTCCATCAAAGGAGATTCAAAGAAGAGATGTAAACAACATCCCTTCCAGTAGACTGCCATTAGTTATTAATATTAATTATTATCAATTTACACAAATAATAATAATTACTGACATGATATGAGTATTTAAAGATCGAACTGCAAACACTCTGGCACAAGCCAGTAAAGGTGGTCCCAGTGGTGACTGGCACACTGGGTGCAGTGCCTACAGACCTTGGCCTGCACTTAAACACAACCGGCGCTGACAAAATTACCATCTGCCAGCTGCAGAAGGCCACCTTAACTGGGATCTGCACGAATTATTCGCCGATATATCACACAGTCCTAGACACTTGGGAAGCGTGCGACGTGTGATCCAATACAACAGCCAGCAGAGTGTCTGCTGTGGACTCTTGTTGTGTTTCAAATAATAATTACTGTTATTATATGTAAATATATGATAAAACTAAAATACATGTCTATGCGTATTTGTATGTTTGTACCAAAGCTTTTGGTAGGTGAAGTGGCCCTCTGTGATGTCACTGGGTTGACTATTGCCAGGTGAAGTGGCCCTCTGTGATGTCATTGAGAAAGAAAGTGGCATGTATGTGAGGGAAATGGATGGAAGGAAGGAAGTAAAGAGGGAAAAGAAGGGAAAGAGAGGAAGGGAGTTAGAAACAAAAAGAAAGGAAGGAAGGAAAGAGAGAGGAAAGGAGAGAAGGAGAAAGAAGGGAAGAAAAGAAAGAAGGGATGAAGGGAGGGAGGGGAGAAAGAGAAAGACGGGAGGAGAAAAGAAGAGGAAAGAAAGAAGGAAGGGTGGAAGGGAAAGGAAAGGGGAGTAAAGAAAGTGAAGGAAAGAAAGAGAAGAAGGAATGGAGGGAGGGAAGGGAGGAAGAAAAAAAAATGGGAGGAGAAAGAAAGAAAAGAAAGAGGAAAACGGACCTTAAATAATTCTCCGACTGCAAGGACCTCTCGTCCGTTTGCGGTTGTATTTCACCCAAAAGCGGCCTGGATTCGTCCGAAGCCATCTTTCTCTCCTCGAAGCAGAAAACGATGCTATCCAGGAAATGGCCAAGATGGCCTTAAGGCCTAGCAATAAACACAGAAGGGCAAAGCAAACATCAATCTCGTGACCGGTTGGGCTTCCTCGGAAATGATTCACAGCCTTCACTTTCAAAGGGGAAAAGAGCACAAAGGTTACATTAAAAGCATGACCCAAACTTCTGCAAAGATCAGCAAGATTAAAAAAAGTAGATAATTGGGGAACGGAAAGAGCCAAAAGGAAGATTTGTTCTCAGGCTGATGACGAAACGCAAGACAACACAGCAAAGGCTGGAAGGACTATTGACAAATCGACAGCCGAGCCTCTGTATTTTGTCATATCGTCTGCAATAATATTATGGTTACCTCGTATTTAAAAATGTATTTATATTTATATATAGTATAATAATACACAAATAATAATAATAATAATAATAATAATAATAATAATAATAATAATGATAATAATAATTACTGTTTGTAGATGACGCAGGATGGTTTACAGTTAGTACCAAGACCATAAAATGCAATTTCAATATAATAAAACAATCAAATAATAAAACCATAACAATCAAAAAATATTATTATTATTTATTAAATTAATAATAATAATAATCAATAAAATCAATAAAAATAATACATATGTACCTGAGAATCGACTGGGTTGTCTTAGGTTCTTCGAACACACTTTCGAAGGAAGGCAACGGCAAACCACATCTGAACAAATCTTGCGGAGATAACGCTCTGACGATAAATCTGCAAGATATATCATAAACAATCTCAAAAGACAACAACAACAAATAGAATTATGAATGAGTGCAGCCCTTTGCTGCCCTCCAGTGGACACATTGAGCATTGCGCCCTCATAGGCTTCAATGGAGAGTCAGAATAACAAGAGGGCGCAATGCGCGATGTGTCCACTGGAGGGCGGCAAAGGACAACACAGAGGAGTCCTGGGCAGAGAGATGCCCCATAGGCTTCAATGGAGGGTAAGAATAACAAGGGGGCGCAATGCCTGATGTGTCCACTGGAGGGCGGCAAAGGATAACACATAGGAGTCCTGGGCAGAGAGATGCCCCATAGGCTCCAATGGAGGGGCAGAATAACACGAGGGCGCAATGCCTGATGTGCCCACTGGAGGGCGGCAAAGGATGACACAGAGGAGTCCTGGACAGAGAGATGCCCCATAGGCTCCAATGGAGGGGCAGAGTAACAAGGGGGCGCAATGCCTGATGTGTCCACTGGAGGGCGGCAAAGGATAACACATAGGAGTCCTGGGCAGGGAGATGCCCCATAGGCTTCAATGGAGGGGCAGAATAACAAGAGGGCGCAATGCCTGATGTGTCCACTGGAGGGCGGCAAAGGACAACACATAGGAGTCCTGGGCAGAGAGATGCCCCATAGGCTCCAATGGAGGGGCAGAGTAACAAGGGGGCGCAATGCCTGATGTGTCCACTGGAGGGCGGCAAAGGACAACACATAGGAGTCCTGGGCAGAGAGATGCCCCATAGGCTCCAATGGAGGGGCAGAATAACACGAGGGCGCAATGCCTGATGTGTCCACTGGAGGGCGGCAAAGGACAACACATAGGAGTCCTGGGCAGAGAGATGCCCCATAGGCTTCAATGGAGGGGCAGAATAACAAGAGGGCGCAATGCCTGATGTGCCCACTGGAGGGCGGCAAAGGATAACACATAGGAGTCCTGGGCAGGGAGATGCCCCATAGGCTCCAATGGAGGGGCAGAATAACAAGGGGGCGCAATGCCTGATGTGTCCACTGGAGGGCGGCAAAGGACAACACATAGGAGTCCTGGGCAGAGAGATGCCCCATAGGCTCCAATGGAGGGGCAGAGTAACAAGGGGGCGCAATGCCTGATGTGTCCACTGGAGGGCGGCAAAGGATAACACATAGGAGTCCTGGGCAGAGAGATGCCCCATAGGCTTCAATGGAGGGGCAGAATAACAAGAGGGCGCAATGCCTGATGTGTCCACTGGAGGGCGGCAAAGGACAACACATAGGAGTCCTGGGCAGAGAGACGCCCCATAGGCTTCAATGGAGGGGCAGAATAACACAAGGGCGCAATGCCTGATGTGTCCACTGGAGGGCGGCAAAGGACAACACATAGGAGTCCTGGGCAGAGAGATGCCCCATAGGCTCCAATGGAGGGGCAGAATAACACGAGGGCGCAATGCCTGATGTGCCCACTGGAGGGCGGCAAAGGATAACACATAGGAGTCCTGGGCAGGGAGATGCCCCATAGGCTTCAATGGAGGGGCAGAATAACAAGGGGGCGCAATGCCTGATGTGTCCACTGGAGGGCGGCAAAGGACAACACATAGGAGTCCTGGGCAGAGAGATGCCCCATAGGCTCCAATGGAGGGGCAGAATAACAAGAGGGCGCAATGCCTGATGTGTCCACTGGAGGGCGGCAAAGGACAACACATAGGAGTCCTGGGCAGAGAGATGCCCCATAGGCTCCAATGGAGGGGCAGAATAACACGAGGGCGCAATGCCTGATGTGTCCACTGGAGGGCGGCAAAGGACAACACATAGGAGTCCTGGGCAGAGAGATGCCCCATAGGCTCCAATGGAGGGGCAGAGTAACAAGGGGGCGCAATGCCTGATGTGTCCACTGGAGGGCGGCAAAGGACAACACATAGGAGTCCTGGGCAGAGAGATGCCCCATAGGCTCCAATGGAGGGGCAGAATAACAAGGGCGCAATGCCTGATGTGTCCACTGGAGGGCGGCAAAGGACAACACATAGGAGTCCTGGGCAGAGAGATGCCCCATAGGCTCCAATGGAGGGGCAGAATAACACGAGGGCGCAATGCCTGATGTGCCCACTGGAGGGCGGCAAAGGATAACACATAGGAGTCCTGGGCAGAGAGATGCCCCATAGGCTTCAATGGAGGGGCAGAGTAACAAGGGGGCGCAATGCCTGATGTGTCCACTGGAGGGCGGCAAAGGACAACACATAGGAGTCCTGGGCAGAGAGATGCCCCATAGGCTCCAATGGAGGGGCAGAATAACAAGGGGGCGCAATGCCTGATGTGTCCACTGGAGGGCGGCAAAGGATAACACATAGGAGTCCTGGGCAGAGAGATGCCCCATAGGCTTCAATGGAGGGGCAGAATAACAAGAGGGCGCAATGCCTGATGTGTCCACTGGAGGGCGGCAAAGGACAACACATAGGAGTCCTGGGCAGAGAGATGCCCCATAGGCTTCAATGGAGGGGCAGAATAACACAAGGGCGCAATGCCTGATGTGTCCACTGGAGGGCGGCAAAGGACAACACATAGGAGTCCTGGGCAGAGAGATGCCCCATAGGCTCCAATGGAGGGGCAGAATAACACGAGGGCGCAATGCCTGATGTGCCCACTGGAGGGCGGCAAAGGATAACACATAGGAGTCCTGGGCAGGGAGATGCCCCATAGGCTTCAATGGAGGGGCAGAGTAACAAGGGGGCGCAATGCCTGATGTGTCCACTGGAGGGCGGCAAAGGACAACACATAGGAGTCCTGGGCAGAGAGATGCCCCATAGGCTCCAATGGAGGGGCAGAGTAACACGAGGGCGCAATGCCTGATGTGTCCACTGGAGGGCGGCAAAGGACAACACATAGGAGTCCTGGGCAGAGAGATGCCCCATAGGCTCCAATGGAGGGGCAGAATAACACGAGGGCGCAATGCCTGATGTGTCCACTGGAGGGCGGCAAAGGACAACACATAGGAGTCCTGGGCAGAGAGATGCCCCATAGGCTCCAATGGAGGGGCAGAATAACACGAGGGCGCAATGCCTGATGTGCCCACTGGAGGGCGGCAAAGGATAACACATAGGAGTCCTGGGCAGGGAGATGCCCCATAGGCTTCAATGGAGGGGCAGAATAACAAGAGGGCGCAATGCCTGATGTGTCCACTGGAGGGCGGCAAAGGACAACACATAGGAGTCCTGGGCAGAGAGATGCCCCATAGGCTTCAATGGAGGGGCAGAATAACAAGGGGGCGCAATGCCTGATGTGTCCACTGGAGGGCGGCAAAGGACAACACATAGGAGTCCTGGGCAGAGAGATGCCCCATAGGCTTCAATGGAGGGGCAGAATAACAAGAGGGCGCAATGCCTGATGTGTCCACTGGAGGGCGGCAAAGGACAACACATAGGAGTCCTGGGCAGAGAGATGCCCCATAGGCTTCAATGGAGGGGCAGAATAACACGAGGGCGCAATGCCTGATGTGTCCACTGGAGGGCGGCAAAGGACAACACATAGGAGTCCTGGGCAGAGAGATGCCCCATAGGCTCCAATGGAGGGGCAGAATAACACGAGGGCGCAATGCCTGATGTGCCCACTGGAGGGCGGCAAAGGATAACACATAGGAGTCCTGGGCAGGGAGATGCCCCATAGGCTTCAATGGAGGGGCAGAATAACAAGGGGGCGCAATGCCTGATGTGTCCACAGGAGGGCGGCAAAGGACAACACATAGGAGTCCTGGGCAGAGAGATGCCCCATAGGCTTCAATGGAGGGGCAGAATAACAAGGGGGCGCAATGCCTGATGTGTCCACTGGAGGGCGGCAAAGGACAACACATAGGAGTCCTGGGCAGAGAGATGCCCCATAGGCTCCAATGGAGGGGCAGAATAACAAGGGCGCAATGCCTGATGTGTCCACTGGAGGGCGGCAAAGGACAACACATAGGAGTCCTGGGCAGAGAGATGCCCCATAGGCTTCAATGGAGGGGCAGAATAACAAGAGGGCGCAATGCCTGATGTGTCCACTGGAGGGCGGCAAAGGATAACACATAGGAGTCCTGGGCAGAGAGATGCCCCATAGGCTCCAATGGAGGGGCAGAATAACAAGAGGGCGCAATGCCTGATGTGCCCACTGGAGGGCGGCAAAGGATAACACATAGGAGTCCTGGGCAGAGAGATGCCCCATAGGCTTCAATGGAGGGGCAGAATAACAAGAGGGCGCAATGCCTGATGTGTCCACTGGAGGGCGGCAAAGGACAACACATAGGAGTCCTGGGCAGAGAGATGCCCCATAGGCTTCAATGGAGGGGCAGAATAACAAGGGGGCGCAATGCCTGATGTGTCCACTGGAGGGCGGCAAAGGACAACACATAGGAGTCCTGGGCAGAGAGATGCCCCATAGGCTCCAATGGAGGGGCAGAGTAACAAGGGGGCGCAATGCCTGATGTGTCCACTGGAGGGCGGCAAAGGACAACACATAGGAGTCCTGGGCAGAGAGATGCCCCATAGGCTTCAATGGAGGGGCAGAATAACACGAGGGCGCAATGCCTGATGTGTCCACTGGAGGGCGGCAAAGGACAACACATAGGAGTCCTGGGCAGAGAGATGCCCCATAGGCTTCAATGGAGGGGCAGAATAACAAGAGGGCGCAATGCCTGATGTGTCCACTGGAGGGCGGCAAAGGATAACACATAGGAGTCCTGGGCAGAGAGATGCCCCATAGGCTTCAATGGAGGGGCAGAATAACAAGAGGGCGCAATGCCTGATGTGTCCACTGGAGGGCGGCAAAGGACAACACATAGGAGTCCTGGGCAGAGAGATGCCCCATAGGCTCCAATGGAGGGGCAGAGTAACAAGGGGGCGCAATGCCTGATGTGTCCACTGGAGGGCGGCAAAGGACAACACATAGGAGTCCTGGGCAGAGAGATGCCCCATAGGCTCCAATGGAGGGGCAGAGTAACACGAGGGCGCAATGCCTGATGTGTCCACTGGAGGGCGGCAAAGGACAACACATAGGAGTCCTGGGCAGAGAGATGCCCCATAGGCTCCAATGGAGGGGCAGAATAACAAGGAGGCGCAATGCCTGATGTGTCCACTGGAGGGCGGCAAAGGACAACACATAGGAGTCCTGGGCAGAGAGATGCCCCATAGGCTTCAATGGAGGGGCAGAATAACAAGAGGGCGCAATGCCTGATGTGTCCACTGGAGGGCGGCAAAGGACAACACATAGGAGTCCTGGGCAGAGAGATGCCCCATAGGCTCCAATGGAGGGGCAGAATAACAAGGGGGCGCAATGCCTGATGTGTCCACTGGAGGGCGGCAAAGGACAACACATAGGAGTCCTGGGCAGGGAGATGCCCCATAGGCTCCAATGGAGGGGCAGAGTAACACGAGGGCGCAATGCCTGATGTGTCCACTGGAGGGCGGCAAAGGACAACACATAGGAGTCCTGGGCAGAGAGATGCCCCATAGGCTCCAATGGAGGGGCAGAGTAACAAGGGGGCGCAATGCCTGATGTGTCCACTGGAGGGCGGCAAAGGACAACACATAGGAGTCCTGGGCAGAGAGATGCCCCATAGGCTCCAATGGAGGGGCAGAATAACACGAGGGCGCAATGCCTGATGTGCCCACTGGAGGGCGGCAAAGGATAACACATAGGAGTCCTGGGCAGGGAGATGCCCCATAGGCTTCAATGGAGGGGCAGAATAACAAGAGGGCGCAATGCCTGATGTGTCCACTGGAGGGCGGCAAAGGACAACACATAGGAGTCCTGGGCAGAGAGATGCCCCATAGGCTCCAATGGAGGGGCAGAGTAACAAGGGGGCGCAATGCCTGATGTGTCCACTGGAGGGCGGCAAAGGACAACACATAGGAGTCCTGGGCAGAGAGATGCCCCATAGGCTCCAATGGAGGGGCAGAGTAACAAGGGGGCGCAATGCCTGATGTGTCCACTGGAGGGCGGCAAAGGACAACACATAGGAGTCCTGGGCAGAGAGATGCCCCATAGGCTTCAATGGAGGGGCAGAATAACACAAGGGCGCAATGCCTGATGTGTCCACTGGAGGGCGGCAAAGGATAACACATAGGAGTCCTGGGCAGAGAGATGCCCCATAGGCTTCAATGGAGGGGCAGAATAACAAGAGGGCGCAATGCCTGATGTGTCCACTGGAGGGCGGCAAAGGACAACACATAGGAGTCCTGGGCAGAGAGATGCCCCATAGGCTCCAATGGAGGGGCAGAGTAACAAGGGGGCGCAATGCCTGATGTGTCCACTGGAGGGCGGCAAAGGACAACACATAGGAGTCCTGGGCAGGGAGATGCCCCATAGGCTCCAATGGAGGGGCAGAGTAACACGAGGGCGCAATGCCTGATGTGTCCACTGGAGGGCGGCAAAGGACAACACATAGGAGTCCTGGGCAGAGAGATGCCCCATAGGCTCCAATGGAGGGGCAGAATAACACGAGGGCGCAATGCCTGATGTGCCCACTGGAGGGCGGCAAAGGATAACACATAGGAGTCCTGGGCAGAGAGATGCCCCATAGGCTTCAATGGAGGGGCAGAATAACAAGAGGGCGCAATGCCTGATGTGTCCACTGGAGGGCGGCAAAGGACAACACATAGGAGTCCTGGGCAGAGAGATGCCCCATAGGCTCCAATGGAGGGGCAGAATAACAAGAGGGCGCAATGCCTGATGTGTCCACTGGAGGGCGGCAAAGGATAACACATAGGAGTCCTGGGCAGGAGAGATGCCCCATAGGCTTCAATGGAGGGGCAGAATAACAAGAGGGCGCAATGCCTGATGTGTCCACTGGAGGGCGGCAAAGGACAACACATAGGAGTCCTGGGCAGAGAGATGCCCCATAGGCTTCAATGGAGGGGCAGAATAACAAGGGGGCGCAATGCCTGATGTGTCCACAGGAGGGCGGCAAAGGATAACACATAGGAGTCCTGGGCAGAGAGATGCCCCATAGGCTTCAATGGAGGGGCAGAATAACAAGGGCGCAATGCCTGATGTGTCCACTGGAGGGCGGCAAAGGACAACACATAGGAGTCCTGGGCAGAGAGATGCCCCATAGGCTTCAATGGAGGGGCAGAATAACAAGAGGGCGCAATGCCTGATGTGTCCACTGGAGGGCGGCAAAGGATAACACATAGGAGTCCTGGGCAGAGAGATGCCCCATAGGCTTCAATGGAGGGGCAGAATAACAAGAGGGCGCAATGCCTGATGTGTCCACTGGAGGGCGGCAAAGGACAACACATAGGAGTCCTGGGCAGAGAGATGCCCCATAGGCTTCAATGGAGGGGCAGAATAACAAGGGGGCGCAATGCCTGATGTGTCCACTGGAGGGCGGCAAAGGACAACACATAGGAGTCCTGGGCAGAGAGATGCCCCATAGGCTTCAATGGAGGGGCAGAATAACAAGAGGGCGCAATGCCTGATGTGTCCACAGGAGGGCGGCAAAGGACAACACATAGGAGTCCTGGGCAGAGAGATGCCCCATAGGCTTCAATGGAGGGGCAGAATAACAAGAGGGCGCAATGCCTGATGTGTCCACTGGAGGGCGGCAAAGGATAACACATGGGAGTCCTGGGCAGGGAGATGCCCCATAGGCTTCAATGGAGGGGCAGAGTAACAAGGGGGCGCAATACTCGATGTGTCCACTGGAGGGCAACAAAGGACAACACATAGGAGTCCTGGGCAGAGAGATGCCCCATAGGCTTCAATGGAGGGGCAGAATAACAAGGGGGCGCAATGCCTGATGTGTCCACAGGAGGGCGGCAAAGGACAACACATAGGAGTCCTGGGCAGAGAGATGCCCCATAGGCTTCAATGGAGGGGCAGAGTAACAAGGGGGCGCAATACTCGATGTGTCCACTGGAGGGCAACAAAGGACAACACATAGGAGTCCTGGGCAGAGAGATGCCCCATAGGCTTCAATGTTTATATATGTTCATGTTTATATATGTTTATGTGTATGTATTTGATGAGACCTGATGGATTTGTTATATTCATGTATTGATGCTAATGTTTAATGACTTGTGATGCTATTGCTTTTAAATGCCTAATGATTTTGTATTGTGTATATCTAAACTGTTGTAAACCGCTCTGAGTCGCCTAAGGGCTAAGAAGAGCAGTATACAAATAAATAAATAAATAATATATTATATAAATACACACACATAAACATATATATATGTTTATATATATGATTAAAGAAAGGTAAAGTTAGTCCCCTGACATTAAGTCCAGTCGCGTCTGACTCTGGGGGTTGGTGCTCATCTCCATTTCTAAGCCGAAGAGCCGGCGTTGTCCGTAGACACCTCCAAGGTCATGTGGCCGGCATGACTGCATGGAACGCCGTTAGATAAATAAATAAATAAATAATATATAAATTAATATATTAAATTATATATAAATATATATATAATTTCAGTAATGTTTATACATATCAGTAACAACTTGACACCAAGAAGAACTTGTATTGCTATTGTAGGTCATGTATAATAAAAAGAAAAAGAATAATATTCATTCTCTCACAATGGAAGCCCTTTTGCTTGGCCTCTTCCCCATTGCAGCCATTTAGGGAGGAACTGAAGCCACCCCAGGAAGAAGAAGAAAGATTCAAAGTGAGCCACTTTAAGGAGAGAAACCCTGAAAGAGAATTGTGGGAGGAGGAGGCAAGCAAAGGGCTTTTCGCTCACCTTCAAAGCAGCCTTTCAATCGCGGCGTTTCTCTCTCTTCCGCCACATCAAAGTGGCAACAGCTGCGAGGCGGAACGAATAAACGAGCGCGATGTTTCCAGTAGGGACGTCAATAAAGACCGGACCGGAAGTTGCGTTGTTTAATAGGCACCCCCCCTTAAAGGGCTACTTTCGGTTGGGCTTTTTTCTCTCCTCCGGAGGGAAATAAGAGGCGACGATGGTTCCATAGTTATATAAAGGTTAGAGTGATACATTGTAGGGTCACTTTGAGAGCAACAGAATAGAGTATATTGAAGCTATGGGCCAACTTGGGCCCTGCAAGTGTTTTGGACTCCAACTCCCAGAATTCCTAACAGCCTCAGGCCCCTTCCTGAAGGGGGCCTGAGGAAGGGGCCTGAGGCTGTTAGGAATTCTGGGAGTTGGAGTCCAAAACACTTGCAGGGCCCAAGTTGGCCTATTATCAGATTGGGAATGTGTATTTCCGGCGGAAGTTCTCAATGACAACGTCATCCCCCTGCGCCGGAAGTGCTTGAGATAGAGCTCTGGTGGAGAGCCGGCGGTGGCGGCTGCAGCGGCTGCAGGTGGGATCCCCAAAGCAGGAAAGAAGGAATGGAAGTAGAAAGGGTTTACACCTGGAGAAAGAGAGAGAGAGAGACAAAGACCCCGGATGGAGGGGGTGGGAGTAGGGGGTGGGGACGTCTTGGGTTGCCATGGAGACAGCCAGCAGCGAAGGGGAGGGGCTTAAAGCAGGCCTGGGCCAACTTGGGCCCTCCCTCCAGGTGTTTTGGACTCCAACAAGCCCTATGAGGAGCGGCTTAAGGAGCTGGGCATGTTTAGCCTGAAGAAGAGAAGGCTGAGAGGAGATATGATAGCCATGTATAAATATGTGAGAGGAAGCCACAGGGAGGAGGGAGCAAGCTTGTTTTCTGCTTCCCTGGAGACTAGGACGCAATGGAACAATGGCTTCAAACTACAAGAAAGGAGATTCCATCTGAACATGAGGAAGAACTTCCTGACTGTGAGAGCCGTTCAGCAGTGGAACTCTCTGCCCCGGAGTGTGGTGGAGGCTCCTTCTTTGGAAGCTTTTAAACAGAGCTGGATGGCCATCTGTCAGGGGTGATTGGAATGCAATATTCCTGCTTCTTGGCAGGGGGTTGGACTTCCAACTCTTTGATTCTATGATTCTAATTCCAAACAGCTGGTAGTGGCTTGGGAGAGGGAGTGTGTCCCTGTTGGTTCTACTGGACCTCGATACAGTAGATCAAGGGTCCTCAAACCTTTTAAACAGAGGGCCAGGCCACAGTCCTCAAATTGTTGGAGGAAAGAAATTGGTCAGCAGAGACAGGTGGCTGAAGGGAGGTGCTGCTCTCAGAGGCTGTTATCTAAGAGAGGCCCTCCTCAGACTTCTCAAGGAAAAAGACATAGCTTCTTAAGTATAAATAAGGGTTTATTTTTTTTATCGTGTCAGGCAACCGAACAGTTGTATTACATTTTTAACAGAACAAACAAACATACATACAAAAACACAGAGTTTGCAAGCTTGGTATTTGATTAAATGTCCTTTGACCAGTATCTGGCCCCTTGGAGTGCCTCTGGTGGAATATTGTGTCCACGCTCTTGTCACATCCCGATTGGATTACTGCAACGCACTCTACGTGGGGTTGCCTTTGAAGACTGCTCGGAAACTCCAACTAGTCCAGCGGGAGGCAGCCAGATTGCTCACCGGAGCGGCATACAGGGAGCATACCACCCCCCTGTTGTGTCAGCTCCACTGGCTGCCGATCCAATTCCGAGCACAATTCAAAGTGCTGATTTTGACCTACAAAACCCTATATGGTTCCGGCCCAATGTATCTGTCCGAACGGATCTCCCTCTACGTCCCACCTCGGAGTCTAAGATCTTCTGGGGAGGCCCTGCTCTCGACCCCGCCTCTATCACAAGTGAGGCTGGCGGGGACGAGGAGCAGGGCCTTCTCGGTAGTGGTCCCTCACCTGTGGAACTCACTCCCCGGGGAGATTAGATCAGCGACTTCCCTTTTGTCATTCAGAAAAAAAATTGAAGACCTGGATGTGGGACCAGGCTTTTGGACATTCTGGCAGCTAAAGGAAAGACCTTGATGATGGGCAGGAATTGACGGAACGGAATGGATTTATGGAACTCTGAACACTGACCATGAGATTGTTTACTATTGTGTTATGTACTGATGTTTTTAACCTGTTAACTGTTTAATTGCTTTTATGTATGTATGTATTTTTGACATAGGAATAATATTTGTTTATGTTGTACACCGCCGTGAGTCGCCCTAGGGCTGAGAACGGCGGTCTACAAGTGCAGTAAATAAATAAATAAATAATTCTGGGCACCACAATTCAAGAGAGATATTGACAAGCTGGAATGTGTCCAGAGGAGGGCGACTAAAATGATCAAGGGTCTGGAGAACAAGCCCTATGAGGAGCGGCTTAAGGAGCTGGGCATGTTTAGCCTGAAGAAGAGAAGGCTGAGAGGAGATATGATAGCCATGTATAAATATGTGAGAGGAAGCCACAGGGAGGAGGGAGCAAGCTTGTTTTCTGCTTCCCTGGAGACTAGGACATGAAACAATGGCTTCAAACAACAAGAGAGGAGATTCCATCTGAACATGAGGAAGAACTTCCTGACTGTGAGAGCGTTCAGCAGTGGAACTCTCTGCCCCGGAGTGTGGTGGAGGCTCCTTCTTTGGAAGCTTTTAAACAGAGGCTGGATGGCCATCTGTCAGGGGTGATTTGAATGCAATTTCCTGCTTCTTGGCAGGGGGTTGGACTGGATGGCCCATGAGGTCTCTTCCAACTCTTTGATTCTATGATGCTATGATTCAAGGTTCTGCAAGAAGGTCCTCCCTTGTGCATGTAGCAGGGCTCAGGTTGCATTGCAGCAGGTGGTCAGTGGTTTGCTCTTCTCCACACTGGCATGTGTGGAATCCACTTTGTAGCCCCATTTCTTAAGATTGGCTCTGCATCTCGTGGTGCCAGAGCGCAGTCTGTTCAGTGCCTTCCAAGTCGCCCAGTCTTCTGTGTGCCCAGGGGGGAGTCTCTCATTTGGTATCAGCCATTGTTTGAGGTTCTGGGTTTGAGCCTGCCACTTTTGGACTCTCGCTTGCTGAGGTGATCCAGCGAGTGTCTCTGTAGATCTTAGAAAACTATTTCTTGATTTAAGTCCTTGACGTGCTGGCTGGGCTGGGCTGGAGATGTCACTGCCTTGGTCCTTTCACTATTGGCTGCTACTTCCCGGCAGATGTCAGGTGGTGCAATAGTTTCTCCAGTGGTGTAGGGTACAGACACCCCATGATAATGCGGCATGTCTCATTAAGAGCCACATCCACCGTTTTAGCATGGTGAGATGTGTTCCACACCGGCCATGCGTACTCTGCAGCAGAGTAACATAGCACAAGGGCAGATGTCTTCACTGTGTCTGGTTGTGATCCCCACGTTGATTTGGAGTGATCCTTTAGAACAGGGGTCCTCAAACGTTTTAAACAGAGGGCCAGGTCACCGTCCTTCAAACTGTTGGAGGGCTGGATTATAATTTGAAAAAACATGAATGAATCTTATTTGTAGTGCAAAAAAACCCACTTAAAATAATACAATAATTGAAATGAAGAACAATTTAACAAATATAAACTTATTGGTATTTCAAAGGGAAGTGTGGGCCTGCTTTTGGTTGATGAGATAGGATTGTTGTGTGCTTTCAAGTCATTTCAGACTTAGGCTGACCCTAAGTGAGGGCCTGGTATCTGGCCCTCGGGCCTTTGTTTAAGGACCCCTGCCATAGACCATGGTATCCTTCTGGGTCGCCTCGCAAGGATGGGTCCTGGAGGTACTGTTCTGCAATGGCTGCATGTCTGATGTCCTTGGGGAGTGAGTTCCAGAGTCGGGGGGCCACCACCGAGAAGGCCCTCTCCTCGTCCCAAACAATCGCGCCTGCGATGGAGGTGGGAGTGCGAGCAGGGCCTCTCCAGATGATCGAAGAGATCGTGTGGGTTCGTACACAGAAATGTTTGTTTATATTTATGGTTTGTTTTTATTCCGGCATTGAATGTTTGCCGTATTTGTGTTGTGTTCCGCCCTGTGTCCCCTTCCAGGTGAGAATGGTGGAATATAAATGCTTTAAATAAGTAATAAATAAATAAGTCCAAAACACCTGGAGGACCCAAATTTACCCATGCCTGGACTAAAAGGACAAGACAAGAGAAGCTCTGCCTCTGGGGCTTCTGTTGTGGGGAAGTGATGCACTTTGGCACCTCTTTGACTTCTGTGGAGTCCAGAGCTTGATCTCTCTCTCTCTCTCTCTCTCTCTCTCTCTCTCTCTCTCTGCCAAACTACAACTCCCAGGACTTGTGTGATAGCATCTCCCCCTTCTTCCCTAATATATAACTATTCCTATTTCCTCCCCCATTTAATGAATGTACCACAAACCTTTCCAAGGCTTCAACCTGCCGTGCCTGTTGTTGCTCCTCTTCCAGGAGAAATGGCCGCAGAGGATTGCGCATCCCTGTTGGGCCCCAAAGAGGAAGAGGAGGAGGAAGAGAAGCCCTGGCAGCCGTTGTTTGCGGAGCAGCATTTGAACCCAGGCCGCTCGCGAAGGTAAGCAATCTGAAGCCGGAAGAGAGGGAGACGGTTGGGAAGTTCAGCTTGAGATTCCAACAAATGAATTTCAACATGGCCATCTGTCAGGGATATATTGATTGTGCGGAGGGTGGCTAAAATGATCAAGAGTCTGGAGAACAAGCCCTGTGAGGAGCAGCTTAAAGAGCTGGGCATGTTTAGTCTGCAGAAGAGAAGACTGAGGGGAGACATGATGAGAGGCATGTATCAAGATCTAAGAGGAAGTCATAAGGGAGGAGGGAGCAGGCTTGTTTTCTGCTGCCCTGGAGACTAGGATGCTGAACATCCTAACTGTGAGAACCGTTCAGCAGTGGAACTCTCTGCTTTGGAGTGTGGTGGAGGCTCCTTCTTTGGAGGCTTTTAAACAGAGGCTGGATGGCTATCCTTTGGGGGTGCTTTGAATGCGAATTTCCAGCTTCTTGGCAGAAGGGTCGAATTGGATGGCCCACGAGGTCTCTTCCAACTCTAAGTATTGGAAAGAACAAGAAAACAGGCTATAGCAGAATAGTATGAATATCTATGGGGAAAAACTATTATTGTCTCTAACACCCCGTTTTGATGTCACGCAGGTCAATGTTTCCGTAACCTTAATGGAGAGGAAGGACTTTGAAGCATGGCTTGATCACCTGTCTGTGGCGTTCCTCTCTCTGACGGACTCGCAGAAGAATGAGGCCCTGGACCACCTGATTGGCCAGAGCGGGGCCGCCCAGCTCCGGCACCTCTCCCACCACCTGGAGACCCTCCTCAAGCGGGACTTCCTCAAACTGCTCCCGCTGGAACTCGGATTCTATTTGCTCAAATGGCTCGACCCGCAGACCTTACTCACGTGTTGCCTGGTCTCTAAGCAGTGGAACAAGGTCATCAGCGCCTGCATGGAGGTCTGGCAGGCGGCCTGCAAGCGGCTGGGCTGGCGCATCGACGACGACTCAGTCCAGGATGCCCGGCACTGGAAGAAGGTCTACCTCAAGGCCATCTTGCGCATGAAGCAGCTGCAGGACCACGAAGCCTTCGAGACCTCCTCACTGATCGGACACAGCGCCAGGGTCTATGCACTTTACTACAAGGACGGGCTGCTTTGTACAGGTAGGGCCGCCATGGAGCTGCAGGGCAAGAACCAGTGGCCAAATATATTTATAGTCTCCCGTTATGGGAGGCTTATATGTGTGTGTTTGTATCCTATTATATACAATGGCACAGTAAAATGGCATCCCATTCCCCCCCTCTATATCCCATTATATAAATGTGTATGTGTGTAAATCCCATTATAGACATACACAGTAAAATGGCATCATACATTACACACACACTATATATGTGTGTGTGTGTGTATATATGTGTATGCATATCCCATTATATACAATGGCACAGTAAAATCGCTTCTGGATATAAAGTAGACCCATAACACCTAGAGATAAATAAAGGTTGGGTTGGGTGAGGCATGGTTTTTTCATTCATATATATATATATATACATACATACATACATACATACATACATATACATATACACACACACACACACACATATACATACATATATATATATATATATATATCCCATTATACAAATGTGTGTTTATCCCATTATATACACACACAGTAAAATAGTGTCTCACACACACACACGCACCATATATATATATGTGTGTATGTATGTATATCCCATTATATACAATGGCACAGTACAATGGCGTCCCATCCCCACCCCCCTCTCGATCTATCTGTCTATCTATCTATCTGTCTATCTGTCTATCCTATTATATAAATGTGTGTGTATCCCATTATATGCACACACAATACACACACACATATATATCCCCCTTTATATGTGTATATGTGTGTGTGTGTATCCCATTATATACAATGGCACAGTAAAATGGTTTCCCCCCCCCTCTCTCTCTCTATATATATATATTCCATTATATAAATGTGTATGTGTATCCCACTATATATACAATAAAATGGTGTGTATATCCCCATTATATGTGTGTGTATGTGTATCCCTTTATATATGTACAATGGCACAGTAAACTGGCATCCCATCACTCACTCTTTCTTTCTCTTTTATACCATTATATAAATGTGTGTGTGTATCCCATTATATACACATAGGAAAATGGTGTCATATATATAAATACACACACCATATATATATACACCTCCCATTATTTTTTGTGTTTATATCTCCATATATATATATTTATGGTTTTTAATCATTACGTAATATTTTAACTATTATGTAATAATTAAAAACCATTAAAATATATAAACACAAAAATATAATGGGAGGCGTATATATATATATATATTACTCATTGTACACATTGCCTCTGGGGTGTTTGTATGAGTCCTAATCAATGAATACATACATACATACATAAATAAATAAATCCATTTGTGACTCAATCAAGACGTAAGCAGGAATAACAACAACAACAAAACATATATATCAGGTCTGTTAGGATCACAAGTGGCTCCCGTAGATAAAATACTGACAACAAGCTCTTTAAATAAATACATTCATTTGTGTCTCAATTATGATAAAAACAGGCTGTAAATATATTATTAGTAAAATAATAATTTTAATGCCATTTCCCAGGCAGCTTCTAGAGATAATTGTAAACATTGACAATAAAAATATAAACAATTTCTTAAGTGACCCATGCATATCTTTAAAAGTATTAAAAAGATTCCAAATATTAGATAGACTCCAAATATCTTCTGGTGCCCGAGGAACTAAGTCCTCTTATTTATTTATTTATGACATTTATATGCCGCCCTTCTCACCTCATAGGAGATTAAGAGCGAATTCCAAGTAATATGTAAAAACAATATATTATATTATTATCATAGCACAATAGTAGTATTGTATTCTCTTCCTTTGGTTCCTCAGGTTCGGACGACTTGTCCGCCAAGCTGTGGGACGTGAGCACCGGGCAGTGCGTCTACGGGATCCAGACCCATACCTGTGCGGCAGTGAAGTTCGACGAGCAGAAGCTGGTGACGGGATCCTTCGACAACACCATCGCCTGCTGGGAGTGGAGTTCAGGGGCCAAGACCCAGCACTTTCGGGGCCACACAGGGGCAGGTGGGACAAAATCTCAGAAAGCCTTTACGCATGTTAAGCAATATGGTGTGTATGTTGTTGAAAGCTTTCATGGCCAGAATCACCGGGGTGCTGTGTAGTTTCTGGGCTGTATGGCCGTGTTCTAGCAGCATTTTCTTCTGACGTTTCGCCTGCATCTGGAAACCACATAACACCCCAAATATTGTTCTGTATCGGTCAATACTGTCGACCATCTTTTTCCTTTGCCTGTTGCTTTGAACTCTAACCATCTCTCCAATTTGTGCCTTTTTTTCGTATCAGGAGCGAATTGAGAAACTGCAGGTTGCTTCTGGTGTGAGAATTGGCCATCTGCAAGGACATTGCCCAGGGGATGCTTGGATGTTTTACCATGCTGTGGGAGGCTTCTCGCATGAGAAGCTGGAACTGAGAGTTGGGAGCTCAACCCGCTCTCCAGATTTGAACCGCTGACCTTTCAGTCAGCAGTCCTGGTGGCATAAGGGTTTAACCCATTGTGGCACTGGGATTCCACTTAGAAGCAAAAGATCCTAGTAAAAATGGGAAAAATACGAGAATGCACAAAGAAGTATAGACTTAATGTATTGCCGAAGGCTTTCATGGGCGGAATCACTGGGCTGTTGTAGGTTTTTCGGGCTATATGGCTATGTTCTAGAGGCATTCTCTCCTGACGTTTTGCCTGCATCTATGGAAAGCATCCTCAGAGGTAGTGAGGTCTGTTGGAACTAGGAAAATTGGGTTTATTTATCTGTGGAATGACCAGGGTGGGGCAAAGAACTCTTGTCTGCTGGAGCTAGGTGTGAATGTTTCAACTGACCACCTTGATTACCATTTGATGGCCTGGCAGTGCCTGGGGTAATCTTTTGTTGAGAGGTGATTAGATGTCCTTGATTGTTTCCTCTCTGTTGTTTTGCTGTTGTAATTTCAGAGTTTTTTAATATTGGTAGCCAGATTTTGTTCATTTTCATGGTTTCCTCCTTTCTGTTGAAATTGTCCGCATACTTGTGGATTTCAATGGCTTCTCTGTGTAGTCTGACATGGTGGTTGTTGGAGTGATCCAGCATTTCTGTGTTCTCCAATAATATGCTGTGTCCAGGTTGGTTGTGCCCAGTATTAAAAAAACTCTAAAATTACAACATTGTGATTTTACATTGCTTGATGTTTCTTGTATTTTATTTTTATATTTTACTGTTGTTGTATGTCGTTTATTTGCATTGCTGTATTGTTGGGCTTGGCCTCATGTAAGCCGCCCCGAGTCCCCTTGGGGAGATGGTGGCGGGGTATAAATAAGGTTTTTTATTATTATTATTTGAAACACAACAAGATGAGTCCACAGCAGACACTCTGCTGGCTGTTGAATTGAATCACACATCGGACCTTTCCCAAGTGTCTAGGACTGTGTGATGTATTGGCGAATAATGCGTGCAGATCCCAGTAAGGTGGCTTTTTGCAGCTGGCAGATGGTAATCTTGTCAGCGCCGATTGTGTATAAGTGCAGGCCAAGGTCTTTAGGCACTGCGCCCTGTGTGCCAATCACAACAGGGACCACCTTTACTGGCTTGTGTCAGAGTATTTGCAGTTCGATCTTTAAATCCTCATTTTGTGTTGTTGTTATTATTGTTATTGTCATCAACCACTGGTGTAAATATCTAAAAAGAACACTCATGGTCACATACAGGGCAGCAAACACAGCAGTTCACATATAGTCAAATGTGCGCGACTCAAAGGATCAAAGGTATGGAGAACAAGTCCTGTGATGAGCGGCTTAGAGAGCTATGCATGTTTAGCCTGTCTGCAGAAGAGAAGGCTGAGAGGAGACATGATGAGGGCCATGGATAAAGATGTGTGGTCGGGGAAGTCCTAGGGAGTAGGGAGCAGGCTTGTTTTGAGACAGAGAAATAGTTCCAAACGACAGGAAAGGAGATTCCACCTGAACATTAGAAGAACTTCCTAACTGTGGGAGCTATTCAGCAGTGGAACTCTCTGCCCCGGAGTGTGGTGGAGGCTCCATCTTGGGAGGCTTTGAAGCAGAGGCAGGGTGGCCATCTGTCGGGGGTGATTTGAGTGCGATTTTCCTGCTTCTTGGCAGAACAGGGTTGGACTGGATGGCCCACAAGGTCTCTTCCAACTCTAGGATTCTAAAGAAATGACCACTGATCTTTCTCGGTATTTCTTTTTCCTCCCTCTGTAGTTTTCAGCGTGGATTACAACGATGAGCTTGACCTCCTGGTCAGCGGTTCGGCAGATTTCACTGTGAAAGTCTGGGCTTTATCCACCGGCGTCTGTCTCAATACCTTGACCGGACACACGGAATGGGTCACAAAGGTAAGCTGGAGCGGCATTCCTCGTTCCGTCCCATCAGAAGTAGAAGAGGCCTCCTCCTGCAGAGATGTTCCTCTTAACAACACAGGGGCAGAAGGGAAGGGATGGGGTTGTTTTCTTCCTCATTGAAATCTTTTCATGGTGACAGAGCACAGATTTCAAAAGTGAATTTTGTCGGGCGAGTGGGCTTATTAACAAAAGACCTCCTCACAAAAGCATGTGATTTAACCCACTAATGACTCCACTAGCTGTCCCCTGCCAGGGGTTGCTGTAGCCCAGTCTGGTGATCGGGAAAATAAAGTAATGAGAAAGTGTTGGTTTCTAATATATGTAATGTCTTTCTGCTTGTGGGTAAACAGTATTTTTTGCTGTTTCTTTGTCAGTGTTGATGTGGAGAGTGTCTGGTTTGCCCACCCTGGATCATGCAACATAGAATTGTCCTTCTTTAAGGGTCCCTTTCAAATCTATGATACCATATTTGTGTGTGTGTGTGAATCATATCTATCTATCTATATCTATGGCTGGATGTCTCTTCGTCAGGAGGGCTTTGATTACGTTTTCTTGCCCTGGTGAAGGGAGTTGGACTGGATGGCCTTCAGTATTTTCTGTTGGTCATGGGGGTTCTGTGTGGAAAGTTTGCCCCAATTCTGTCATTGGTGGTGTCGGAACTCAGATGCCTTAAAGAACCAGACACAGGAATATAATCCAAACAATAGTTTATTAAAGCAAAGAAAACAGGACTCAGAGACACTTACTTCAGTGCCTCTGGTCAAAACTCAAAGTTTGCAGCAATTTGCAGCGTGTAAAACAAGCTTGGAAAATAAACTGGCAAAAAATCCGGATTAAATAAGAGTTCTTCCAAAACGCACCAAAATCACACAGTTCAAAGATAATAAGCAAAAAAAGAGCCGTGAAGAGAAGCCGTCGTCCAAAAGCAGTCCAAAGTCAAAAAAATCCCAGTTGAAAGTTCCAAAGTCCAAAAGGCAGCGTCGTCATTGAAAACAGTCAGTCAAGGAGAGGGGAAATCTGCACTTACGAGAATCCAAGCTGGTCAGAACACGAAGGAAACAGCAACCTGCAGATCCAGAACCCAAGCCCAACAAGAGAAGCGGCAGCGACAAGACCCAAGGCACGAAACTAACACTTTGCCTACTGCAAAGTTCTATCACTCCAGTGCCTTCATTATCTTACAACTCATCGTCCATTGATGAGCTGCCCTCCACCCCATCCTCATTGCTATCAGCTGGCTTAGCCTCAACAGCTGAACGCCAACGCCCATCCCTCCATCTCTTCCTCCTTTTGTCAAGACTTAGATCTCCCCACGATTCCATGGTATCAATAGATTGCCAATCCCCACCACCAGAAAACCCCTCAAAAGTGTCACTGGATGTTGGTTGAGTGCACACATTTCTAATCTCCTGAACCTTGGTCCAATCCAGTGGTTCCTCTTCATCCACACTACTCCCAGACCCATCATTTCCAGTAAAGCCCATGAAATCCTCTTCCTCTGTGGGAGCACTAAGTATGTCCCAGATCTTCTTTCTCTGACGCTCCTCGTCTGACTCCTGCTCTTGAGTAATCCTCTTAATGCCTCTATTCCCATCTCCTTCCTCCTCCTCACTCATTTCAATCTTGGAGAAGCCTTCAAAGGATTCTTCATCAGTGGGTGACATAAGTATCTCCCAAATCCTCTTCCTTTGCTGCTCCTCATCTAACACCTGGGCGCCTCGTTTCCCTCCTACTACTAGTTGTAGCGTTGCCAACAGACTTTACTACAACAAGTGGGGTTCAGAATGCTCTTTGATTGTAGGTGAACTATACATCCCTGTAACTACAACTCCCAAATGTCAAGATCTATTTCCCCCAAACTCCATCTGTGTTCATATTTGGGCATATGGAGTATTCATGCCAAGTTTGGTCCAGATCCATCATTGTTTAAGTCCACAGTGCTCTCTGGATGTAGGTGAACTATAACTCCAAAACTGAAGGTCAATGCCCTCCAAACCCTTCTAGTGTTTTCTGTTGGACAACAACAACAATTTTTATTGATTAGCCAGTTGGCCTTATCAAAAACAGACAGTGCAAACACTGTACAACATACACCTGGTCCTATTAAAATAGAATACAAATATATAGGAATTTATCAACTTAAAACCAATGTAGCTTAACCATAGATATATGCAGCTTCTCGGCCTTTTGGCTAAGATCAAGCGTAGTATCTGTTGGACATTGGAATCCTGTGTGCCATGTTTGGTTCAATTCCATCGTTAGTGGAGTTCAGAATGCTCTTTGATTGTAGGTGAACTATAAATCCCAGCAACTGCAACTCCCAAATGAGAAAATGAATTTTGTAGTGATGGTCACTCATTGAGTTGTTAAGCGTATTGTGTCCTAATTTGTTATCAATGTCTAGTGGTTTTTGAGTTATGTTAATCCCACAAACGAACATTGCATTTTTATTTATATAGACTAGCCGTCCCCTGCCATGCGCTGCTGTGGCCCACATGGGGGTTCTGTGTGGGAGGTTTGGCCCAATTCTATCATTGGTGGAGTTCAGAATGCTCTTTGACTGTAGGTGAACTACAAATCTCAGTAACTACAACTCCCAAATGGCAAGATTCTATTTTCCCTAAACTCCACCAGTGTTGACATTTTGGCATATTGAGTATTCTTGTAGAGTTTAGTCCAGAGTCCACAGTGCTCTCTGGATATAGGTGAACTACAACTCCAAAACCAAAGGACACTGCCCACCAAACCCTTCCAATATTTTCTGTTGCTCATGGGAGTTCTGTGTAACAAATTTGGTTCAATTCCAACGTCAGTGGAGTTCAGAATGCTCTTTGATTGTAGGTGAACTATAAATCCCAGCAACTACAACTCCCAAATGACAACATCATATTTTTTTTAGTGATAGTCACTCATTGGGTTGTTAGGCGTATTGTGTCCAAATTTGGTGTCAATCCGTCCAGTGGTTTTTGAGTTCTGTTAATCCCACAAACGAACATTGCATTTTTATTTATATAGATTGGGATGCTTGCCTCCGTTCTGCTTCTCATTTCAGGTGGTCTTGCAGAAGTGCAAAGTCAAGTCCCTCATGCACAGTCCCGGGGATTACATCCTTTTAAGCGCAGATAAATACGAAATCAAGGTAGGTACAGTCTCTCCCTTTTGCAGAGCTTAAGAAGTCAGAGAGACAGAAGACTTCATTAGTTTAGGAACATTGTAAGAACATCAGGACTATCTAGCCCAGCATTCTGTTTCTGGCAGGATTCTGCTAAAATCTGTAGAAAGTCCACAAGTAAACCAAGAAGACAGTAATAACCCTCTCCTACTGCAGTCTCATGGGGCTGTAGTGGTGCAGCGGGTTATACCGCTAAGCTGCAGAACTTGCTGATCGGAAGGTCGGCGGTTCGAATCCACAGACGGGGTGAGCTCCCATTGTTAGGCCCAGCTTCTGCCAACCTAGCAGTTTGAAAACATGCAAATGTGAGTAGATCAATAGGTACCACTTCTGCGGGAAGGTAATAGCACTCCATGCAGTCCACATGACCTAGGAGGTGTCTATGGACAGCACCAGCTCTTCAACTTAGAAATGGAGATGAGCACCAATTTCAACAGAAAGGAGGAAACCATGAAAATGAACAAAATCTGGCTACCAATATTTAAAAAAACTCTAAGATTACAATAGCAAAACAACAGAGAGTAAACAATCAGGCACATCTAATCACCTCTCACCAAAAGATTCCCCCAGGCACTGCCAAGCCATCAACTGCCAATTAAGGTGATCAGTTGAAACATTCACACCTAGCTCCAACAGACAAGAGTCCTTTGCCCCACCCTGGTCATTCCACAGATATATAAACCCACTTTCCTACTTCCAACAGACCTCACTACCTCTGAGGATGCTTGCCATAGATGCAGGCGAAATGTCAGGAGAAAATGCCTCTAGAACATGGCCATATAGCCCGAAAAACCTACAACAACCCAATAATAAAATAATTGAAGTACGTGCTTTTGAGTGAGCGATAGAGAAGGTTATCAAAGAGAGCTTGGTTTTAGCCAATTGTCAAACACTGTTGTCCAAGTCTTTATTTTTATTTTTGGGTGACAGATCTGGCCAATTGGAAGAGAAATTAACTGCAAATGCTTAAAAACCCTGACCGTTTCGGAGGACCGCAGCATCTCCCTGCAGCCCCGGCTACACTTTGACGGGAAATACATCGTGTGCAGTTCAGCCATTGGGTTGTTCCAGTGGGATTTTGCCAGCTATGATATCCTCAGGTAATACTACCAGCGAAAAATACGCTTATCGATCCACAAATCAAACCAGAAGTGGCATAATCACCTCTTGGCAATTCCTTTGCCAAAGGTAGCAAACACTGAACCTGGTGCACCACTTTCCTTGGCTGAGTTTTAGTTCTTGTCTTGCCTTTCATGCCTCTCAGTGAAGTTACAAGATGGGATTTGCAGCCAAGAATGGGAGGCAATTTCCTACTGGTTTTCATCCTCTTTGGGCCATTTCACGTTTGGGAGAGATCTAATTTCAACAGGAGATCACCCTAGAGCAGTTTCTGGTTTTTTTTGTTTTGTTTGTTTTTTTGGAGAAATGTTCTGGGGGTCCAAAATATGTGAAAGGTGTCATAAGGAGTTGGTAATGGGAGTTCTGCACGCCAAGTTTGGTTCAGTTCCATTGTTGGTGGAGTACAGAAAGCTGTTTGATCGTAGGTGAACTATAAATCCCAGGAACTACAACTCCCAAATGACAAAATCAATCCCTCCCTCAACCTTACCAGTATTCCAGTTTGGGCGTATAGTAATAATGATAATAATAATACTTTATTTGTACTCCGCTACCATCTTCCCAAGGGACTCAGTGCGGCTTACATGAGGCTGAGCCCACAATACAACAATAAAAACAATAGCAACAGTAATACAAACAATAAATAAAACTCATAAACAGAAAATAGCAATAAACATTAACAATAACACAATGACGCTTAAAAACCTATGGCAGGGCCAAATGTACTAATTAAAAATTTAAAAAATAATGCTGGGTGTGACCAGGTGACTTATAAACAGGATAGAAATTTTGGAGAAGGGATAGAGCATGCAGACAATCCTAGATCACTAATAAAGTGTGTTTAGGGACATATTGCTGGGAGTTTCCTTATTCTGGGAAGGCACACTGGAACAACCATGTTTTCAGGCTCCTCCTAAAGACTGCCAGCGTTGGGGCATTTCTGATATCCCTGGGGAGTGAGTTCTAGAGTCGAGGGGCCACCACCGAAAAGGCCCTGTCCCTCGTCCCCACCAATCGCGCTTGCGATGGAGGCGGAAGCGCGAGCAGGGCCTCTCCAGATGATCGAAGAGATCGCGTGGGTTCGTACACAGTGATGCGGTCACGCAGGTAGGCGGGTCCCAAACTGTTTAGGGCTTTGTAGGTAAGCACCTGCACCTTGAATTGGGACTGGTAAATGAATGGCAGCCAATGGAACTCCTTAAACAGAAGGGTTGACCGCATTGGGTATTTGTGCCAAATTTGGTCCAGTGAATGAAAATACATCCTGTATGCCAGATATTTACATGACGATTCATAACAGTAGCAAAATTACAGTTATGAAGTAGCAAGGAAAATAATGTTATGGTTGGGGGTCACCACAACAGGAGGATCTGTATTAAGGGGTCACAGCATTAGGAAGGTTGGAGCCCCGATTACTGCAGTGGATTAAACCCTTATGCTGGCAGGACTGAAGATCAACAGGTTGGAGGTTTGATTCTGGGGAGAGCGCGGATGAGCTCCCTCTGTCAGCTCCAACTCCCCATGTGGGGACATTAGAAAAGCCTCCCACAAGGATGGTAAAACATCAAAACATCCAGGCGTCCCCTGGGCAACGTCCTTGCAGACGGCCAATTCTCTCACACCAGAAGCAACTTGCGGTTTCTCCTGACACAAAAAAAAAAATTAGGAAGGTTGAAAAACACTGCTTTAACCCATTCTTAACTTGTATATCCTGGCTCCAACAGTATCGTCAGACATTACTATCACGATGGAGTTGTATCCTATGCCTGACAATGAAGGCTCTCCGTTTGGATTTATTCCAAATATAAAATATCTTTGGAGTATTGTTTTTTTTTTCCCTCCTGCTGATCTGTATTTTCTTTATTCTCTCCCTGTTGCAGGGTTATCAAACCCCCCGAGTCGGCAAACTTGTCCTTGCTGGGCTTCGGTGACATTTTTGCTCTCCTGTTTGATAGCCACTTCCTGTACATCATGGATTTGAGGACAGAGAAACTGATCAGCCGTTGGCCGCTGCCGGAATATCGGAAGTCCAAGAGAGGCTCCAGCTTTTTGGCCGGAGAAACATCTTGGCTGGACGGTTTGGACGGTCAGAACGACATGGGCCTGGTGTTTGCCACTAGCATGCCAGACCACAGTATTCACCTGGTTTTGTGGAAGGAGCACGGCTGAAAAAAAGGAGGAGAAAAAGAAAACAAGCCAGCCGAATACGTGACATAAGAAAAATATGAAACGAAAACACAACTTTGGAGACCGACCGCCAGCGATGGATGAATCAGACCGAGGAGACTGCATGAACCAAAGCTGCACATTTTAATGGATATCATCATGCAATGCACAATCATTTTATCTTTTTTTAAAAATCTCGGCATCCTTTTGATGAGAGAAGGGAGTTGGGGGATGATTACACGATTTCCTTTGCATCATGGCATGCTAACAGCTTCCATCACTGCCTCATGTATACTCATGTTCAAACATACACATCTGAGCATTTAGATCAACTGTTACTTTTTTGTTTGGTTTTATTGAGTGGGGAACTATTCAACAGAAAAGTGTATTTGGAGCTGTATCCAGTGCTGGATTCATGAGAGTCTCCTCTCATTCCTGCCGCATCTCAGACTTCATGACAAACCACCCGTAGCGCCTTTTTTGGGGGCCAGAAAAGGTTGCAAGGGAAGGGACGGGAAAAGAAATCCCACCGCAAACATCCCATTGTGTCTCAAAACATTTCCATTCGCCTCTTCCTCCAAATACATCCTCCTGAAGATGGTTTGTAATCAGAATTGCTTTGGAAAATAGATCTTACTTGCAGAGTTTGAAAACAAAACAATACAAAACGGGGGGGGGGGGGGGGGGAGTGAGCCAGCTGATCAGTTTCTATTTGCCTTCCTAGCTCTGTTCTTGTTCATATCCTGTGGGTGACTTAGGGCTGTGTCAATGCGTTTCCTATGTGCGAAAGCCCCTTTTTGGTGGGATGCAAAGGGCTATTATCCTTTGGAACTTCCTGTCAAACCACTCTTATGTTTTCAAAGTGGAAAGAAGGTTAGAAAGCAACTCAGACTTGGCTGCTTTCAGCTTTGGGGAGAAAGGAAAAGACAGATACATTCCAATTGAGAGCAAGTCATCCTTTCTTCCTCCTCCTCCTCCTCCTCCTGAGCTGCTTTGTTGTGCTCTGAGGTGTCTTCTTCCTCTTCCTCTTGATAATAAGTGACAGCTTCTTAAAGCATATCCTGTTTCTCTGAAAATAAGACCTTCCCTGAAAATAAAACCTACGCTGAAAATAAGACCTTCCCTAGAAATAAAACCTACCCTGAAAATAAGGCCTAGCATGATTTTTGAGGATGCTCAAAATATAAGCCCTACTTCAAAAATAAGCCTAGTTACGATTAAATAAAATATATCAATTTGGTGGGGAAGGTGTCCCCTGAAAATAAGCCCTAGCACATCTTTTGGAGCAAAAATTAATACAAGACCCTGTCTTACTTTCAGGGAAACGGGGTGTGTGTGTGTGTGTATGTATATGCATGTGTGTGTGTGTGTGTGTGTATATATGCATGTGTATGTATGTATGTGTGTATATATATACGCATACACACACATATATATATATATGCAGCTGAATAAGCCTAGTTACGATTAAATAAAATATATCAATTTGGGGGGGAAGGCGTCCCCTGAAAATAAGCCCTAACACATCTTTTGGAGCAAGAATTAATACAAGACCCTGTCTTACTTTCAGGGAAACGGGGTGTGTGTGTATGTATATGTATGTATGTATGTATGTGTATATATATATATGTGTGTGTGTGTATGTGTATATATATATATACACATACATATATATATATATGCACCTGAATAAGCCTAGTTACGATTAAATAAAATATATCAATTTGGGGGGGAAGGCGTCCCCTGAAAATAAGCCCTAACACATCTTTTGGAGCAAAAATTAATACAAGATCCTGTCTTACTTTCAGGGAAACTGTGTGTGTGTGTGTGTGCAGCTGAATAACAAGATTCTGCAAATTTCAGGATAATTTAGGAACCAAATTTTACATCTAAATCCGGAGTGTTCAGGTATTTGGGTCTCTACCTCTCAGAAACCCAAGTTGTCCAATGACCAGGAATTTTGGGAACTGAAGTCCAAAACAAGTTTGACACCATTGGAATCTTAACAGAAATATTGGTCGTTCTCTTCTACTCGGTGATCGTAGTTGTGGTGCATACAACTCAAAAAAATTCAGAAGCAGGCAAAGCGAAAACAGAACTGCTCCTTCAAGGACTTTGTCTTTTTGTTAAGTTGGGTTAAGTCAGCCTCTCGAATGGAATCGAAATCTCCGCCTGCTTGTCTTTGTGCAGAAGGAGGCTCCACATTTTAGAGGCAGAGCAGAACACATCTTTTTTTATCCCCTCCACGGAAAGAGCTGTCACTGCCGTTGCTTCTGAATCAAGTGAGAGAAAGGCAAGGATGGTAAGTGGAAGAAGAAAAAAGATTGCCGTTGCCATAGTCTCCTTATGAAGAGAATGGGGTGAAGGAAGAGGATGGGAAAGGAGAGGTTTTCGTGCTGGTTTATTCCCACAGCCCTTTCAAAAAAGAATCAGAGTATTCTACAAATCATTGTGCTGGCAAATCCTCCGGTTCAAAACTGGGCTCGGCGTTTGTGCTTCAAAGGGGAAGCATTGCAGGGAAATGGATGGGATGGGAATGGGATACTGAGCCTTTTTCCCTGCCCTTCCTTTGTGGATCTTTTCCTCCAAGAAGAGCTGGAGCAGGCAGTTGCCTCCTTCCGGCACGTGCTATCTATCAATGTTTACACCAACAATATAAATAAAACCGTCTGCCTGGTTTAACATTTGTGCCAATGTGTCGTTATTGACTGACATTCAGAAGAAGACCTACAAGCCGCTCTAAACACCTTTGCAGAAGCATACGAGAAGCTCAGCCTGTCATTAAACATCGAGAAAACCAAAGCTGATGTGGTCTATCCAATGCAGTTTTCTAAATCAGCTCCCCAAATAACCAAACCAAATCTGAAGTTGACCTAAAACTGATTTGTACGAATGTTGAAGAGTGGTCCCTGGTCAAAGTAGCTGCTTTGACCACAACCTCTGAGGATACCTGCTACAGATGCAGGTGAAACATCAGGAGAGAATGCTTCTAGAATATGGCCATACAGCCAGAAAAACCTACAACAACCCATGAAAGCTTTCGACAATACAAACTGGCCCCTGTTCAAGTGGTTCCTGGTCAACAAAAAGTTGGGAACCACTGTATCCTGTATTCTGCGTCTCCTCCAAAGCACTTAGATGTGGATATAACCTCCTACTCTTGTCCTCAGAACAACCTAGTTAGGAAAAGCTAAACTAGTAGAGATATAAAACCATAAAAATTTAAAAGTTGGAAGGGACCTCAAGGACAGTCCAGTCAATCTCCCTGCGATGCAGAAATACAGAACTAAAGCATGATGCCCATCCAAGGTCTGTTTCAAGACAAAATAAATAGTCCACCGCCCTTTGAAGCAGTTCATTTCACCATGAAATACTTCTTAGCAGCAAAGAGTTGAGTTGGAATCTATTGTCATTTGAATCCACCGTGCAGGAGCAAGCTCCATCGTCTACATAGAGTCATAAATAATGAAGAGCGGCAGCATTTTGCTCCAAGCGTTCTATCAGACTTGGATGGCAAACTTCTGGCATGCTTTCCCTCTAAGATGCATTTTTCAAAAAGATACAAAACAAAACGTGGTTATAAATAAATAAGCACTGCTGAAGAAGCAACCACTTGGAATCCATTTGCCACTAAGTGTCTGTTTGGATGCCATGAAATAATGTCTTTCTTCCAGTTTTACAGTCATTGCAATCTCATTCATTTCAAGCCTTTGCACTCCTTGGAAACTTCAGGTTGAGAAAGAGGATCCCGCCCATTGGGTTTCTTTCAGTTCGTATTCATAAAGTTATAAAATGTTAGGGTGTTGTGTGATTACTGGATTGCATGGCCATGTTCTAGCACAGGCGTGGGCAAACTTTGGTGATGGAACAAAGGAAGGGAAAGAGGAAAGGAAGAGAAGAAGAAGGATGGACGGATGAAAGGGAGGAAGGGAAGGATGGAAGGAGAAAGAGGGAGAGAGGGAAGAAGAGAGGAAAGAAGGAAGGAAAAAAGAGTGGAAGAAAAGGATGGAAGGGAAAGAGGAAGGAAAAAGGAAGAAAAAAGGATGGAAGGGAATGATGGAAGGAGAAAGGGAGAGAAGAAAGGAGGGGGAAAGAGAAGGAAGGAAAGGTGGAAGGAAAGAAGGAGAAAGAGGGAGATGGAGGGAGGAAAAAAGGAAGGACAAAAGGGTGGAAGGAAAGGATGGAAGGGAAAGAGGAAGGAAAAAGAGTAAGAAAAAAGGGTGGAAGGGAAGGAGAAAGGGAGAGGGAAGGAGGGAAGAAAGAGAGAAGGAAGGAAAGACAAAAGGGAAGGAAGGAAGAGTGGAAGGAAAGAAGGAGAAAGAGGAAGAGACGGATGGAGGGAGGAAAGAAGGAAGGACAAAATGATGGGAGGAAAGGATGGGAAAGAGGAGGGAAACAGAAGAAAGGACAGAAGGGTGGAAGGGAAGGATGGAAGGAGAAAAAGGTCGGGAAGGGAGGGAAGAAGGAAGGAAAAAGAGAAGGAAGGAAAGACAAAAGGGTGAAAGGGAAGGATGGAACGAAGGAAGAGCAGGAGGAAAGGAAGAGAGAAGGAAGGAAGGACAAAAGGGTGGAAGGGAATGGAGGGAGGGAAGGGAGGGAGGAAAGGGAGAAGGAAGGAAAGAGAAAATGGAAGGGAGGAGAAAGAGGGAGAAAGGGAAGGATAAATAGATGGAAGGGAAGGAGAAAGAGGGAGGGAAGGTGGAAGGAAGGAAAGAGAGAAGTATGGAAGGATAGGATGGTGAGAGAGAGGAGGGCCTGAGAAAAGAGCGAAGGGGCCTGGGTTTACCCATACTTGTTCTAGCAGGATTTTCTCATGACATTTCGCCTCTGAAGATGCCAGCCACAGATGCAGGCAAAACGTCAGGAGTAAATGCTGCTAGAACATGGCCATAAAGCCCGGAAACCACACAACACCCCAGTGATTCCAGCCATGAAAGTCTTTGACAACACATTATGAAATGCTGACCAGGATTTCATCCCTTCTGCTCTGTGTTTATGGCTTCTCTGGTGACAATGGTATCTTTTGTAGCACCTGGCTAACACTGTGGATGAGTAACGAGTTGTATCTCCAGAGCGTGGTGTCCCTAATGAGGAATTTTTGGGGCAGGGATGGTTGGTGGGGGAGTCGGCAATGATGCACCATCGCGATGTCCATAGGAACCTCCACGCTTTCGCCAAAGGCTTGGAGGACAGAGTGAACCGAAGTCTGGACCACCTTCCTGGGATCGACAATGATCTTCCGTGGGTTGATGATCTCTTTCCGATCCGGTTCTCGGAGAACGTGGTGCAATATGTTGACTCCAGGGACCGTGTTCCAGGAGGGAACGTCAATGGCGTTGGGGGCGAATATGGTGTTAGGAAAGAGGTGGCTCTCAAAGAGGAAGACGCCAGCCTCTGGGTTCTGCTCCTCCAGGCTCTCCATCATGGCTTTCCAATTTGTATGCTTGATGGGCAGTATAATTTCATCGATGTCGTTCAGCAGCACATACCTACTCCGGTACATATTCCGGTACACACAGTCATTTAACGCTGCAATCTGCCCATAGTAGCCAATTTGAGTCCCATCATCCTTAGAAAGCCATTCTTTAGAAACGTTGAGGTAGGACGTGATTGGCCAGGGAACAATCTCCAGCGTCCCCTCGGCCACATAAAACTCTAGGACTTTCTCCATCAGTTGGCTGCAGTTGTTCTTATAAACCACGACTTTTTGCATCCCGAGGAGTTTGTACATTTCCATGCTCTGTATGAACTGTAGGACGTTGTTGTAGTTTCCAAACATGGTGGAAATGCACACTGTGAAATCCACAGGAAAAGCCTGAGGCTTCCGGTTTTTGATCTCAAACCACGGCGAGAGACTGACATCTTCGTTAGAAAATGGGTGCAAGGCCACATAACGGGGATCACAGCTAGTGGGCTCCATGCAGACCATGTCTGCCACCGCATACGGGAACCCAAACCGATCCGAATGGATATTGGTCACCACTTTTGAGACGTAGGCTTCGTCCCTGGACGGGCAACAAAACCAACAATACTGTTCCTTGACCTTTTCGTGATGCACGATGCCAATAACACGCGTTGTCTTCTCCTGCCTGTTATCAAAATAGGCAGCAATGACCAATGTGCTATTGCCTTTTAAGACCGAAATTGAATTGTTGGTGACTTCTCCTCTGCAAAGATCTCTCCGCAGAACCGTTTTTGGTAAAAGATGGTATTTCTGTATCTGGTGGTAGGAAAGTGTTAGCATGGAAGCAAAAGCCACCAGACATATCCCTATAGCCAAGTAGGTTTTCCTTCTGAAGCAGATCATTCTAAGCTGGTGCCGCATCCGAATGTGCGCGATGGATGAGCCTGCAATAGAGAAGTCAAGGCAAGTAATCTGGATATGATCAATACTTATGTCCTATAATACCAAAAACATGGAGTAATCTATATAAATATGTAATATTCATTTGTGGGATTAACATAACTCAAAAAACACTGGACGAATTGACACCAAATTTGGACACAACACACCTAACAGGCCAACGAGTGACCATCTATATCAGGGGTTCTCAGACTTTTTAAACAGAGGGCCAGGTCACAGTCCCTCAAACTGTTGGAAGGCCGGATTATAATTTGAAAAAAACATGAATGAATTCCTATGCACACTGCACATATCTTATTCGTAGTGCAAGAACACTTTAAAACAATACAATAATTAAAATGAAGAATAATTTTAACAAATATAAGCTTATTAGTATTTCAATGGGAAGTGTGGGCCTGCTTTTGGCTGATGAGATAGGGTTGTTGTTGTTGCTGTTGTTGTGTGCTTTAAGGTCATTTCAGACTTAGATTGATCCTGAGCGAGGGCTGGGTAAATGACCTTGGAGGGCCATATCCGGCCCTTGGGCCGCAGTTTGAGGATCCCTGATCTATATCTATATAAATAAAAGTGCAATTTTTGTTTGTGGGATTAACATAACTCAAAAACCACTGGACGAATGCTGCCAAATTTGGCCGCAAGACACCTGCTAATCTAAGGAGTGACCATCACTCAAAAAATGGTTTTGTCATTTGGGAGTTGTAGTTGCTGGGATTTATAATGAACCTACAATCAAAGAGCATTATAAACTCCACCAATGATAGAATTGAACCCAACATGGCACACAGGACTCCCATGACTAACATAAAACACTAGAAGGGTTTGGGGGGGGGGGGGCATCGACCTTGAGTTTGGGAATTGTAGTTCACCTACATCCAGAGAGCACTGGACAACAAACAAGGATGGATCTGGACCAAACTTGGAAAGAATACTCAATATTCCCAAATATAAACACAGATGGGGTTTGGGGAAATAGACCTTGACATTTGGGAGTTGTATTACTGGGATTTATAGTTCACCTGCAATCAAAGAGCATTCTGAACCCCACCAACAACAGAATTGGGGCAAACTTCCCACACAGATCCCCAATGACCAACAGAAAATACTTAAGGCCATCCAGTCCAACTCCCTTCACCAGGGCAAGAAAATGTAATCAAAACCCTCCTGACAAAGAGCCATCCAGCCATTGATATAGATAGAGATATATGATTCACACAGAGAGAGATATAGTGTAGATTTGAAAGGGACCCCTAAAGAAGGACAATTGTATGTTGCATGTTCCAGACTAGGCAAACCAGACATCAACACTGGCAAAGAAACAACAAGAAATACTGTTTACCAAGAAGCAGAAAGTAATTACATATATTAGAAACCAACACTTTCTCATTACTTTATTTTCCAGATCAACAGACTGGGCCACAGCAACGCCTGGCAGGGGATGGCTAGTTGGATAATAAACAAGTGTACTCTAAATATTGAAGCAAGCGTAACTCAATGGATACTTCATCCTACAAGGGAAAGTAATCCATGAAGCAAAAATATCCCTTGTATACCAGAGACTGGCATTTCCCCCTTGGCAGCTCCAAAATCCAGTCTTATGACAATATGCAAAGAGGTTGGCCTTCTAATTGTGACAAGAGTCTAAGTCTACCTTATACTCACTGTTTGTGTCTTTTTGTAATCATCACAAAAATTAGTAGCTTGCAAACATCTCATTTAGCAAGTCACACTAAAGTTGTCCCCAGGCTCAGCATAGAGCAGCTGAAGAAGCCACCCCCATCCAAGGCTATTCCAAAATTGGGTGGAGAGCTTTGGGGATTGCAAAATGCTTGGCCTTGTCCCCACAGCCAGAGGCAAGAGAGGGAGCTTGGATGCCTATTCCTGAGCCAGGTCACTATTTTTATGTGAATAAAGGTTTGGTTGCAGGTGTCTACGGACAATGCCGGCTCTTTGGCTTATAAATGGAGATGAGCACCACCTCACAGAGTCAGACACTATGAGACTTAATGTCAGGGGAAACCTTTACCTAATCTTCCTCAATATACAATATCTTACTATACTAAGAATCAGAACTATATGGGATCAGACATGCTATGTCACTTAACAGCCACCACTGTCTATTATTATTATTATTATTATTATTATTATTATTGACACAAAAGCACAGTATGTCACAGCAAACGAGATCTATATGCTGGATTTCGTATCACAAAATCACAAGTCGAACATTTCCCAAGCGTCTAGGACTTTGTGATGTATATTATTATTATTATTATTGACACAAAAGCACAGTATGTCACAGCAAACGAGATCTATATGCTGGATTTCGTATCACAAAATCACAAGTCGAACACTTCCCAAGCGTCTAGGACTGTGTGATTATTATTATTATTATTATTATTATTATTACACAAAAGCACAGTATGTCACAGCAAACGAGATCTATATGCTGGATTTCGTATCACAAAATCCAAGGCAAACATTTCTCAAGCGTCTAGGACAGTGTGATATATTATTATTATTATTATGGACACAAAATCACAGTATGTCACAGCAAACGAGATCTATATGCTGGATTTCGTATCACAAAATCACAAGTTGAACACTTCCCAAGCGTCTAGGACTGTGTGATGTATATTATTATTATTATTATTATTATTGACACAAAAGCACAGTATGTCACAGCAAACGAGATCTATATGCTGGATTTCGTATCACAAAATCACAAGTCGAACACTTCCCAAGCGTCTAGGACTGTGTGATGTTATTATTATTATTATTATTATTATTATTATTATTGACACAAAAGCACAGTAGGTCACAGCAAACGAGATCTATATGCTGGATTTCGTATCACAAAATCACAAGTCGAACACTTCCCAAGCGTCTAGGACTTTGTGATGTATATTATTATTATTATTATTATTATTTGACACAAAAGCACAGTATGTCACAGCAAACGAGATCTATATGCTGGATTTCGTATCACAAAATCACAAGTCGAACACTTCCCAAGCGTCTAGGACTTTGTGATGTTTATTATTATTATTATATAAATTTGTTAGGGGCATCCAACGAGGAAACAAAACTCAAAAAAAACCCCAACGAAACTTAACCAAAATTCCCATGCCATAACACAACCCACAAGGTACAAACATATCTACTCAAAATGAAAAACAACACAACAACACACTCACAAAACGGCAAAACAACAAAACTCAAAAACCCCAACGAAACTTAACCAAAATTCCCATGCCCATAACACAACCCACAAGGTACAAACATATCTACTCAAAATGAAAAACAACACAACAACACACTCACAAAACGGCAAAAGGATAAAACTCTAAAAAAACCAACGAAACTTAACCAAAATTCCCATGCTCATAACACAACCCACAACGTACAAACATATTACTCAAAATGAAAAACAACACAACAACACACTCAAAACGGCAAAAAAACAAAACTCAAAAAAACCCCAACGAAACTTAACCAAAATTCCCATGCCCATAACACAACCCACAAGGTACAAACGTATCTACTCTAAATGAAAAACAACACAACAACACACTCACAAAATGGCAAAACAACTGAGCATGCGCATTGGCGCCCAGCCGCAAGTTCCCTGGCGCGCGCACATGCCCTTCCGGCCAACGTTCCCTCTGCGGAAACCATGCCCACTCCAAGCCCCGCCGCGCCGCTTCCCGCACACACACACACCCCTGCCGCACATACACACACAACCCCACACTCCATCACTCCCCCCGCCGCCGCACACACACACGCAACCCCACACTCCATCACTTCCCCCGCTGCCGCACGCACACACGCAACCCCACTCCCCCCGCCGCCGCACACACACACGCAACCCCACGCTCCATCACCCCCCGCTGCCGCACGCACACACCGAACCCCACTCCCCCCGCCGCCGCACACACACACACACCCCACGCTCCACCACCCCCCCCCGCCGCCGCACACACACGCAACCCCACGCTCCATCACTCCCCCCGCCGCTGCACACACACACACACCCCCACGCTCCATCACTCCCCCACCCCAATCTTACCTCCTTTTACTTCACGCCACCTCCAAACCCCACCCCGCCCCTTCCCGCCCTGTCAAAATCTAGGAAAGACAGGAAGGAAGGAAAGAAGGAAGAAAGAGAAAGGGAGGTAAAGAAAAAGGGGGAAGGAAGGAAAGTTAGAGAAAGAAGAAGAAGAAAAGGAAAGAAAAGGAAAGATGGAAGGAAAGAAAAGAGAGACAGCAGAAAAGAAAGAAAAAGGGGGAAGGAAGGAAAGAGATAGAGAAAGGAGAAGGAAAGATGGGAAGGAAGGAAGGAAGGAAGGAGGGAAAGAAGGAGAGAAAGAGGGAAGATTGGCCACAGCAACACGTGGCGGGTAAAGGTTGTTATTTCTATTATTATTATGCTATTATTCCTATTAGACCCTGGGGGAATGGGAGAGGTGTCAGGTCCCAGAGGCAATGCATTGCATTATTGTTATTGTTATGATGGTGGTGAAATAAAAGGAAATAAAAAGTGAAAGAAGGAAGCAAACAGGGAGGGAAGAAAGGCAAAGAAGAAAGGGGGAGGGAATGAAGGAAAGAGAGAAGGATGAAACCAAGTAGTGAAAGAAAGAAAGAGGTAGAGAAGGAAGAAAGGAGAGAAAGGGGGAGGAAAAGGGGGAAGGAATAGGTGGGTACCTCTCTTTCATAATAGTCCAGATATCTACCTCAACTTTGATAAGTTTTACTATAGGCCACAGCAACGCGTGGCAGGGCACAGCTAGTTATTATTATTATTATTATTATTTTACTGACACAAAAGCACAGTATGTCACAGCAAACGAGATCTATATGCTGGATTTCGTATCACAAAATTACAAGTCGAACACTTCCCAAGCGTCTAGGACTGTGTGATGTATATTATTATTATTATTATTATTATTATTATTATTATTATTATTATTATTATTATCCCTACTATCTGTCTCATTATCTGTACAACAAACGTAATTTTCAATGGTAAGCAAACAGTATTTTGCCCCCCCCCCCACCAATCACTGATATATATTTTCTCTTCGTCGTGGGAGTTCTGTGTGCCATATTTGGTTCAATTCCATCATTGGTGGAGTTCAGAATGCTCTTTGATTTTAGGTGAACTATAGTGAACATGGAGTACTATACACCTGACCCGTAAAAACATCAGAAACACCTCTTTATGTAAAAAAGGAACTCTCTATAAAGTAATTAAAGTACAAAAAGCAGCAGAGGACAAGTAAATAACTCATTTTCTATCTGAAATAATCCGCAAGAAAAGAAATTAGTGGACAAACAGAAAAGCACGATTCTAAAATTATTAGTTTTTTTCCTTCCCTATTACAATGCTATGAGTAAGCAAAATGGACATTCGGCACTATTTAGGACTCTAAAAACGATACTGATAAGCAGAGATAAAACAAAACAGAGTACCTGCTAACTCCTCGCTCAGGACCACGCCTCAAGCTTGTATGTTTCCACGTTGTTTTCCACTTCTCAGATGCCAGAACAAGTACCGTATATTCCAAAAATAGTGCAACACCGAGCCAGATTATCCTTCACCCTTCAGGTTTACTGTTTCACTTTGAGTAAATCATTTATTTTCCAGCTGACCATCTAGATATTGCAACTCCACATATCTGGTAAAAAGACCAAATACATCCAAAATAATAAAAAGAGACAGAGGAGAAGAAGAGACACAGAAGGCTGAAGCTCCAACAGAGCATCCAGGTTTTTTTTCCCAACAGGCGCATCTGGGTATGTCATAAAATCGAAGCTTGCTAGAAAAACAAGCTTGGCAACTTGCTAACAGCAGAAGACTATTTGAAGGCATTCGAAAGGAAGACTTGGATGCATTTTGCTACCTGATCGCATGTACGGATAAAGAAGGACAGAGCCAAGCGACCCAACAGGTTGGGGTTTTAACTACGCCAGAAGGAGAATTAATAGTGCGGATCCAAACTGGATTGTGTGGGTATTGCTTATCTCCTTTTCAACAAGCCGCAGATTAGTATTTCTCCCACTTCCGAATGCCGCGACCCCTTAATACATTTCCTCATGTTGTGGTGACCCCCAACCATAACATTATTTTCCTTGCAACTGCAATGACTTGGAAGGGGGGGGGGGTATCATATGGACCAATTGCAGGCAAAGTTTAATGGCACACCATAGTCAAAACTTAGATTATAATCTCCTTTGAATTTATTTACAAACACACATGCCAAACCGGCTGGACTCATTCCAAGTTTCAAAACTCCTTGCTCAATCCAAGTGAAGATAAAGAGAGATTTGAAGGGAGTGGTGATCTACCACATAAACCCTTTCAACCAGTTTGGGACAATAGAAACACCGGACTATTGGGATCAGTAATCTTCCCAACCGCTGAGCTGCTGAACTTGCTGACCGAAAGGTTGCCTGTTTGAATCCAGGGAGTTGGATGAGCTCCCGCTGTTAGCCCCAGCTTATACGGCACCGGCCCAGCGAACCTGTCCGAACGTATAATAATAAATAATAATAAACTTTATTTGTACCCCGCTCCATCTCCCCAATGGGGACTTGGTGCGGCTTACATGAGGTCAAGCCCAAAACAACAATTACATGAAATAAAACAAACTGAAAATGCAAATAAACAATAATAGCACAATTACATAAAACAAAGACAACATAGCAATATAAAATTACAATAATCACTATCACAATAACATGGGCGAACATATCTCCTTCTACGTCCCGCCTAGGAATTTAAGATCTTCTGGAGGGGCCCTGCCCTCGCCCTTGTCACAGATGAGATTGGCAGGGACGAGGGACAGGGCCTTTTCAGTGGTGGCTCCCCGCTTGTGGAATTCACTCCCCGGGGAAATTAGATCATCGTCATCCCTCCTCTCTTTCAGAAGGATATGGGACTAGGCCTTTGGCTAATCTGGCAGACTGACAAGGACAATGCCGACTAAAACTTTGGAAACGGACTATGATAAGCGGAATGAATTTATTAATTACGGACTTGGCGAAACGATGGCCACCAGGCTGGCTTTTCATTGTATTAATGTAATTTTTAACTGTTTATAATTATTGTTACTATGTATTTTATTGTGTTGAATTGTAGGCATCAAACATATGCCAGTTGGAAGTTGCACTGCGTCCCCCTTAGGGGGTTGAGAGGTAGAAGTACTTGAAAGAAAGAAATAAATTCTGCCAGCCTAGCAGTTCGAAAACTTGCAAATGTGAGTAGATCAATAGGTACCGCTCTGGTGGGAAGGTAATGGTGCTCCATGCAGTCATGCTGGCCACATGACCTTGGAGGTGACCTTGGACAACGCCAGCTACATGACCTTGGAGGTGACCATGGACAACGCTGGCTCTTCGGCTTAGAAATGGAGATGAGCACCACCCTCAGAGTCAGACATGACTGGCCTTAGTGTCAGGGGACAACCTATACCTTTTTATGAAGAAGGATAAATCCAAAATTATAGTCTTTGGAAAAAACAGGAAATGGTACACGTGGTCCCTGAAAGGCGTACATTTGGAACAAATTAATTGCTACAAACATCTAGGCATTATGTTCTCTTCATCTGGTGCTTGGGCTAACCACATTACTCATAGAATACAAAGAGCAACGAAAGCAGCAGGTTCCATTTATAAGTTGTACCAACCCCTCGGAACAGATATGACTGGACTTTACCTAATCTTCCTCAATTTACAACATCTTACTATACTCAGAACTATATGGGATCAGACATGTTATGTGACTTAACAGCAGCCCCTATCTATCTATCTATCTATCTATCTATCTATCTATCTATCTATCTTTATTATTATTATTATTATTATTATTATTATTATTATTATTATTATTAGGTTGTTGTAGGTTTTTTCGGACTATATGGCCATGGTCTAGAGGCATTCTCTCCTGACGTTTTGCCTGCATCTATGGCAAGCATCCTCAGAGGTAGTGAGGTCTGTTGGAACTAGGAAAAAGGGTTTATATATCTGTGGAATGACCAGGGTGAGACAAAGGACTCTTGTCTGCTGGAGCTAGGTGTGAATGTTTCAACTGACCACCTTGATTAGCATATAATGGCTTGACAGTGCCTAGAGCAAACTTTTGTTGAGAGGTGATTAGATGTCCTTGTTTGCATGGTGGACATCTGTGGACAAGTCTACATAGGGACCACCAAATGCAGCATTGCCCAAACACGAATCAAGGAACATGAAAGGCACTGCAGACTACTTCAACCAGAGAAGTCATCCATAGCAGAGCACCTGATGAACCAGCCTGGACACAGCATATTATTTGAGAACACAGAAATGCTGGACCACTCTTACAACCACCATGTCCGACTACACGGAGAAGCCATTGAAATACACAAGTATGTGGACAATTTCAACAGAAAGGAAGAAACCATGAAAATGAACAAAATCTGGCTACCAGTATTAAAAAACTCTAAAATTAGAACAGCACAACAACAGAGAGGAAACAAACAAGGACATCTAATCACCTCTCAACAAAAGTTTGCTCTAGGCACTGTCAAACCATGAAATGGTAATCAAGGTGGTCAGTTGTTTTTCCAGTTGTTTCTCTTCAATCCTGCTGTCACCTGGGATGATGATGATGATGATTATTAATTATTGTTATTATGTTTATTTATACCCTGCTTTTTTCTCCACTAGGAGACTTTGCAGTGCAATGATGCTCACCTTGATCTACAACCGAAACGGAAGCTTTGTTGGGAACGTCGCTGCCAAATTGAACGGTACGAGTCCTGCTGGACGCGCCCAAAATATATAATCAGAAGACAGTTGCGGGGAAGAAAAGAAGCCAGTCCATGAAACTGTTTCTCTTGAAATTGCATCACCGCTTGTTCCGTGAATTCTTGGTTGAGTAATTGTTTTGCCACAAACTCTACCAGATGGTTACGCAAAGTACTGGGTATGTCAGTGTTCTCACAGCGAAGGTGTCTCCCAGCAAATGGAAAATATTATGAGATGCAAGGAGGGGTTCCAGAAACTTATCAGGTAGGTAAAACTTATCAGGCAGGTATGATCCTTCTTCCTGGAGGATCATATCCAGATGGTGATGCTGGGAGACAACTGGTCGGACCCCTGGCCATTGACCTGCGAGGTCCCACAAGGTTTCATTCTCTCCCCCATGCTTTTCAACATCTACATCAGTGGTTCTCAACCTGTAGGCCCCCAGATGTTTTAACAAGACTTTGTATTGTTGAAGGCTTTCATGGCCAGAATCACTGGGGTATTGTTGTGCGGTTGCAACATCTACAGGCAAAACGTCAGGAGCAAATGCTGCTAGAACACTGCCATGCAGCCCGGAAACCACACAACACCCCACTAGTGCAATGTTACCATTTAACTCAATCGTTGTGTAGCACAATCAATGCAGCACAGATTTACCCAGGTGACACATTAGGTTAAACCCTTGTGCTGGCAGGATTGCTGACTGACATGTCAGCGGTTCGAATCCAGGGAGAGTGGGTTGAGCTCCCTCTGTCAGCTCCAGTTCCCCAAGCGGGGACATGAGAGAAGTCTCCCATAATGATGATAAAACATCAAAACATCTGAGTAACGTCCTCACAACTTCTGAGGATGCCAGCCATAGATGCAGGTGAAACGTCAGGAGCAAATGCTGCTAGAACACTCCCATGCAGGCTGGAAACAACATAACATCCCACTAGTGCAATATTACCATTCAACTCAATAGTTGTGTAGCACAATCAATGCAGCACAGATTTACCCCGGTGATGCATTAGGTTAAACCCTTGTGCTAGCAGGATTGCTGACTGACAGGTCAGCAGTTCGAATCCAAGGAGAGTGGGTTGAGCTCCCTTTGTCAGCTCCAGCTCCCCAAGCGGGGACATGAGAGAAGTCTCCCACAAGGACTGTAAAACATCAAAACATCTGGGTAACATCCTCACAACTTCTGAGGATGCTTCCATAGATGCAGGTGAAACGTCAGGAGCAAATGCTGCTAGAACACTGCCGTGCAGCCTGGAAACCACACAACACTCCACTAATGCAATGTTACCATTCAACTCAATTGTAGTGTAGCACAATCAATGCAGCACAGATTTACCCCGGAGACGCATTAGGTTAAATCCTTGTGCTGGCAGGATTGCTGACAGGACAGCGGTTCGAATCCGGGGAGAGCGGGTTGAGCTCCCRCTGTCAGCTCCAGCTCACCAAGCGGGGACATGAGAGAAGTCTCCCACAAGGATTGTAAAACATCAAAATATCTGGGTAACATCCTCACAACTTCTGAGGATGCTTCCATAGATGCAGGTGAAACGTCAGGAGCAAATGCTGCTAGAACACTGCCGTGCTGCCTGGAAACCACACAACACCCTACTAGTGCAATGTTAACATTCAGCACAATCAATGCAGCACAGATTTACCCCGGAGACGCATTAGGTTAAACCCTTGTGCTGGCAGGATTGCTGACTGACAGGTCAGCGGTTCGAATCTAGGGAGAGCGAGTTGAGCTCCCTTTGTCAGCTCCAGCTCCCCAAGCGGGGACATGAGAGAAGTATCCCACAAGGATGGTAAAACATCAAAACATCTGGATAATGTCCTCACAACTTTTGAGGATGCCTGCCATAGATGCAGGCAAAATGTCAGGAGAGAATGCTTCTAGAACATGGCCATACAGCCCGAAAAACTTACAACAACCCGAAAAGATAATGCTTCAGGTTAGTTCTAACACTGATCAGGGACCAAGAAAATTTGGTTTTACCTGCCAAGGACCGTTTCCCTACAAGAATAATCTTATTATCCTCATCCTCACCCCACTCTCCTCTCTTCAGCGAGACTCAAAGCAGCCGTTGGGTGTTTCCACCTGCAATCTTTGGCAATACTGAATTCCAGAGTAAGCATAGTGAGAATGCAATGTGTGGGCAGGACTATATCCTTTCCTTAATGTATATCCCTTTAAATATTGTGCCTTAATTACCCGAAGAAAGGTTTTAGAAACTATCCTGAAGGCTCTGGGTGAAAAGGTTACTCAGCCTTGATATCGATAGGGATCCTGCCTCCCTCTTTTGCAAATGGACCTCCTTTTCTAGCCTCAAGTGTCACAATCCAGGTAAGACCTTCCCATCTTGTTTCAAACGGACTCTTCAAGCTATTTGTTACTTCTAGCCTGCTTTTCTTATTAAAACAATAATGAAATCAAAGCATTCTTAAGCCTGTTGGCGCAACCGTCCTCTGGCAAACCAATCTTCTAGATCTAAGGGAGGAGTGATGCTTTGAGGCAACTAAACCACGCCGCTGTGACATCGCCATTGTGCAAACATTCTTGTGAAACAGCCTCAAAGAAGGGGAACTTTGCAGAACGGATGTGGCTGTAAAATAAACTGAAAGGAAGACCTAATCTACTAGTTTAATGGCAATTTCTGGTTATTTCCAAGGGTCCTCTGTAATTCCGTGAGTGCAGAAACATCTGTAGAGTAGATATACACCAACAGATCTCTAACTCCAATTCACAGTCTGCAGAAACAGAAGCTCGAAGAACAATCTAAAAACCATTACAGGGAATAACAACTTTAGTCAACATTCAATATTTAATTTAACCATTCCTAACTGCAGGATTAAGTTTGATAACAGGTCTTATCCATGCGTTCTCCAGCTCATCCCCTGTTTGGGTATCAGCCAGCACGTCAACGACTTAAATCTAGAAATAGTTTTCTAAGATCTACAGAGACACTCGCTGGAACACCTCAGCAAGCGAGAGTCCAAAAGTGGCAGGCTCAAACCCAGAACCTCAACCAATGGCTGATACCAGATGAGAGACTCCCCCCTGGGCACACAGAAAACCAGGCGACTTGGAAGGCGCTGAACAGACTGCGCTCTGGCACCACAAGATGCAGAGCCAACCTCAAGAAACGGGGCTACAAAGTGGAATCCACGACATGCGAGTGTGGAGAACAGCAAACCACTGACCACCTGCTGCAATGCAACCTGAGCCCTGCCACATGCACCATGGAGGACCTTCTTGCAGTAACACCAGAAGCACTCCAACTGGCCAGCTACTGGTCAAAGGACATTTAATCAACTACCAAACTCACAAATTTTGTATTTTGTCTGTTTGTTTGCTTGGTTCTGTTAGAAATGCAATATAATTGACTGGTTGCCCTAACACGACAAATAAATAAATAAAATAAATCCATGTGTTGCTTCTCAAAGCAGAAGCTTACCTGGAAAAACATAATACCCGCTTGCCTTAAAATAAATGCGGATGCTGCTGAATGTAGTCAGAATACTCTATAGTGAACATTCAGAACAACCAACAAAACCTTTTTGTGTGGTAAGGAAATAGCCTATTGAGTCAATGAAGTTAGAAAATATATGTATGTACGGTAGAGTCTCGCTTATCCGACCTTCGCTTATCCAACATTCTATCTTATCCGACGCTTTTATCTGACACCCTCCTTTTCTTCCACCATTTCCGTTTCAATTAAAGGAGTGCTCGCCAAATATCTCTAGCCCCGACACATTACCTTGCTTTAACTCTTTGAGCCCCTGTTGTTAGTATTCTAAGTGTCTAGTGCCGTTTCGGACGGGTAACAGTAGGAGACTCCATATTATCCAACATTTTTGTTTATCCGTCATTCTGCCAGCCCATTTATGTCAGATAAATGAGACTGTACTGTATGTGCAAATATGTGTGTATGTATATGTACAGTAAAGTCTCGCTTATCCAACAAAAACGGGCCAGCAGACTGTTGGATAAGCAAAAATGTTGCATAATAAGGAGGGATTAAGGAAAAGCCTATTAAACATCGAATTATGTTATGATTTTACAAAGTAAGCATCAAAATATACAACAAAGTAAGCATCAAAATATACAACAAAGTAAGCATCAAAATATACAACAAATCGACAGAAAAAAAGCAGTTCAATACATGGTAACGTTATGTAGTAATTACTGTATTTACGAATTTAGCTCCAAAACAAGCAAGGGTTATTTTTTTCTCCCACCCTGGACATTATTCTACAGGTAAATATACACTCCACTTCCCTCACCTGTGGATCCGGGCGAGAGGCAGATTGTGTTGGATAATACAGAACATTGGATAAGTGAAGGTTGGATAAGCGAGACTCTACTGTGTGTGTGTGTGTGTGTGTGTATTTACACATACACAACATATATTTATGATTCACACAGCCAAACATTTATGTTCAGTTCTGTCTAAAGAAAATCAGAAAATGTTCACAACTTTTTTTATATTGTGTCATCCGCAACCAGGCCATTGTATTACATTTCTAACAGAACAAAACAAACAAACAGATAAAAAAACACACATTTTGCAAACTTGGTAGTTGATTAAATGTCCTTTGACCAGTATCTGGCCACTTGGAGTGCCTCTGGTGTTGCCGCAATCATTTTCACAGCTGTGATAAACACACACACACATATATTTATGATTCACACAGCCAAACATTTACCTTCTGTTCTGTCTAAAGAAAATCAGAAAAATCTCACAACTGCGATACACAAACACACGACATATATTTATGATTCATACAGCCATACATTTACCTTCAGTTCTGTCTAAAGAAAATCAGCAAAAATTCACAACTACAACACACACACACACACAACATATATTTATAATTCACACTGCCATACATTTACCTTCAGTTCTGTCTAAAGAAAATCAGAAAAAAATCACAACTACGACACACACACACATACACGACATATATTTATGATTCATACAGCCATTCATTTACCTTCAGTTCTGTTGAAAGAAAATCAGAAAAAAATTCACAACTACAATATATATACACACACCCACAGCATATATTTATGATTCACACAGCCAAACATTTACTTTCAGTTCTGTCTAAATAAAATCAGAAAAATTTCACATCTATGATACACACACAGACACACAGCATTTATTTATGATTCACACAGCCATACATTTACCTTCAGTTCTGTCTAAAGAAAACCAGAAAAATTTCACAACTGCGACACACACACACACATATATACACACAACATATATTTATGATTCACACAGCCATACATTTACCTTCAGTTCTGTCTAAAGAAAATCAGAAAAAAATCACAATTATGATAAACACATATCTATATCTATCCCATTATATACAATAGAACAATAAAATGGTGTCCCCTACCTACCTATCTATCTATCTATCTATCTATCTATCTATCTATCTATCTAATCTCCATTAAAACACACACACACACACTTTATATATATCTACCTCCCATTATATGTGTATGTCTATATCTTTATATCTATATCCATATATCTATATCTATATCCCATTATGTGTGTATGTATGCATGTGTATGTATGTATATATATGTGTGTGTGTGTATTCCTTTTCATCCTTATTTTCACATTACATATATTTATGATTCACACTGCCATACATTTACTTTCAGTTCTGTCTAAAGTCGCCTACGGACTAAGAAAGGCAGTATATAAATACAGCAAATAAATAAATAAATAAAATCAGAAAAAAATCACAACTATGAAACTGTTGGACTTCTAATGGACCATTAGCCTTAAATGCAGTATCAATTGGACCAATAACCTTTTCACAAAATACTGATTCATCTCAGCCATAGCATTGAACTCTTTAATATAGTTTTATAGATGCAGAGCTTGTGACAAGTTTTAAAGAAGCTGTGAACGGTCTGGGAATCCATTGACAAAAAAATTGTGGTTGTGTTAATCTATCATTCAGTCAATCACAGCTATCAAATTATGTTTTCTGTTGACTCTGTCATGCACAAAGCAAACAAACAAAAACGTAGCCACTGTAAACAACAACCAAATGAAGTGCCTATTTCTTCCAACAGAAATAGCAACTTGTACATGTAGAAGGGTCTATTTTAAGATACTGACAAATCGTTCCAAATATTTGTTTGAATCAGATGTCTTTTTTGGGAACAGTCTCGCAAGCACTTCATTGACGCTCTTAACCAAAGGCTTGCCAAACCTTTGGATTGCTGTGTCCCTAATGAGATATTGGTCGGGGATCTCATTTTCGCGGTGTTCTCTGCAATTGTAAAGGATCCCGATATCTTTGGGAACGTCCATCGTTCGACTGTAACCCCTGAGAATGAAGTCGGACGAAGTTTGCACCACTTTCCTTGGGTTGACAATCATCCGCCTTGGGCTGTTGAGCCAGACTCTGTTGCGTTCTTTGTAAATGTGCTGCAAAATGTTGGTTCCCGGGACGGTTTTCCACAAGGAAACGTTGAAATCGCTATCGAGAGCAGAAAATACGTTTTGTGGAAAGAAATTGCTTTCGAAAAGGAAAATGCCTGACTCTGGATTCTGTTGCTCCAGGCTGTTTATCATCGTACGCCAACGCAGGTCTTGAATAGGTAGAATAATTTCGTTGATGTCGTTAAGAACGACGTATTTGCTCCTGTACATATTCTGGTAGATGCAGTCGTTCAGAACAACGGCTTTCCCATACAGCCAATCTTTATGGGAGTACCAGAAATACGAGAAATTAATATACGAATCAATCGGCCACGGAATCACCTCAACGGTGCCTTCCGCAACATAAAAATCCAGGACTTGTTCCATCATCTGGCTGCAGTTGTGTAAGTAGACCACCACTTTCTGCGCCCCAAGGATTTTGTACATTTCCACGTTTTGGATGAATTGTAAGACGTTGCTGTAGTTTCCGAACATGACAGAGAGGCAAAGAGTGAATTCGGCAGAAAAAAAGGAGAACCTCGGCCAAAAGTTCCGGATCTCAAAGCTTGGCAGCTCTTTGGCTTGGCCTTTTGGGGACGAATGAACGGACACGTATTTTGGGTAGCAGAGCTGTGGCTCCAAACACACGATTTCGGCCGGACCAAAACGAGAGGTGACTCTGTCCTGGTGAACAGTTATGGCTGCTCTTATGACCGAGACTCGGCCACTGAGGCTGCAGCAAAACCAGCAGTAAAGGTCCTCCACTTTCTTGTAGTTCACAATCGCAACCATACGGGTGACGTTTTGTTCCCTGTTGTCATGATACGCGGAGACAATGAAGGTTTTGTTGTATTTCAACGCCGTGATGGTATCGTTGGCAATTTTGCCTTTGCAAGGGTCAAAGGGCAGCTCCAGTGGAGCAGGAAGAGGAAGCTGTGCCGTCCAGTAGTACATTCGAACACACAGAACGATCAGAAAAGGGATTATTATAATCACCCAATTCCTCTTTCTGCAGCGAATCATTCTCGGGTTCTGATGTTGCAATGCAGCAGCTATAGATCTGCGGAAGGAAAAAAAAGATATAAAACCAAAATTTTACTGTTTGCGCTTCTCAAATCAGGAAATAATTTCAAATAGAAAGAATGAGGATAGATGCATCACAAAGCAGTCAGAATCTCAACAATGTATTTGTTTACTTTTGTAAAGAGAAACACAAATACATTTTTAAAAATTCAGGGAGAATAAACTTTTCAAAATGGGCTCAAAGCCAACCTTAAAAACTCTGGCATAGACACTGAGAACTGGGAAGCCCTGGCCCTTGAGTGCTCCAGTTGGAGGTCAGATGTGACTAGCAATGCTGCAGAATTTGAAGAGGCACGAATGGAGGGCGAAAGAGAGAAATGTGCCAAGAGGAAGGCGTGCCAAGCCAACCTCGACAGGGACCGACTTCCACATGGAAACCGATGCCCTCACTTTGGGAGAAGATGCAGATCAAGAATAGGGCTCTACAGACCCACCGCCAGGATACTACACTTGGAGGACCATCATCCTCGGACTACGAGGGATCGCCTAAGTAAGTATCAGGAAATAATTTCAAATAGAAAGAATGAGGGTAGATGCATCACAAAGCAATCGGAATCTCAACAATGTACTTGTTTACTTTTGTGAAGAGAAACACAAATACATTTTTTAAAATTCAGGGAGAATAAACTTTGCTAGACGTGCTCAAAGCCCACCACACTGAAAACTGGGAAGCCCTGGCTTCGAAGTCACCTACGAACCCACTGCCAGGATACTACATTTGGAGGACCATCATCCTCAGACTACGAGGGATCGCCTAAGTGAGTAAGTATTTATCATTTATTTATTTATAGTATTTGCATACCACTTTTCTCTCCCCGAAGGGGACTCAAAGCGGTCTCCACATAGGTAATGGCAAAATTCAAAACACAATTACAATTACACAATTACAGTTAGACATAAATCAAATTAAAATACATCCATAAACTGTAAACAATCATTAAAACAGTAAGTAAGTATCAGGAAATAATTTAAAATAGAAAGAATGAGGGTAGATGCATCACAAAGCAGTCAAAATCTCAACAATATACTTGTTTACTTTTGTGAAGAGAAACACAAAAAATAACATTTTTCAAAATTCAGGGAGAATAAACTTTGCATAAACAACTGATCTTCATTTCCCGCACTGCTATGAATGGAGTGTATACTAAGAAAAGAGACAGGTGAAAGGAAAGCAGGATGCAAATCAAATAAGGAAGGCATTTAGGAGGCAAATAAATAAATCTATTTGTATCTCAATCAAGATGTAAGCAGCGGCAACAATAACAACGACAACAATAATGTATATCAGGTCTTTTAGGGTCCCTAGTGGCTCCCGAGATACAACACTGACAACAAACTTCTTAAATAAATAAATTCATTTGTGTCTCAATTATGATAAAAGCAGGCTATAAATACATCATTAATTAAATAGTAATAATTTAAAAATGCTATTTCTCAGTCCAATTTAAAAATAAACAAAACAGTACAATTTGCTATAAAAACGAATAGTACAGCACCCCATATATCTATATCTCCCAATAAGTGTATGTGTGTGTTTTTGTATACACACACATACACATTTCTGTTGGTGGCACTGAAATCAAGGTTTGCCTTTGGGAAATAGATCTATCAATCCCAATAATAAAACCTTAATTTTGCCATTTTATATAAGGGACAGCATTTTACTGTTCCATTGCATATAATTGGACACACATATATTTATATATGTATTTATGTGTGTGAGTCTATCTATCTGTCTGCCTAACCATCTATCTATCTCCCATTGGGGAATATGTCTATTGATCTAATGCACCATTGGGGTATATCTGGGGTAGATATATAGATATACCAATAAGCAAACTTTAATTTTGCCATTATATATAAATATGTGTGTGTGTAAGTATATATGTGTGTGTGTGTGTGTATCCCATTATATATAATGGTACAATAAAATAGTGTCCTACATTCCCATTATGTGTATGTATATATGTGTGTGTGTGTGTATATATATATACACACACACACATACATATACTATTATATACAATGGCACAATAAAATGGCATCCCATATCTATCTATCTATATCCCATTATATGTGTATATCTATATCCATATATCTATACCTATATCCCATTATATACAATGGCACAATAAAATGGTGTCCCATTTTCTATCTATCTATCTATCTATCTATCTATCTATCTATCTATCTATCTATCTATATCCCATTATATGTATTTGTCTCTATATCTATACCCATCTCTATATCTATACCCATCTATATAGATAGATAGATGTCCCTTATCTATCTATCTATCTATCTATCTATCTATCTATCTATCTATCTAGTCTCCATTAACACACACACACACTATATATATGTATGTATGTATGTGTATGTATATATATATATATATATATCTACCTCCCATTATATGTGTATGTCTATATCTTTATCTATAGCCATATATCTATATTTATATACCATTATGTGTGGATGTATGTGTATGTATGTATGTATGTATGTATGTGTGTTTGTGTGTGTGTATTCCTTTTCTTCCTTATTTTCGGAATAAAATGGTGTCCCATATATCTATATCCTATTATATATGTATGTGCGTTTGTGTGTATGTGTGTGAATGTGGATATTTCCTTTTCATCCTTATTTTCGTAATAAAATGGTGTCCCATAGATCTATATCCCATTATGTGTGTGTGTTTGTGTATATAGATATATGTATGTATATATGTGTGTATGTATATATATATATATATATATATTCCTTTCACAATAAAATATATTCACAATAAAATAGTTTCCCATAGATCGATATCCCATTATATATGGGTGTATTTGAGTGTGTGTGTGTGTGTGTGTATATATATATATATTCCTTTCATCCTTGTTTTCGCAATAAAATGGTGTCCCATATATATCTATATCCCATCATATATATATGTGTGTGTGTGTGTATACCTTTTCATCCAGATTTTCGCAATAAAATGTTGTCCCATAAATCTATATCCCATTATATGTGTGTGTGTGTGTTTGTGTGTATGTCTATATATATATATAGATAGATAAGATAGATATTCCTTATTCCTTTTCATCCTTATTTTCACAATAAAATGATGTCCCATAGATCTATATGCCATTATATGTGTGTTTGTGTGTATGTATGTATATATATATATATATATATATATATATATTCCTTTTCATCCATATTTTCGCAATAAAATGGTGTCCCATAGATCTATATCCCATTATGTGTGTGTATATATGTATATGTGTGTGTGTGTGTGTATTCCTTTTCCTCCTTTCCAATACAAGGAATGGCTCCTCTTCGCCACGAAAGGCCTTCTTTCCTCACAACTAATGGATTCCTCATTGAGGCCTTTTCAAAAATGGCCTCAAAATGCAGCCAAATCCTGCGCAATGACATCCTTGGTACCCAACTGTGTCTAATTATCTATTCTCCCCCTCCCTCTATCCCAAAATTGCCAGAAGAGGGGTAATTTTAGGACTACAACTCCCATTTTCCACACCCTGCCAAGTCCTCTTCCTGGAGATGAGTCTGTTCAGTTCTTCTCAAAATCCCTTTTCAGAGAGAGAGCTGGAGAGCCCCCTCTTGTCTTGGCTCCGCCATTGCAGCCCTCACCAAAAAAAGGCGGGAAATTAGGACAAAATATGAAATATTATATTATAATATTATATGCTAAAAGATTTTCTCCTGACATAAAGTCCAGTCGTGTCCGACCATAGGGGTTGGTGCTCATCTCATTGTAATCTGGTCACCAACTTAGTTACTGGTGCTCATCTCCATTTCTAAGCTGAAGAGCCGGCGTTGTCCATAGACACCTCCAAGGTCATGTGGCCATTGGCATGACTGCATAGAGCGCTGTTACTTTCCTGCCGGAGCGGTACCTATTGATCTACTCACATCTGCACGTTTTCGAACTGCTAGGTTGGCAGAACCTGGGGCTAATAGCATGAGCTCACGCCGCTTCCTGGATTCGAACCTGCGACCTTTCAGTCAGCAAGTTCAGCAGCTCAGCGGTTTAGCTTCTGCCAACCTAGCAGTTCAAAAACATGCAAATTATTATTTAGTAGCTTTAAAAATAGTTTTCAATAGTTTATTATTTATAATATAATTAATATAATTAATAAAACCATTGAAAACTATTTTAAAAGCTACTACATAATACCTATTGATTTTATCATATATACATAATACCTAATGGTGTGTGTGTGTGTGTGTGTATGTATACACACACACACACACATATACCTAATGGTTTTATATTAGATAGATAGATAGATAGATAGACAGACACACACACACACCATTAGGTATTATATATATGTGTGTGTGTGTGTATAAGACCTAATGGTGTGTGTTTATCTATATCTTTATCTATCTATGTATCTATCTATATAATAAAACAATTGAAAACTATTTTAAAAGCTACTAAATAATACCGATTGATTTTATATATATAATACCTAATGGTGTGTGTGTGTATATATATGTGTGTGTGTGTGTGTATAAGACCTAATGGCGTGTGTATATCTATATTTCTATTTCTCTATCTATCTATCTATCTATCTATCTATCTATCTATCTATCTAATAAAACCATTGAAAACTATTTTAAAAGCTACTAAATAATACCTATTGATTTTATATATATATAATACCTAATGGTGTGTGTATATATATATGTGTGTGTGTGTGTGTATAAGACCTAATGGCGTGTGTATATCTATATCTATCTATCTATCTATCTATCTATCTATCTATCTATCTATCTATCTAATAAAACCATTGAAAACTAGTTTAAAAGCTACTAAATAATACCTATTTATTTTATATATATAATACCTAATGGTGTGTGTGTGTGTATATGTGTGTGTGTGTGTGTATACGCTTTGGATTGACCTTGAAGGAGCTGGGGGTGGTGACAGACGACAGGGAGCTCTGGCGTGGGTTGGTCCATGAGGTCACGAAGAGTCGGAAACAACTGAATGAATGAACAACAACAAATAATCTAATTTTATATATATATATATCTAGATAGATAGATATCTTGATAGATATCTAGATATCTAGATAGATTATCTGGATAGATAGAGAGAGAGAGAGAGAGAGAGAGAGAGAGAGAGAGAGAGAGAGAGATAGATAGATAGATAGATAGATAGATAGATAGATAGACACATACCTAATGGGTGTGTGTGTGTGTATCCATTGAAAACTATTTTTTAAATGCTACTAACACACTTACAATGTTATCTTTTCAGGTAAGAGAAGTTGCCATGAGTGTTATTTAGTGCAACAAAAGTCCTCGAGAAATGAGGACAAATATATTTAAAAGACGAATAAACGTGGATAAAGAAGCAGGGAGCATTTTTAGTTCGTGCCCAATTCATGAAATGGTTGTTGCACAGTATTCGTGGCTTTGATATTGCAGAACTCTGGAACCGCTTGCCTTCAACTCTGTCCTGGTTTCCCGTACGCTCACCAAGCACCTCTACCTGAAATTATCACACGCTTGCAAATTAGTTGACTGTTTCTGCCTCCACTTCCTTGTGTGTTGTGTTGAAACCTCGTTGTTCATAGATGCTTTAGTAACAATGTCGGGCAGGTTTCTTAAGAGAAGAATGTGCTTGGCGCAAACACAAACGAGAACGTTGGCACCCTCCACATGATGGTGATGGCAGCAGCAGCTCCTCCTTTCGCGAGAAAAGGTCTCATTAATTAAGCAGCAGCCTCCATCCTCGCACTCATTGCACCTTTCACTTGGCTTCCCGTCAATGCTTTATGATTCTGTGTTTTTTCCTCTTCGGCTTCCTCTGTTATCAGCACTTGTTTCCTGCGTGTGAAGCAGCCACACAGGAGTGGCCACCGCACCGAGTTCCCAATATTGATTGCCACTGACTTGTTTTGCCTGGTGACCGAAATGCTCGGAGCTTACATTGGTGATCTCCCAATTTTCCCATCTTACTTTCCCCAGGAATAACAACTCTTCACATGTAAGTATAAAATTATTCTGTGCTGTTTCCTGTTTCCTGCACGTATGATACAAGCTGCTCTTCATGTTTTCTCTCCATTGTTACATGACGACAATTTCCAACTGCAAAACACCGAATCCTTTGTATTGTCGAAGACTTCCATGGTTGGAATCGCTGGGTTGTTGTAGGTTTTTCGGGCTATATGGCCATGTTCTAGAAGCATTCTCTCCTGACGTTTCGCCTGCATCTACGGCAAGCATCCTCAGAGGTTGTGAGATCACAACCTTGCCATAGATGCAGGCGAAACGTCAGGAGAGAATGCTTCTAGAACAGTGGTTCTCAACCTTCCTAATGCAGTTCCTTATGTTGTGGTGATCCCCAACCATCAATTTATTTTCGTTGCTACTTCACAACTATAATTTTGCTCCTGTTAGGAATCATCTTGTAAATATCCAATATGCAGGATGTATTTTCATTCATTTGGCACAAATACTCGATACACCCAAATTTGAATACTGGTGGGGTTTTGTCATTTGGGAGTTGTAGTTCACCTACAATATCAAAGAGCATTCCGAACTCCACCAATGATGGAATTGAACCAAACTTGGGACACAGAGCTCCCATGACCAACAACAAATTCTGGAAGAGTGTGGTGGGCATTGACCTTGAGTTTGGGAGTTGAAGTTCGCCTATATCCAGAGAGCACTCCAGACTCCAACAATGATGGATCTGGACCAAACTTGGCATGGATACTCCATATGCCCAAATGTGAACACTCGTGGGGTTTTGGGAAAATAGACCTTGAGATTTGGGAGTTGTACTTGCTGGGATTTATAGTTCACCTACAATCAAGGAGCGTTCTGAACTCCAACAATGATAGAATTGGGCCAAACTTCCCACACAGAGACCCCCATGACCAACACAAAATATGGTGTTTTCTGATGGTCTTTGGAGACCCCTCTGACACCCCTTCGCGACCCCTCCAGGGGTCCCGACCCCCAGGTTGAGAAACACTGCCATAGATGCAGGCGAAACCTCAGGAGAGAATGCTTCTAGAACATGGCCATATAGCCCGGAAAACCTACAACAACCCACCGAATCCTTTGATTGTACAATATGACAAAATCCTCGTTGACTAAAATGCTCCAATCTTCAGAAACTTTATAACGTTCGAGAGCATAACAACAACTCATGTGTATTAAAATTCCCGATATTTACTCAAATCCAGCCGTCATTCTGTTTCCTAGGAGCTATAAATAAGTGTCTCGTGGGCATCACATTTTAAGACTCAGATTGAACTCTTGCTTTATTCCAAAGCAAAATATGGATTGGATTGCTGTGAGTTTTCTGGGCCGTATGGCCATGTTCCGGAAGCATGCTCTCCTGATGCTTTGCCTGCATCTATGGCAGGCATCCTCAGAGGTTGTGAGGTCTGTTGGAAACTAAGCAAGTGGAGTTTATATACCTGTGGAATAATGTCCAGGGTGGGAGAAAGAACTCTGGTCTGCTTGTGGTGCAAACTAGCATTTTACCTTCTATCCTTTTTTTCCCCCTACCTATATGGCAGTGTAGGAGCCCCCGGTGGCGCAGTGGGTTAAAGCACTGAGCTGCTGAGCTTTTTGATCGAAAGGTCGCAGGTTCGATTCCGCTGTCAGCCCTAGCTTCTGCCAACCTAGCAGTTCGAAAACATGCAAATTTGAGTAGATCAATACGTACCGCTCCAGCGGGAAGGTAACGGCGCTCCATGCAGTCATGCCGGCCACATGACCTTGGAGGTGTCTACGGACAACGCTGGCTCTTCGGCTTAGAAATGGAGATGAGCACCACACCCCAGAGTCAGACATGACTGGACTTAATGTCAGGGGACTACCTTTACCTTTACTATATGGCAGTGTTTTTCAACCTGGGGGTCGGGACCCCTGGTGGGATCGTGAGGGGGTGTCAGAGGGGTCACCAAAGACCACCAGAAAACACAGCATTTTCTGTTGGTCATGGGGGTTCTGTTTGGGAAGCTTGGCCCAATTCCAACTGTGGTGGGGTTCAGAATGCTCTTTGATTGTAGGTGAACTATAAATCCCATCAACTACAACTCCCAAATATCAAGTCTATTTTCCCTAAACGCCACCAGAGTCCACATTTGGACATACTGATTTTCATGCCAAGTTTGGTCTAAATCCATCATTGTTTTGAGTCTTGGGACGTAGGTGAACTACAACTCCAAAACTCAAGGTCAATGCCCACCAAACCTTTCCAGTATTTTCTGTTGGTCATGGGAGTTCTGTGCCACGTTTGGTTCAATTCTATCATTGGTAGAGTTCAGAATGCTCTTTGATTGCAGATGAACTATAAATCCCAACAACTACAACTCCCAAATGATGGAATCAATCCCCTCCAAACCCACCAGTATTCGAATTTGGGTCTATCGGGTCTTTGTGCCAAATTTGGTCCAGTGAATGAAAATACATCCTGCATATCAGATATTTACATTACAATTCGTAACAGTTGTGAAGTAGTAATGAAAATAATGTTATGGTTGGGGGTCACCACAACATGAGGAACTGTATTAAGGGGTCACGGCATTAGGAAGGTTGAGAACCACTGCTTTAGGGAAACGTAACTTCCTCTTTTCAAGGTATTTTTACCTTTAAAGGCTGGCCATGTGGCCTGTCTCCATTTTCCTGCCTCTTCTCCTTTTGTCTTCTCTAGAGTGAGGAAGCATCTTGCCATTGTCTAAGGCAAGATGTAGATATAGTTACTTTTATTATTTTTCCTTTTCCTTAGAAGTTAGCTCAGTGAAGCTAGTCAGCTCCAAGAACCTTTCCTATCTAGAATGGATTTCTTTTATCTTCAATAAACATATTATTTTTGATCCTATGAGTTGTGGATCTGCAATCCTGTTCCATCCTGGTGAAGGGAAACCAATCCTTGCTCACTACGCGTAAGTTTCTGCTGCTTATGTACTGTGCATCCTGCACTCTGCTTGTCCTATTTTGTGGGATTCTTTTAGGCTTGTTCTTCCTAAGACCATGGAGGAGGTCCTTGGTGCTGTGAGGGCTACCACGTTGGCTTTAGACCCTTGCCCGTCTTGGCTAATTAAATCGGCCAGGGAGGGGTTGGTTGATTGGTTTGTGTTGATCATTAATGCATCATTGGAGCAGGGGGTTTTTCCATCTTGACTAAAACAGGCTGTGGTTCGTCCACTCCTTAAAAAGGTCTCCCTTGACTCCACGGTGCTGAACAATTACAGACCGATCTCCAACCTCCCCTTTTTGGGCAAGGTGCTGGAGCGGGTGGTCGCCTCCCAGCTCCAGGGTTTTCTAGATGACATCAATTACCTGGAACAGTCACAGTCTGGTTTCAGGCCTGGCCACGGCACCGAGACAGCTTTGGTCGCCTTGGTGGATGACCTCCGTAGAGAGCTGGACAGGGGGAGTGTGACTCTGTTGGTCCTCTTGGACATCTCAGCGGCTTTCGATACCATCAATCATGGTATCCTTCTGGGACGGCTCTCTGGGATGGGTCTCGGTGACGTCGAGCATGCCCCCCCCCCAACAAGGGATGATGACTTATAGTTCTGCAAATGACAAAGGTACCAGACTGCACAATAGGGGTTAAGTCTTGGTCACATTGCCAAGGCACTGACAACAACAAGGACCCCACGAGGCTTTTGGGAAACGGCTGGATCTTGGGACTTCTGCCCTTCGTGAGAGTTGTAGTTTCCCAAGGACCAAAGTGTGAATCAGTTGCAGCTCAGCTGGGGTTTCATCTGCCAGCCTTCCCAATGATCATGGACTCTCTGCCTGCATGTCTTGGACTTCAGTACATACTATCTCCCTCATGAACTTTCCTCAAAGACCTTTTAAAACATTGGACTTCAGGCTTCTTCATGAAAATTAATCCTCTTATTAAATATACTTGGGATGTGGGACAAAGATGGGGTTTTGTTGCTATGAAATGCTTATGATTTGAATGTATGTATCTTGCTATGAAATATCTTTTGCCCCCTTTACCCTTGCCCTTTGCCCCAAAAAAGGCGACCAGGAAAAACCACTCAGTGCCCGAGGGGGCTGTTGTTCCCTCGAAACCAACCTTATCACAGACATTTGCATGGACAATAGCAACTGGAAATTCTTTGTTTATTTTTCTGAGTTGGCCTGGTAAACAGGGAATTTCTCTGGTCACATTTTAATTTAATCACAAAGGGGCGAGACTGGCCCCAGGGGTCTTCTTGCCCGGCCCTGTTTGTTTCATCCAAAAACCCATCAAAACCAACACACCTTATCTGATCCTGGAAGGGAAAACCTGAATCAAATGGTTATCCCTAAATCACTGATCCATCACAAGAACAAAAAACAAACAAACCTGGTTTCCTTGGCTGGCTGATCCCTCGGGCACAGGACAGTAGAATGTCATCATCCTCTCTGGACACAATGCCCCTCTTCCGTCCTGCCTCCCTCTCCCTGATTTGCTAAGGAGCTGAAGAGGGAGGGAGTTTTGAAACTTTCAAACCTGTATTTTGCTATAAATATGCTTCTGATCAATGTATTGGTATGCTTGCAGGTGAATGATCACTGCAATTGCATCCGCTTCAGCTGAATCGCTAATAAACCTCGTTGCCACTTCTTCGCCTTGGCAAGAGTCTCATTTCAATTATTAATATCAATAAAATTGCTGGAATCAGGCTTCCCTGAAGGCTTCCCAAGGTAGCGTTCCCTCTTTGGTGGGACCTAAGGGTCATCTCTCCTTGGAGTTGACCACCCTAAAGTCTCATTTGGCTTCATCGGAGGCCAAATGTCTTCCCAACCCTGCTATACGCCTACGAAACATGGACTGTCTACAGAGGTCACATGCAACTCCTGGAACGATTCCATCAGCGTTGCCGTCGGAAAATCCTGCAAATCTCTTGGCAAGACAGGCGGACAAATGTCAGCGTGCTGGAAAAAGCAAAGACCACCAGCACTGAAGTGATGGTCCTCCACCATCAACTCCGCTGGACCGGCCACATTGTCTGGATGCCTGACCACCATCTCCCACAGCAGTTGCTCTACTCCGAACTCAAGAATGGAAAACGGAATGTTGGAGGGCAGGAAAAGAGATTTAAAGATGGGCTCAAAGCCAACCTTTAAGCTCTGGCATAGACACTGAGAACTGGGAAGCCCTGGCCCTTGAGCACTCCAGCTGGAGGTCAGCTATGACCAGCAGTGCTGTAGAATTTGAAGAGGTACGAATGGAGGTGAAAGAGAGAAACGTGCCAAGAGGAAGGCGAGTCAAGCCAACCCCGATTGAGACTTGGAAACCAATGCCCTCACTACAGGAGAAGATGCAGATCAACAGGGCTCCACAGCCACCTACAGACCCACCGCCAGAACACCGACCTTGGAGGACCATCATCCTCGGACTATGAGGGATCGCCTAAGTAAATAAATGAACTTTTGACCAGTAATTTAAACAGTCTCATTAAGATTTGAGCTTTTACTGGAGGCATTCCTAGCTCTGGCCTTACTGCCGCCATCAGTGTTGTTCTGGAAAGGCCCAGGAGGGTGCGAAGCTGCTTAACTTGGAAGGCTTCGATCTTGGCCAGATTGATGTGCCCCCAAATTTCAGCCCCAAATATAAGTGTTAGCATTATTTTTGTCTTAAAGACTTCCTGGGCAGGTCTGGTTGTGCCTGGGCATCTATGACTATGATTCTAGTCAGGGGCATGCAAGCCATTACTTTTCTGAATACGGTCCATTTCTAGTATGATCTTTCTCATTGTTCAAGTTTGCTTTCCTATGACGCAAATTGTGAAATGTGCGTTGCTCCATTGTAATGTGCAATGTATAACATGCAGTGCGCCAGCGTAAAGCACATTTGTGCCGGATCACTGCTTTGCAGCATTGTTCTGCCAACTTTGTGCTCTCACCCCCCCCCCCCCTCAATGGGGTGTGTGCTTCACATAATGTTTTTGGTCCATTGTCTAGGTTTTGTTTCTGACCCTCCATCCGGAGCAGGCGCCTTTCCGGAGCAATGAAGGATTGTATCATGGAAACAGTCACTCAAATTCATGGCAGAAGAGGATGGTGGTGAATATGAAAGAAAGGTAGGTGTTAGGGGAATTGTAGCTGCTTCTTGGAAACAGCGAGGTGCGCAATTCTGGTTCCAATTGTGTAAAATACCTTTACAAACATGGTGGCGACTTGCAGATCAAGCTGATAAATTTTGCCCGTGGTTTCTGGTGCAGGCTGGCAGCAACAATGGGACTTATCTAGGTGATTAACCAAATCCAGCAGTTTCTGTTTTATCTCACATTCAGCACTTTAAATATTTGTCTATAAGCAAAAACCAAAAGGAAAAAAAAAGGAACGGCCCAATATCTCTATGAAGAGATGGATTCCGGGAGACTCCAAGTGGGCCAAGTTATAATTTCCTATCCCAAATAACTAGCTGCTTCCTGTAGCTCCCGCAAAAGATGACAGCTGCTAGTTTGTGTTGTTTTTAGTTCCAGCATTATTCTTCCAATCCATTGTGCCGTGTAATGTCTTTTTTTGTAAAAACATTTTGTGAGAAAACAAAGGATTATGTATCATAATAGGAGCCCCTCCCCCCGGTGGCGCAGCGGGTTAAACTGCTGAGCTGCTGAACTTGCTGACCAAAAGGTCAGCAGTTTGAATCCAGGGTGTGAGGTGAGCTCCTGCTGTTAGCCTCAGCTTCTTCCAATCGAACAATTCGAAAACATGCAAATGTGAGTAATAATAATAATAATAATAATAATAATAATAATAATAATATTTATTTATACCCCGTTACCATCTCCCCAAGGGACTCGGTGCGGCTTACATGAGGCCAAGCCCAGAATACAACAATATAAGCAATAACAACAATACAAGCAATTAAAATCAAACAAGACAGTAAAACAATAGCATAAGCATTAACAATAGGACAACACACTTTAAAATCTATGGGTAGGCCAAATGTAATTAAAATGTAAAAATTTAACATGGGCATGGGTGAAAATTTTACATGGACATGGGCGAAAAAGTGATGGGGCGTTTGTGGAAACATACAAGCAGACCTAAACAATATAAAGTGCTTTAGAGGACAAAGTGCTATGGGATCATTATTCTGGGAAGGCACACTGGAACAACCACGTCTTCAAGCTCCTCCTAAAGACTGTCAGAATTGGGGCATGCCTGATGTCCTTAGGGAGTGAGTTCCAGAGTTGAGGGGCCACCATCGAAAAGGCCCTCTCTTTCGTCCCCACCAATCGTGCTTGCGATGCAGGTGGGAGCGAGAGCAGGGCCTCTCCAGATGATCGAAGAGATCGTGTGGGTTCATATACGGAGATGCGGTCACGCAGGTAGGCGGGTCCCAAGCCGTTCAGGGCTTTGTAGGTGAGAACCTGCACCTTGAATTGGGTCCGGAAAATGAATGGCAGCCAGTGGAGCTCCTTAAACAGGAGGAGTAGGTCAATAGGTACCACTCCGGCAGGAAGATAACGGGGCTCCATGCAGTCATGCCAGCCACACGACCTTGGAGGTGTCTACGGACAACGCCGGTTCTTCGGCTTAAAAATGGAGATGAGCAACACTTCCCAGAGTCAGACACAACTAGACTAAATGTCAAGGGGAAACCTTTCCCTTTTTATATATCACTAGCCGTCCCCTGCCACGCGTTGCTGTGGTCCAGTCTGTGTATATATGTGTATTTGCGTATATGTATGTGGTTTTGTGCATGCGTTGTAATATAATTTTTGTTTTTTGAGTGTTTAAATCTTTTTTGCTGTGTTTCTCAGTGTTTTAATGAGTGATAGTCACTCGTTGGCCTGATAAGTTTTGTGTGTATATATGTGTGTTTGTGTATATGTATGTGGTTTTGTGCATGTGTTGTAATATTTTCTTTTGTTTTTTGGCTTTTTAAGTCTTTTTTGCCGTGTTTTTCAGTGTTTTAATGAGTGATGGTCACTCGTTGGCCTGATAGATTTTGTGTGTATATATGTGTTTGAATATATGTATGTGGATTTGTGCATGCGTTGTAATTTTTTTTGTTTTTTGGCTTTTAAAGTCTTTTTTGCTGTGTTTTTTTCCAGTGTTTTAATGAGTGATGGTCACTCGTTGGCCTGATAGGTTTTGTGTGTATATATGTGTGCATATGTGTGTTTGCGTATACGGATGTGGTTTTGTGCATGCATTGTATTTTTTTTGTTTTTTGGCTTTTTAAGTGTTTTTTTGCTGTGTTTTTCAGTGTTTTAATGAGTGATGGTCACTCGTTGGCCTGATAGGTTTTGTGTGTATATATGTGTTTGCATATATGTATGTGGTTTTGTGCATGCGTTGTAGTATTTTTTTTTTGTTTTTTGGCTTTTAAAGTGTTTTTTGCTGTGTTTTTCAGTGTTTTAATGAGTGGTCACTCGTTGGCCTGATAGGTTTTGTGTGTATATATGTGTGTATATGTGTGTTTGCGCATATGTATGTGGTTTTGTGCATGCGCTGTAATATTTTTTTTGTTTTTTGGCTTTTAAAGTCTTTTTTGCTGTGTTTTTCAGTGTTTTAATGAGTGATGGTCACTTGTTGGCCTGATAGGTGTACTGTGTCCAAATTTGATGTTAATCCCACAAACGAACATTACATTTTTATTTACATAGATATTAAGTCGTGGTTTGATTTTCTCCCTCTCTGTCTCTATTTCGCTCTCACTATTTTCCAGGTTAACTGAAATGGAATAATATACAGCCTGGACAGGAGAAGTATGTCAATCTATGGGGGAAAAGTTGCTGCTGGAACATTCCTTTTCATCTTTGTGTTGTCTTTCACATCATATTATTGGAAGAGAAACACAATAGAGTACGACAACAGAGAAAACAATCCACCAAAACTGTATGACTGCTTTCATAGAGGTCAGCCTACCAGAGACACCATCACGAGGCTCACAGATAACCACAGCTTTATCATAGACCCGTATTTCGACAACAGGACTGGGTCGCTGATCCGTGCCATTAGCATCATTCACTTTGAAAAAGTCAAAGAACTTTCTTGCGTCTTCTGCTGCCAAAGTGGAAGCAAGATCCCCATTGTGACGGCTGAGATAGACTTCCACACAGACCGGTTTGATTTCCCTTACGCGACGGCGGACGTGCTCTGTTTGGAACCGCAGAACTGTTCTCCGAAATACATGTCGATTCTTCCCTCCCACGACCTGGATTTTGCCCAGCTGCCGATGTTCGAGATCAAAAACCGCCACTCCGGGGAGCCTTTGCTCGGATTCACGGTGTGCATCTCGACAATGTTCGGAGGCTTCAACAACGTTTTGCAGTTTGTGCAGTCGGTGGAAATGTACAAAATACTCGGTGCACAGAAAGTGGTCGTGTATAAGAACAAATGCAGCCGGTTGATGGAGCGAGTCTTAGAACATTATGTCTCCGAAGGGGTGGTTGAAATTATCCACTGGCCCATCGATACGTACCTTCGGGCTTCGTCTTATTGGCATCACTCCATGGATCCCCAAGACATTGGCTACTATGGGCAAATTGCCACCTTGAACGACTGCGTCTACCATAATATGTACAGAAGTAAATATGTGCTGCTAATTGATACGGATGAAATTATTCTCCCACTCAAAGATGCAGATTGGAAATCTCTAATGGAAAGGCTTGAAAGGGATAATCCAGGCGCCGGGGTGTTCCTGTTTGAAAATCATGTCTTCCGGAACAACGTCTTCGCTGATACATTGCCATTCAACTTCTCTTCTTGGAGAAGTGTTCCTGGCGTGAACATATTTCAGCACACCTTCAAAGAGCCCAACAGGAAAGGGGAGTTTAATAACAGGAAGATGGTTGTTCGGCCAGAGAGGGTCGTTCAGACCTCTGTCCATTCGGTGCTCAAGATGTACGGAGTTGATCCTGTGGCAGTTCCCAGCGATGTCGCCATTCTCTATCACTGCAGGAGGCCTGAACGTGCGGATGTGTCCAAGGAGGCCCTGATCCAAGACCTAGTGATTTGGAAATACAATGCTTCTCTGATTGCAAATGTGGACCGAGTCCTGCACAAATGCAATTGTTTGTAGGAAAAGAGGTTCCGCTTAAACAAAAAGAATAACTTTGTGAAGGTAAGAGCCGTTCGGCAGTGGAATATGCTGCCTTGGATTATCGTGGAGTCTTCTTCTTTGGATGTTTTGAAGCAGATGTTGGAGGGCCATCTGTTGGGAGGGCTTTGATTGTGTCTTCCTTTGGTGCAGAATGGGTTGGATTAGATGGGTCCTTGGGGTCTCTTCCAACTCAATGGACCCTTCCAGACTGGCCCTATATCCCAGGATCTGATCCCAGGTTTTTTGATGATAATGATAATAATAATAATAATAATAATAATAATAATAATAGTAACAACAACAACAACAATCTATATAAATAAAAACGTAATGTTCGTTTGTGGGATTAACAGAACTCAAAAACCACTGGACGAATTGACACCAAATTTGGACACAAGACACCTAACAACCCAATGTATGCCCTTCACTCAAAAAAATTGATTTTGTCATTTGGGAGTTGTAGTTGCTGGGATTTATAGTTCACCTACAATCAAAGAGCATTCTGAACCCCACCAACGATGGAATTGAACCAAACCAAACATGACCAACAGAAAATACTGGAAGGGTTTGGTGGGAAGTGTCCTTTGATTTTGGAGTTGTAGTTCACCTACATCCAGAGAGCACTGTGGACTCAAACAATGATGGATCTGGACCAAACCCTAGAGGAATACTCAATATGCCCAAATGTGAACACTGGTGGAGTTTGGGGAAAATAGAATCTTGACATTTGGGAGTTGTAGTTGCTGGGATTTATAGTTCACCTACAATCACAGAGCATTCTGAACCCCACCAAAGATACAATTGGGCCAAATCTCCCACACAAAACCCCCATGTGGGCCACAGCAACGCGTGGTAGGGAATGGCTAGTAGTAGTAATAATAATAATAATAATAATAATAATAATAATAAATCTTTGTATTGTCGAAGGCTTTCATGGCTAGAATCACTGGGTTGTTGTGGTTTTTTTCGAGCTATATGGCCATGTTCTAGAGGCATTCTTTCCTGACATTTTGCCTGCATCTATGGCAAGCATCCTCAGAGGTAGTGAGGTGAGGATGATGCTTGCCATAGATGCAGGCGAAACATCAGGAGAGAATGCCTCTAGAACATGGCCATATAGCCTGAAAAAACCCACAACAACCCAATAATAAACTTTATTTATACCCCACCACCATCTCCCCAAGGGGATTCAGGCGGTTTACACGAGGCCAAGATTATCCCAGATAATCTGGCAGTGCGGACTCATATAATCCAGTTTAAAGCAGATCAGATCCTGGGATATAAGGCCTGTGTGGAAGGACTCTCAGATTCTATGACTGGTGCTAAAAACTTAATACAAAACAAGAAAAAGATGGCTTAATTTGTAAACTGCACAGACTGGACATCATGTATGGTTGAAAGCATCAACACTGCTTGGGAATAATGGACATGTTTTTAAAAAGGGAAGTATATCTTGTTTTTGTTTTGAAATAGTTCTGTAACATAACCTCAGAGCTGAAGAACTCTTTTCGAATTCAAAAGATTGCATCAAACCATGTTTTCCCACATACAGCTCTTACAACCAATCATTTGCAACAGAATTGCAACAAAAGGCAGGACCTTTTGCACCAAAATTATGGAGTTTCCTCATGAATCTTATCCTTTTGTTTTTAATCAGTGAATAAAAATATTTTTCACAAATACTTTGGTTTGAGCCATTTTTGCTCTATTATTTGTAGTGTTCCGAAATGCTTGGAGCATTGGTTTTTTGGATTTCAGATTATTATTATTATTATTATTATTATTTTACTGACACAAAAGCACAGTATGTCACAGCTAACGAGATCTATATGCTGGATTTCGTATCACAAAATCACAAGTCGAACACTTCCCAAGTGTATTATTATTATTATTATTATTATTATTATTATTATTATTATTATCTGAAACACCACAAGATGAGTCCATAGCAGTCACTCTGCTGCCTGTTGAATTGAATCACACGTCAGACACTTCCCAAGTGCCTAGGACTGTGTGATGTATCGGCAAATAATGTGTGCAGATCCCAGTAATGTGGCCTTCTGCAGCTGGCAGATGGTAATCTTGTCAGCGCCGATTGTGTTTAAGTGCAGGTCAAGGTCTTTAGGCACTGCACCCAGTGTGCCGATCACCACTGGGACCAGAGTCTTTGCAGTTCGATTTTTAAATCCTCATATCGTGTCAGCTTTTCCAGTTGGTTCTCTGCAATCCTGCTGTCACCTGGGATTGCAATGATGATGATGATGATGATGATGATGATGATGATTAGAAACACAACAGGATGAGTCCACAGCAGATACTTTGCTGGCTGTTGTATTGAATCACACGTCGGACACTTCCCATTATTATTATTATTATTATTATTATTATTATTATTATTATTATTATTCTGTCACAAAAGCACAGTATGTCACAGCAAACAAGATCTATATGCTGGATTTCGTATCAAAAAATCACAAGTCGAACACTTCTCAAGCGTAGTATTATAATTATAATAATTATTATTAAAAACACAACAAGATGAGTCCACAGCAGACACTCTGCTGGCTGTTGTATTGAATCACATGTTGGACACTTCCTATTATTATCATCATCATCATCATCATCATCATCATCATCATCATCATCATCATCATCATCATCATCATCATCCAGTTGCTTGAGAGTTCTGGTTAACTGAGACTCTACTGTAATGGATTTTATTTCCATATTGCAAAAAGGCTTGAGGATACGCGACATGAACTACAAATCCCATCGTTGCTTCGTGGGTGATGGGATTTATCATCCAGGATGTAAATTAGGTTTTGAAGAGATTCCTCTGAGCATACGCAGAGAGCCTTTGCTACCAAATGGAGGACAAGTGGCCAAATTTCGGGGGGTTGAGGGTAGGGAACGACTTACCTTCTTTCATTTCTTTTTCTCCTTCCCTTCTCTATTCTTCATTCTTTCTTTCTCTTTTTGGTCTTTCCTTCCTCCTTCCCTCCTTTCAATTCTGTTCTCCCCTACTCTTCTTTATTGTTCTTTCCTCCATTCCTCTCCACCCAAAAGCAGTTCAATGAAGGCCTGTATTGTTTTGAGTTTTGTTAGAGAGAACAAGAAATCAGGACATTAATTATAATAAAAATAATAATAATATAATTGATTATAATTTAGGGACCTTTATAGTTTTGAGAAGCCTTTTATATGAATGCTTATATAACAACTTTTACCTCTTCTTCCAATACTATGAGCATGTGATGGTTTGTCTATTTTCTTCATGGATTTCAATGGAGTTTTACTACTCTCGAACCAGAGAAGTCTGAATAATATGTACATTTTCTTCTTTTCCTGCTTAATACTTGAAGAAATGGGATCATGTTAGTTTACATAAATAACACCGGCTTACACATATGCATCTCCTTTTTGAAGGGACACATTGCAAAAGGCATAACATTGCATTGTTTCTTCCCTCTCCCTCTTATTATTTCCTATTGATTTAATTCTCCGTTCCTTGCTTGTGTTGTTAGGCCAAGGTCATTGGCGTATATAAAGCTCTTTGTGAGTGATTGTTGTACAAATGTTAAACAAGGTTGGTGCAAGAATACTGCCTTGGGGTTAAACCATTCTTTTGCCTCCTCCATCTACTTTTCCTGTCTTGAAACTCCACATAGAAGCTGTGGTTTTCTAGGAGGGTCTGGACATTTTTTTATAAAATCATAGTCCTGGGTAATATGGTAGACTTTATAAAGCTATTGTCCTCCCAACCCTGCTATATGCTTGCGAGACGTGGACTGTCTACAGACATCACATGCAACTCCTGGAACGATTCCATCAGCGCTGCCTCCGGAAAATCCTGCAAATCTCTTGGGAAGACAAGCGGGCAAAGGTCAGTGTGCTGGAAAAAGCAAAGACCACCAGCACTGAAGCGATGATCCTCCGCCATCAACTCAGCTGGACCGGCCACGTTGTCCGGATGCCCGACGACAGTCTCCCAAAGCAGTTGCTCTATTCCGAACTCAAGAACGGAAAACAGAATGTTCGAGGACAGGAAAAGAGATTTAAAGATGGGTTCAAAGCCAATCTTAAAAACTCTGGCATAGACACTGAGAACTGGGAAGCCCTGGCTCTTGAGCGCTCCAGCTGGAGGTCAGCTGTGACCAGCAGTGCTGCAGAATTTGAAGAGACACGAATGGAGGGCGAAAGAGAGAAACGTGCCAAGAGGAAGATGCGTCGTCAAGCCAACCCCAACTGGGACCATCTTCCACCTGGAAACCGATGCCCTCACTGTGGGAGAACATGCAGATCAAGAATAGGGCTCCACAGTCACCTACGGACCCACCGCCAGAACACCGAACTTGGAGGACCATCATCCTCGGACTACAAGGGATCGCCTAAGCAAGTAAGGTAGACTTGAAGCAGCATGTTTCTATGTTGCACCATGTCACAGGCTGCTATAAGGTCCACAAAAACTGTTCCCATAATGCAACCTTTCTTATGTCTTTCCTCGATGTACTCAGTCAGATTAAAAATTTGGGCTGTACAGTTTTTCCCTGGTCTGAAGCCTGCTTGTGGTGCAATACTTAGGTAATCCCTCATTGCCCAAGGATAATGTTGCTCCAAGTGTAGTATCTTGGTGGTAGGTCTGTACGTAGCTGTGGAGCCCTATTCTTGATTTGCATGTTCTCATGCAGTGCGGGTGTCTGTTTCCAAGTGGGAGGTGGTCCCAGTCAGAGTTGGCTTGACACGCCTTCCTCTTGGCACATTTTGCCCACCATTTGTGCCTCTTCGAATTCCACAGCACTCCCAGTCACAGCTGACTGCCAGTTACAGCCCTCAAGGGCCAGGGCTTCCCAGTTCTCGGTGTCTATGACACAGTTTGTAAGGTTGGCTTTAAGTCCATCTTTAAATCTCTTTTCCTGTCCACCAACATTACATTTCCCGTTCTTGAGTTGGGAGTATAGTAGCTGCTTTGGGAGATGTTGATCAGACAACTTGGCCAGTCCAGTGGAGTTGAAGGAGCATCACTTCAATGCTGGTGGTCTTTGCTTCTTCCAGCACGCTGACCTTTGTCTGCCTGTCTTTCCAAAAGATTTGCAGGATTTTTCGGAGGCAACGCTGATGGAATTGTTCCAGGAGTTGAGTATAACATCTGTTGACAGTCCACGTTTCGCAGGCGTAGAGCAGGTTTGGGCGGACAATAGCACCTTGGTATCTCTACAGATGTCCCGGTCCTCAAACACTCTCTGCTTCATTTGGAAAAATACTGCACTCGCAGAGCTTAGGTGGTGTTGTATTTCAGTGTCAATGTTGTGTTTTGTGGAGAGATGGCTGCCAAGAGAAGCAGCAATAGTCAACATTTTCTAATATTACACCATTAAGTTGTATTTCTGGCATTGCAGAGGGATTGGCTGGTGACTGCTGGAAGAGCACTTGACATTCAATGAGAATGTTTTCTTGACATTCAATGTGAAGCTGCATTTCTTGTATGCTTCTGCAAAGGTGTTCAGAGTAGCTTGTAGGTCTTCCTTTGAACATGTACAGACTATGTTGTCATTGGCATATTGGAGTTCTATAATAGATGTTGTTGTGACCTTGGTTTTGGCTTTCAGTCTGCTGAGGTTAAACAGCTTGCCATCTGTTCGATAGATGATTTCCACTCCGGTGGGAAGCATTCCATCAACAAGATGAAGTATATCCTCTCATATATTTTATACAGATGACATAAGAGAGAGATTGGTCAGTAGTTCCTGGCATTGGAGACATTTTACCATGTTTTAAAATGGCAATGATCTTAGTTTTCCTCCATAGTCTGGAAATCTGTTTGTGCGCCAAGCATTGATTGTAGAATTTCAAAAGCCAGTTTTCAGCTTTGGGGCCCAAGTGTTTTTTGCTCCATCAATAGGCCATCTAGGCCAGGGGCTTTACCAGTTTTACATCATTTAATAACTTTTCTGAATTCTTTCATGTTTAGGGGAGATGAAACTGGTGGGTTTCAAGTTCTGACACCCTGTTGATTTTCACCTTTTCTCTGCTGCAATTTCAAGTCTAAACATGGAATTCGTTGATGTTTCATATACAGCTCTAACACCTAAAACAGAAAACATTTTTCCCTACAAGTCTTGGCTCTTCCCTTAAATTCCCACGCCACAATGTGTTAAAGACAGAAAAGGATAGCTTTCTTTTACATTAAAGTTTTTCTTTAATTAGTGAAACAATTATTTATCAATGTAACAAGCTGAAAAATACAGCAAACCTGATAGAAGACTGAGGTAACAAAATACTTTGCCAAAAAACCTAAAAGACTTCCCACACAAGGATTTTAAAATTTCAGTGGTTATTCATGACAATTTCACAAGATTTTTTTTGTTTGTTTAAGAAAGAGGCTTTACACAAATGGCATGCAGTGGGGGCTGTTGGGATACAGCTAAAAACGAACGGGAAAACAAATTCAAAACAAAATAGTGCAACGGTTATCACAAGAAATGAATTGAAATATCGAAACTGGTTTACATCACGACGTGACAAATGGGTCGATCATTGAATACTCTTCCGTATAACGCAACCGAGTGCTAATTGGTTTTTAAAAAACATGCATTTTGGCACTAAGTTTACTGTAAAATTACACATACACAGACACACTAATAAATTAATAATAAATAATATTGCCTCGATGTCGCTACACAAATCGGATCCTAAATATAATTCGATGGATTGGAGACACTTTGAAAAATGACTCAAAACAGGTGAGTCTTTTGATCCAGCTTTCTGTTTCATTGCACTTTGGAAAAGATATCCATCCTCTCCTTGTAATTGTGCCCTGATTAATTACAGAGGAAGAAACAGATAAGATACAGAAATGGATCTGTTGCCACCTTTGAAATAAATCGGGCTGCTTACAATTATTGTAATTTATCTGTATTGGAGACGTAGACGGCTTTGGATCATCTGCGATATCGTCTGTCGGGGATATGGTTCAAAATAGTACCGATATGCATCAATTTCTCATTTCATTCACAGTAAAATCTGCTCTAAAAATCAGTAGCTAAGTAGACCTTCATGCTTTTGTAGGACTAGTACCATCTAAGTGCAGCTTTAGGCTTAATAACTAGCTTCATGTACCGTTCGATTCTTTTCTTCTGTAGTCTCAAAAACACCATGTTGCTCGTATTGCTGAATACTGCACTACGTCATCACACGAGTCATTATGGTACAATTATTTCCATTTCCACCTGTTACAATACTACCTATACAAGTAAAAAAAAAAATCACAGTCAGTCAGCCATTTGTATCTTCCGAAAACCAGATACACACACACACACACACACTCAAAACATTCCCAATGCAGATTTGCGGAGGGACTTTCAAGTAGGTTCGTCGCAAGAGACGTTTTCCTTCCCTCCACAGATGCATGCAAGTGTCATTCATTGTACCAGGAAATATTCTCCATTCTTTTTCATTCATGCGGCGTCGTATCAAGGCCCCGGCTGAGTCCCCTCCCTCCGCTCTACAATTTTTCGTCGAGGAGATTGATATAAAATGACAGAGGAGGATGGGAATCCGAATCCATTTCCTCCCACTCTCTTGAGAATTTTTTCAAAGGCCAAAATATCCTCGTCTCCCCCGTGAAGGAAATATCTCTATCCCTTGTTCTGAAAGCGTTTTACTACCAAACATCCTTGACGCTTCAGTGGGGACTATTTCCCTCGTTTTCGTTCCACAGAAACATCTAATAATGATTAAATCACCGCTTAGACTTCAGTAGCGCTTGGCTACCGCTGGTTATTTCATTTTGGTTATCATCAGAAACCAAACATAGCACCTTCTTTACACAATTCGAATGAACCTTTTGTATGGCGACATTAAATGTGAGCACAATAGAGTCTCGCTAATCCGACATAAACAGGCCAGCAGAACGTTGGATAAACGAAAATGTCGGATAATACGGAGTCTCCTACTGTTACCCGTCCGACACCTAGAATAGTAACAACAGCGACTTAAAGGTTAAGGCAAGTCAATGCCTCTGGGCGAGAGCAGCCCAGCAGGAAGTGCCCGGATGTGGAAGAGGAGCGTGGAAATCACAGAGGGAAGAAGAGAGGACGCTTCCACTTTCGGCCCTGCCTCTTTTCCCCCTTCCTCCTCCTCCTCCTTGTCTTGCCTTCTTCACTTACTGGGAATGGAGAGAGAGTTGGGAAGTGCTCCTTTAATTGAGGAAAAGGGGGTGTCAGATAAGAGCGTTGGATAAGACAAAATGTCGGATAAGCGAAGGTCGGATAAGCAAGACTCTACTGTACCTGGCTAACTATATATATTGGATCTCATTATTACTGAATGTATTGTTCAACATACATTTGGGAGGGAGGAGTTAGAATTCTGTACAAATACTCAATATATACTTTGACCTCTAAAAAACTGAGAACTCAAATTAGTGTGCAGATTTCAGTTCCACGTTTGGGTAACATAGCTGTGAAATGGTTCGACTTAATCATAATTGGCTATGTTTAAAAAGCAGCTCTTTGGCAGTTGCGAAATGGCCTTGTCCTCTTTTTCTTCCTCAAGTGGGAATTCCCTGCAATTTGGGAATTGTTGGAACTTACACAGCATAAAGCTTAGGAACATGATGCCAACAAGGAAGATTATTTGATTTAATACAACGGTCATCGGTACCATGGGGTTATAACGTGGCTCTCGCTTCATTCTGGGGAATTTCCAAACCAGAGGACAGAGCTATACGTGATTCAATTTAGGATATGCTTGATCCTAAAGCAGGCATGGGCAAACTTTCTAACTTGGGAGCCTCATGCTAGTTCTCCCTGCTAGGAGGACTGGCTACCTGGTGATGGAAGGAAGGAAGGGAAGGATGGAAGGAAAGAGAGAAGGAAGGAAGGAAAGCTGGAAGGAAGGGAAAGATGGAAGAAGAAAGAGGTAGTAAAGGGAGGAAGGAAAGAGTGAAGGAGGGAATGACAAAAGGGAAGGATGAAAGGATGGAAGGAAAGGAATGAAAGAGAGAAGGAAGGAAGGGAGGGAGGGAGGGAGGGAGGGAGGGAAGGATGGGAGGAGAAAGAGGGAGGTAAGGGAGGGAGGGAGGTAAGGAAAGAGAGAAGGAAGGAAAGACAAAAGGAAGGAAGGAAGGAAGGAAGGAAGGAAGGAAGGAAGGAAAGAAAGATGAAAAGGAAGGATGGAAGGAAGGGAAGGAGGAAGGAAAGAGAGAAGGAAGGGAGAACGAAAGGGTAGAAGGGAATGGAGGGAGAAAGAGGGAGGGAAGAGAGGGAGGGAGGAAAGAAGGAAGGAAAGACAAAAAGGATGGACAGATGGATGGAAGGAAGGAAGGGTGAAAGGGTGGAAGGGAAGGATGAAAGGGAATGTAGGGAGGGAGAAGGATGGATGGGGGAAAGAGAAGGAAGGAAAGACAAAAGAGAAGGAAGGAAGGAGAAAAAGGGAGAGAGAGAGAAAGAGAAAGAGGAAAGGACAAACGGGTGGAAGACAAGGAAGGAGGGAGGGAGAAAGAGGGAGGGAAGGAAGAGAGGGAAGGAAGGAGGAAGGAAAGAGAGAAAGAAGGAAGGATAGGGTGGTGAGAGAGAGGAGGGCCTGAGAAAAGAGTCCAGGTGGACACATCTGGCCCACGCCCCTAGGTTTGCCCATACCTGTCCTAAAGGATATGTTTGATCAATGGGATGCCAGACCTTTAATAACTGCAATGTACCTGGCAGGATGTGTTATTTTCTATATCAGAAATATGGGTGGTATATCACCACAAAAGGGTGGGGGGAAAGAAAGACAGAAAGAAGAGGGAGATGCTACAAAGAAGAGATCCCTCTTCCCTCAAGAACAATCCACATGTGAAACTGAACACATCCCTTTGTGCAAGAGGGCCATTCAGAACCACATCCTAATACATTAATCGATTGGCAGTGGCCAAATAGAAACAATAGGTTCATCTGCTCCAAGCAGAGTTTTGTTCTTGGACATGGAGACAATCTACGAGTATTTCCAAGAAGTCAGGCTTTGAGTTGACCAACCTGGGCAGGAAAAAAAAAGGATGCTTTAGCTTAGAAGCCTGCCTCGCTCTCCTTTCTAGACAGAGACCCAAGAGTTGGCTTCTCCCCCGGATCTTGTTTCACATTGACAATTTAGGACTATGACACAGGCATATAACATGACAATTCACATATTATATTCGACAACCGTTGAGAGATTTTAGCGTCAAAATAACATAAAATAAAATAACAATCCAGTGAGATCAGTAGGCAACAATGTCTTTGTCAAATGCACGGTTGCTTTCATCAAAAATTCCAGCTGATTTCTCAGGTGTATTATATACGAGGGTTATCCAGAAAGTAAAATTACAAGGCACGTAGCTCTTGTGGGGAATTTTCATGGGGGAAGTTGATATCACTGCTATGTAGCGGGAAGCCAGTGGAAGTGAACGAGCCGTGCCAGTTGTTAGTAGCTCATCGACTGGTATTGTAGTGAAGGTTAGAGATGAGTGTCCTCATCTGCAAGACCAAGAACAAGCCACGAGAGTAAAGATGAAGATCCACCCAGAGGAAAAGTGTTCCTGCCATACATCAAGGGAACCACTGACCGCATAGGGAAGCTGATGAGGAAACACAACATACAAACTATCTACAGACCCACCAAGAAAATCCAACAAATGCTACATTCAGCAAAGGACAAGAGGGATCCTCTCACTGCAGGAGTCTACCGTGTACCATGCAGCTGTGGACAAGCCTACATAGGGACCACCAAACGCAGCATTGCCCAAACACAAATCAAGGAACACGAAAGGCACTGCAGACTACTTCAACCAGAAAAGTCAGCCATAGCAGAGCACCTGATGAACCAACCTGGACACAGCATTTTATTTGAGAACACAGAAATGCTGGACCACTCTCACAACCACCATGTCAGACTACACAGAGAAGCCACTGAAATACACAAGCATGTGGACAATTTCAACAGAAAGGAGGAAACCATGAAAATGAACAAAATCTGGCTACCAGTATTAAAAAACTCTAAAATTACAACAGCACAACAACAGAGAGTAAACAAACAAGGACATCTAATCACCTCTCAACAAAAGCTTGCCCCAGGCACTGTCAGGCAATTATATGCTAATCAAGGTGGTCAGTTGAAACTTTCACACCCAGCTCCAGCAGACAAGAGTCCTTTGTCCCACCCTGGTCATTCCACACCCTTTTTCCTAGTTCTCACTACCTCTGAGGATGCTTGCCATAGATGCAGGGGAAACGTCAGGAGGGAATGCATCTAGACCATGGCCATATAGCCCCAAAAAACCTACAATAGTCCACTGTCCTCATTCTGTTTCTCTCTAAGGGTGAATTTCACACTGTAATATGCTACCCTAAATGCTAACGGCATAAACACCACTGCAATTTATCGAAAAATCGTTTCAGTTTATGGAGAGGACATAATGTCAAGACAGCATGTGACAAAATGGGTACGGAATATATTGTGAGACCATAAAGAAACTTCACAGAGCCATCCAAAACAAACGTCATTGGATGCTGATGGCGGGAGCCTGTCTCCTTCATGACAATGCGCGTCTATATACCGCTCATGCAACACAAGAGCGGTTTACTCCATTTGGTTGGGATATTTTAAGTCGAGACAGCAGTGACTATCATTTACACTGAAGGAATACCTTGGTGGGAAACACTTTTTTGACAACGACAAGGTGAAAATCGAAGTGACAAACTGGCCGATAAAGCTGGAGGGAAACTTCGATGACACAGGCATCCAAAACTCGTCCCACGGACGACAAAATGTATTGAACTGAATGATCATTATGTGGAAAAATAATGCTACAATCCATGTAAATTGATTAAAATATATTCATTGTTTGTATTTTTTTTAAAATTGTAATCGTACTTTCCAGATAACCTTCGTACATTTCACTCATCTGTATTCCTAACAGGCAACTCTGGGCCATTGTTCAGATACTGGGCAAAAACGTCTCGATTAATAGAGTCTGGCTTTCTTTTCGAGCAAAAGCTGAGCTCAATGTCAAACCACCTCTTAGGAGAAAAATGGCATCCAATGGAAAGCTCTAAAGGAGGTGCCCTGGAGTCAGGAAGAACCAATGCAATTCTCAGGAGGACATTTCTGATGAACAGCACCCGCACTTCAAAAAAGAACAAACCAAAACAATTTAAGGCAAATTGTGTGTGTGTGTGAAGGAACCCATTTCAGCAGCGGCGGACCCTTCCTCTGCCTGGGCACCACGAGTTCATTCGACTCAAGCAGCACAGCCAAATTACAAGAAACGAAAACACTAAATCACAGGCGGTTATTTTTACCTGGTGCCAAAATACACATTTCCCAAATAGCTCAGGTGTATGAACATCCGTTTTTGTTCCTAGGGTTTGATACAAAAATCTGAGGCAGCCACATTGCCAAGCGACTCAGTGCACTTAAGGTTATAAAAACGTTGTTCCACAATGTTCTATTCTAATTGACACTTTTGCAGCAAAGTTAACACTGTCAATTGTTTTTGTTGTTGTTGTTGTTGTTGTGCATTAGAAATAATTGAAGAGGAAAAAAAAAACAACCCAACATGGGCTAAATGTTCCTTCGGTTCACATAACGCAGCTCGACGATAAAAAGAGCAGTTTAAAAAAAAATCCGCAGAAGATGTGATGCACAGTTTTGTGGGAAGGAGAGACATCCACAGCAGTCTGTGACCACAAAAGCTAAACTCAAGGATTTGGGGATCCTGCGTCTTCCATCAGTCTCAAAGCATCGTTCCCTCCAGCACCTGGGGACAGATCCTTTCCTAAGGACAACATTCACCTCCTGCTTTTAGGAAGTGGTGTCATCGCTACGTTCAAGTCATATAGAAAAGTGCTGAAATTGCTGTTGCAGACAGCTGGCTCACTCAGTCAAGGAATTCCCTTCCTCCGTCCTCCTTTGAGGAACCCCATGTTCCCATTCTGCAGTTTGGCACTTGAAATTTACACCAGGGACCAGAGCTTGTTATTCAAATGACATAAGGTTTGCAGGTACCTGCAAGAAAAAAAAGTAAAAGTTGATGGATCATAGAATTATGGAATCTCAGAGTTGGAAAAGTCCCCAAAAACAATCCAGACCAACCCCATAAAGGAAGACACAATGAATGAATGAATGAATCATAGAGTAAGACTGTAGGTTTTATATAGCAATATTAAATGATCACTCACAAGCCGGTTGTGCTTTGAAATGAATATATTGCTTGTATCTCTGCAGCAAAGAAAGACACTACTGACTTTTTCCCACCACCACTTCCTTTTATACACCTTTCCTGCCCATATCCCCCCTCTTCTCAGTTTCCTTATTAGAGTTTGTTGCTTCACAAATTCCAATACAAGGTTTCCAGCGCCTTTTGGTGTCACAGAGAGAAAATTGAGGCAGCCAGGATGATTCAGTCAGGATGTCACGGAGGGAATTTGTGATGTCTTCATGCCATCAGAAACTGACTCCTGACATTGGGAGAGACCACAATGGCCATCCAATCCAATCCCATTCTGCCATAAAGGATTACACAATGAATGATTGAATCATAGAATCATAGAGTTGGAAGACACCCCAATGGTCATACAGGCCAATCCCCTTTTGCCATAAAAGAAGACACAATGAATGAATGAATCATAGAATCATAGAGTTGGAAGAGAGCCCAATGGACATACAGGCCAATCCCCTTCTGCCATAAAGGAAGACACAATGAATGAATGAATAAATCATAGAGTTGGAAGAGAGCCCAATGGCCATACAGGCCAATCCCTTTCTGCCATAAAGGAAGACACAATGAATGAATGAATAAATCATAGAATCATAGAGTTGGAAGAGAACCCAATGGCCATCCAGTCCAATCCCCTTCTGCCATAAAGGAAGAGACAATGAATGAATGAATGAATGAATCATAGAATCATAGAGTTGGAAGAGAACCCAATGGCCATCCAGTCCAATCCCCTTCTGCCATAAAGGAAGACACAATGAATGAATGAATGAATGAATGAATGAATGAATGATAGAATAATTGAGTTGGAAGAGATCCCAATGGCCATCCATTCCAATCCCCTTCTTCCATAAAGGAAGAGACAATGAATGAATGAATGAATGAATCATAGAATCATAGAGTTGGAAGAGAGCCCAATGGCCATACAGGCCAATCCCTTTCTGCCATAAAGGAAGATACAATGAATGAATGAATAAACCATAGAATCATTGAGTTGGAAAATACCCCAATGGCCATACAGGCCAATCCCCTTCTGCCATAAAGGAAGACACAATGAATGAATGAATATATCATAGAATCATAGAGTTGGAAGAGAACCCAATGGCCATCCAGTCCAATCCCATTCTGCCGTATGGGAAGACACAATGAATGAATGAATGAATCATAGAGTTGGAAGAGATCCCAATGGCCATTCAGTCCAATCCCATTCTGCCATGAATGAATAAATGAATCACAGAATCATTGAGTTGGAAGGGACTCCAATGGCCATCCAGTCCAATCCCATTCTGCCATGACGGAAGACACAATGAGTGAATGAATGGATGAATGAATCATAGAGTTGGAAGAGATTCCAATGGCCACACAGTCCAATCTCATTTGGCCATAAAGGAAGACAAAATGAATGAATGAATGAATCAGAGAGTTGGAAGAGATCCCAACAGACATTCAGTCAAATCCCATTCTGCTGTAAAGGAAGAAACAATGAATGAATGAATGAATCATAGAATTGGAAGATTCCAATGGCCATCCAGTCCAATCTCATTCTGCCATAAAGGAAGACGTAATGAATGAATGATTGAATGAATGAATGAATCATAGAGCTGGAAGAGATCTCAATGGCCATTCAGTCCAATCCCATTCTGCCATGAATAAATGAATGAATGAATCACAAATGCCTTACCTGAGGCCTGTTGCTTTTGCACGCGTCATCCAAATGTTTGTGCCACAGTATTGCATGAAACCTCGAACCAGTCTGAAACTTGTAAACATTGCCTACAAAATTGAAGAACAACGTTGAACCAGGAGCCTTGGCTATTTTGAGAGAGCCAGGTAGTAATAAGGGCAAGAAGGCTACAGATTTAGCAATAAAAGAAATGGGTTGATGTGAGTTTTCCGGGCTGTCTGGCCATGTCCCAGAAGCATTCACTCCTGACGTTTCATCCACATCTATGGCAGGCATCCTCAGAGGTTGGAGGTCTGTTGGAAACTAGAAAAGTGAGGTTTATATATATGTGGGAGAAAGGAATCTTGTCCACTTGGGGCAAGTGTGAATGTTGCAATTGGCCACTTGGATTAGCACTGAATGGCCTTGCAGCGTCAAAGCCTGGCTGCTTCCTGCCTGGCAGAATCCTTTGTTGGGAGGTGTTAGCTGATCCTAATATTTTCATGTCAGGAATCCCCCTGTTGTTTGAGTGTTCCTCTTTATTTACTATCCTGATTTTAGAGTTTTTTAAATACTGGTAGCCAGATTTGGTTCATTTTCATGGTTTATTCCTTTCTGTTGACATTGTCTACATACTTGTGGATTTCAATGACTTCTCTGTGTCATTGAAATCCATGGTGGTTGTTAGAATGGTCAAGCATTTCTGTGTTCTGTAATAATAATAATAATAATAATAATAATAATAATAATAATAATATTTATTATTATTATTATTATTTTGTTGTGTCAGGAGCGACTTGAGAAACTGCAAGTTGCTTCTGGTGTCAGAGAATTGGCTGTCTGCAAGGACGTTGCCCAGGGGACACTTGGATGATTTTATCATCCTTGTGGGAGGCTTCTCTCATGTCCCCACATGAGGAGCTGGAGCTGATAGAGGGAGCTCATCCGCCTCCCCCCGGATTCGAACCTGCGACCTGTCCTGCCGGCACAGGGTTTTAACCCACTGCACCACCGGGGCTCCTCAATAATAATAATAATAATAATAATAATAATAATAATAATAATAATAATAATCTTTATTTATACCCTGCCACCATCTCCCCAAAGGGAACTCGGGGCGGCTAACATGAGGCCAAGCCCAAAAATAATACAGTAAAGTTAGACACAAAACAACAGAAAAATTATATCACAAAAATATAAATAAAGTAACAAAATAAAATAAACAGTGCAAAATATAAAAAATCAAACACAAAGCGCGGGCCAAATGTATGGGATAAAATGTTAAATAATCTGCTGTGTCTAGGTTGGTTCACCAAGTGCTCAGATATGGCTGGCTTCTCTGGTTGAAGTAATTTGCAGTGCCTCTCATGTTCCTTGATTTGTGTCTAGACAATGATGCTGCGTTTGGGGGTCCCTATGTAGACTTGTCCACATCTACATGGGATACGGGAGACTCCTGCAGAGGTGAGAAGATCCCTCTTGTCCTTTGCTGAATGTAGCATTTGTTGGATTTTTTAATGGGTCTGTAGAAGGTTCTCCCCAGGAAGGAAGCATCCAGGCTTTGCAGCTGCAAGGCTATTTTCGGTTTGTGCTTTGGTTTTTCTTTATTGCAATTGTCATTTGGGCTTGGCCTCATGTAAGCCGCTCCGAGTCCCCATCGGGGAGATGGTAGCAGGGTATAAATAAAGTATTATTATTATTATTATTATTATTATTATTATTATTATTAGATGGTGGCGGGGTATAAATAATAATAATAATAATAATTATTATTATTATTCCATGCTAATCAAGCTGGCCAATTGCAATATTCACACTGCCCTCCAACACAGAAGCGTTCTTTCTCCCACCCTGGACATTATTCCATAGATATATGAACCCCACTTGCCTAGTTTCCAACAGACCTCACAACCTCGGAGGGTGCCTGCCATAGATGTGGGTGAAACGTCAGGAGAGAATGCTTCTGGAACATGGCCAGACAGCCTGGAAAACTCACAGCAACCCAGTTGTTCCAGCCATGAAAGGCCTCAACAACACATATAACTCATAATTACGCCTACCTTTATCTGGGTTATTTAGCTGGAAAATATCAGGGTGTTCGGGATCGTCAGGTAGTGCCACCATCCAGCCTACAATGGAAACCTTTTTCCCTGGAGTTGATTTATACTAGAAGAGAAAAAGAGAAGCACAAAGAGTGACCTCAGCACATATCCATCCCCGGATCCACTGCGATGGGTTCCATCTGTGGATGATGGGCATAAGCCAAATCCGTGACTTACATGCTTTCTCTCGGTGCCTCTTAAGGACTTCGCTCCAAAGTAAATCAATGTAGACCCTGAAAGGGTGACCCAGTATCTAGTCCAGGAGGAAAGCTGAGAAGATGATAAAAGGAATTATTATATTTACTATTGATATTGTTGCCGTTAAGTTCCCCCGTCTACCAAACCACCCTTCTTATAAATCAAAACAGTGTTTCTCAACCTTCCAAATGCTGCGACCCCTTAATATAGTTCCTCATGTTGTGGTGACCCCCAACCATAACATTATTTTCATTGCTACTTCATAACTGTAATTCTGCTACTGTTATGAATCGTCATGTAAATATCTGATATGCAGTATGCATTTTCATTCACTGCACCAAATTTGGCACAAATACCCAATATGCTCAAATTTGAATACTGGTGGGGTTGGGGAGAGATTGATTTTGTCATGTAGGAGTTGTAGTTGCAGGGATTGATAATTAACCTACAATCAAAGAGCACTCTGAACTCCACCAAGGATGGAATTGAACCACATTCGGCACACAGAACTCCCATGACCAAGAGAAAATACTGGAAGGGTTTGATGGGCATTGACCTTGGCTTTGGGAGTTGTAGTTCACCTATATCCAGAGAGCACTGTGGACTCAAACAATGATGGATCTGGACCAAACTTGACACAAATACTCAATATGCCCAAATGTGAACACTGGTGGAATTTGGGGAAAATAGACCTTGACATTTGGGAGTTGTAGTTGCTGGGATTGATAGTTCGACTACAATCAAAAGCACTCTGAACCCAGCCCACAATGGATCTGCACCAAACTCGGCATGCTACCTATATGGCCAAAATGAATACTGGTGAGGTTGGGGGGCTGTTTTGAATTCTGGGAGTTGTAGTTTACCAAGACCAAAAAGGAAGAAAAGGACAGGAGGAAAGATCTTCAACCTTCTCTACCAAAAAGGTTCCTAAAATCATCAGAAATATGTGAAACCCCACTTGCGACCCTCTAAGTTTGAGAAACACTGATCTAAACCAAAGAGAAATACTGGGGGTAATGCTTAAGCTTGAAAGAAAGCATAATTGGTACTTTGGCTTTCAATGTCCAAAAATTGGTTATATGCTGCCTGCTGCTGGCCAGGATATGTAATAACTCAATGGATCACAGTTACAAATGGGCTTCTGACACTACTCCTTGAGTGGTGAGTGAGAGAGTGCTTCATAACCAGAATGCTTTTCCCTCTGAGTTATGGGGATTCATTTTTAAATGGTTCACTAGTGTGGTACAGCAGTTTTACTGTTGGATCAAATAAATAGCCATCCAACCAAAGGCAGGTCACATATTCTCAACCTAAGAGGATCGCAATAGCAGACATCTTGTCAGGGAAACCCTATGTCTATTAATGGGTCACTACAGACCAGGGCTGACTTGAAAGAACAAGAAATAGATGCCTTCATATCTTTAAACCCCTGCTCCTTACCCTCTTCTTTAAAAACAACAACCTTCCAAACATACTTAAATTGAACAAAAATACAAAACTCTGATATGGTGGAGTGGGGTAATCACTATGGATCGCAACAGACATGCCTTTAAATCAAGCATGGGCAAACCCAGGCCCAGGGGCCAGATGCGGCCCCTTCGGCTCTTTTCTCAGGCCCTCCCCTCTCTCACCATCCTATCCTTCCTTCATTCTCTCTTTCCTTCCTCCTTTCCTCACGGCTTTCTCCTTCCCTTTCATCCTTCCTTCCCTCTTTCCCTCCTTCTTTCTCCCTCATTCCCTTCCACCCTTTTGTCCTCCCTCCCTTCCTTCCCTCTCTCCCTCTTTCTCCTTCCTTCCCTTTTGTCTTCCCTTCCTTCTTTCCTCCCTCCCTCCATTCCCTTCTGAACTTTTGTCCTTTCTTTCTTCTTTTTCCCTTCCACCCTTTTGTCCTTCCCTCCCATTTGTCTTTCCTTTCTTCCCTCTTTCTCCTTTCATCCTCCCCTTCCACTTTTTTGTCCTTCCATTTTCCTCCCTCTCTTTCTCCTTCCTTCCCCTTTGTCCGTCCTTCCTTCCTTCCCCCTCTTTATCCTTCCTCCTTCCCTTCCACCCTTTCATCCTTCTTTCCTTTTTGTCTTTTCTTCCTTCCCTCATTCCTCCCTCCTTCCCTCTTTTTCCTTCCTTCTTCCCACACTTTCGTCCTTACCTCCCTTTTGTCTTTCCTTCCTTCTCTCTTTCTTTTCTTACCCTCTTTCTTCCTTCCCTCCCTCTTTCTCCTTCCATCCTCCCCTTTCACCCTTTCGTCCTTCCCTTTTTTCTCCATCTCTTCTTCTTTCGCCTTCCACCCTTCTCTTCCTTTTCTTTTGTATTTCCTTCCTTCTCTCTTTCCTTTATCCTTCCCTTCCTTCTCTTTTTCCTTCCTCCTTCCCTTCCACCCTTTCATCATTTCTTCCCTCTTGTCTTTCCTTCCTTCCCTTCTTCCTCCCTCCTTCCCTCTTTTTCCTTCCCACCCATTCGTCCTTACCTCCCTTTTGTCTTTCCTTCCTTCTCTTTCTTTTCTTAACCTCTTCCTTCCTTCCTTCCCTCCCTCTTTCTCCTTCCACCCTCCCCTTCCACCCTTTCACTCTTCCTTCCCTTTCCTCCCCCTCTCCCTCTTTCGTCTTCTTTCCTTCCTTCCTTTCCTTTTGTCTTTCCTTTATCCCTCCCTCCCTTCCTTCTTTTTTCCTTCCACCCTTCCCTTCCTCCCTTTCATCCTTCCTTCCCTCTTTCCTTTTTCCTTCCCTTCCTTCCTTCCATCACCGGGAAACCAGTCCTCCTAGCAGGGAGTGCTAGCATGCGACCCCCAAGTTAGAAAGTTTGCCCATGCCTGCTTTAAATCCCATTAGCTAAAGGTAAACAGGAGATGGCTGCAGGGACAAGGTTAGCTGCAGTGATCTTTGCAGCCCTCTGAAAGAATACTCACAGGCTCACAATTATTAGAGAGAGCCATAAATTGTGGAAAGGAAACAAGGGCACAACCACAGTAACAAAATGACTTACTGTAGGCTTCCTGCCTTCCTTCAGTAATGTCTTCCTTCTCAAAGGCCCCTCCATTGTAACGACGCCCATGGAAGTTGCCGAAGTGCAGCTGCAGGCGCCTGTGGGGCTGGAAACAACAAATGCCAACACTTTGTTGGGAGCGGACAGAAAGAACCCCAAACCTATTGATTAAAATGTCCAAAATTTACATCGGATTTTTCTACCTCACTTTAAAAAAATGGCTTAAACACCAGTGTTCAAGGATGCACTGTTCCACTTTGCAGACCTAGGAATCCAGGCACCTTTTGCACAACATCAATGAAGTGATTTGTGGGCTCTTAAAGACTAGAAGATTGATTGTATCGAAAGCTTTCGTGGACCGGAGCCCAGTTTGACCAATCTCAGAACACCAAGGATAACAAACATTCACATCTTTTGCCATCAAATAAATGTAAACCATACTTTGCCACCAAAGATCATGGCGCCCTATGTAATGTGAGAAAGAAACAGATGAGAAACATTTGGAAAAAATATTTATTTTTGAAAAAAAGGCACAAAGACAGAATGAAATAAAGGCAAGTCAAATAAGGATTGAAATGAAAAGATGTGGAGAGCAAGGACGTTGAGAAGGTGAAGCGTCCTTTTCTCATCTGCGGGGTCACATCCCTTTTCCCAAAGCGTCCATCACAAGGCAAGCCTACGAAGGAATCCAGTTATTATGAAGAGGGACAGAAGAAGTCATGAGAAGAGGAGTGGTGAAGGACTAATCCTTTCTTTTGACTAACGCTGAAGAAACAGAAAAGAGAGACTACCAGATAATTTGCATCCATCTGCTTTTGGTTTCCTACTATACACATTTCTGTTCTTCACAGGGTTGCTTGATGATCCTGAACAAAGTGTATTGTGTTGCTATTCTTGGTGATGCTGGAGGATTTGTGCACCTTTGATAGTTGGATTTCTTTAGATTTTGTACTCTACTGTTGAGTGAAAAAATACATTGCTCACTATTATTATTATTATTATTATTATTATTATTATTATTATTACCATTATTATTATTTGTTGGTAATAATAAGCCTTGACATGGTTGAATGGAAGCTCTCCAAAGATTTAGGTGCTCTTACTGCCTAGAACGGCCTGCCTCAGGGGAGCGTGTTTGCTCCATCCATGTTTAACATGTACACAAATGATCAGCCACTGCCAGAAGGGACAGAATTTCATCTATGATTATGATCATGCCATCACCACTCAAGCAATTTGAAACGGTTGAACAGAAGCTCTCTGAAGCTTTAGGTGCTCTTACTGCCTAGGACGGCCTGCCTCAGGGGAGTGTGTTTGCTCTATCGATGTTTAACATTTACACAAATGATCAGCCACTGCCAGAAGGGACAGAATTTCATCTATGCTGATGATCGTGCCATCACCACTCAAGCAGGGAGCTTTGAAATGGTTGAACAGAAGCTCTCCAAAGCTTTAGGTGCTCTTACTGCCTATAGCAGCCTGCCTCAGGGGAGCAAGTTTGCTCCATCGATGTTTAACGTTTACACAAATGATCGGCCGCTGCCAGAAGGGACAGAGTTTCATCTATGATGATGATCATGCCATCACCGCTCAAGCAGGGAGCTTTGACATGGTTGAATGGAAGCTCTCCAAAGCTTTAGGTGCTTTTACTGCCTAGAGTGGCCTGCTTCAGGGGAGCATGTTTGCTCCATCGATGTTTAACATTTACACAAATGACCAGCCACTGCCAGAAGGGACAGAGTTTCATCTATGATGATGATCATGCCATCGCCGCTCAAGCAGGGAGCTTTGAAATGGTTGAACAGAAGCTCTCCAAAGCTTTAGGTGCTCTTCCTGCCTATTATAGGGAAAACCAGTTAACTCCTAATCCATCTAAAACACAGACATGTGCTTTTCACCTTAAGAATAGACAAGCATCTCAAGCTCGGAGGATGTCCTGGGAAGGAATCCCACTGGAGCACTGCAACACAACAAAATACCTGGGATACACTCTGGATCGTGCTCTAACTTATAAGAAGCACTGCTTGAATAGCAAGCAAAAAATGGGTGCTAGAAACAACATCAAACAAAAGCTGACTGGCACAACCTGGGGATCACAACCAGACACAGTGCAGACATCTGTCCTGGCGCTTTGCTACTCTGCTGCTGAATATACATGCCCAGTGTGGAACACATCTCACCATGTTAAAGTAGTGGATGTGGCTCTTAATAAGACATGCTGCATCATCACAGGATATCTATGCCCTACAGCACTGGAGAAATTACACTGTTGAGCTGGTATTGCACCACTTGACATCTGCTGGGAAGTAGCAGCCAGAAACGAAAGGACCATGGCAGTGACATCTCCGGCCCATCCTCTGTTCGGAGATCAGCCAGCATGCCAATGCATTAAATGAAGAAACAGCTTCCTAAGATCTACAGAGATACTTGCAGGAACACTTCAGCAAGCAAGAGTCCAAAAGTGGAAGGCTAAAGCCCAGAACCTCCATCAGTGGCTGAGACTGGATGAGAGACTCCTTCCTGGGCACAGAGAAGATTGGGTGACTTGAAAGGCACTGAACATGCTGTGCTCTGGCACCATGAGATGCAGAGCCAAATCTTCAGAAATGGGGCTACTAGTGGAGTCCATGACATGCGAGTGCAGATAAGAGCAAACCACAGACTATCTACTACTACCTGAGCCCTGCCACATGCACAATGGAGGACCTTCTTACAATGACACCAGAGGCACTCCAGTGAACAAAAGAAATTTAGTATAATTATTTTAATTGTTGTTCGGGCCTGGCCCCATGTAAGCCGCTCCAAGTCCCCAAATCAAGATTATTATTATTATTATCATTATGCTAGGTTTTTAACTTTGTGGTTTTCCTATACATTAATAGCTATATTTTCTCAATGCGCCTCTGACACGATAAACAAATATCCACCAAAGTCGATGTTGTGAACTGTGAACTGGAGCAACAAACTAGGTATGAGTGGCTTAGAAAGGGGAAAAATAGTTTCAGATATAATTCAGTTAATTACATAGTTAACTATTGTAATTAAATTCGACCAAATATCAATATCACTTTAAACATATACAGAATTAGCCTTCCCTGTTAGTACAAGAATGATCTAACTCAGGGGTCCTCAAACTTTTTAAACAGAAGGCCAGGTCACAGTCCCTCAAACTGTTGGAGGGCCGGATTATAATCTGAAAAAACATGAATGAACTCCTATGCACACTGCACATGTCTTATTTGTAGTGCAAAAAACACTTCAAAACAATACAATAATTAAAATGAAGAACAATTTTAACAAATATAAATATTAGTATTTCAATGGGAATTGTGGACCTGCTTTTGGCTTATGAGATAGGATTGTTGTTGTTGTTTGCTTTCAAGTAGTTTCAGACTTAGGTTGACCCTGAGCGAGGGCTAGGTAAATGACCTTGAAGGGCTGTATCCGGCCCTCGGGCCGCAGTTTGAGAACCCCTGATCTAACTATACATTTACTTCACCGCTCGAAAAGGAAAACCTCAGTTGCTATCTTTTTCTCTCTCTTGTCAATGCTTCTTATTCACTGCTGTACATATGTGTCTATCTTACTGAATGAAAATCGAGTTAAATACAAACTTAAATTTGTCTTGAATGGGTTGCATGCTCTTAATCACACTTCTTAGCTTTGGTAGGAAGTGTAGCCAACATTGAAGTGCAGCATGCTTATATGCAGAAAGGCATGTAAACATGGCCGAGCAGGCTTCTATGGTGTGAATGTGAACAACTTATATATAAGTGAGTGTTTCAACTGCCTCTTAACTCCTGGAAGTTCTTCCCGGTGCAAAAAGAAAGTTGGCAGATGGAAGAAAAGAAATGACAATGCTCTTGGGAATAGGCTTTTGTAATCAGCAAGAGAAAAGTAAATAAAGTTGGGAATATGAGTTGACAGCATGGCCGCGGGAGAGAGACAGACCCGCCACCGCCTATAATGTACCTGTAAACACAGCTCCGACTTCTGGGAGAATTCCGAATTGGTACCCGCCAGTTGGGCCCCAGCGTGGCATACAGCCGACCCCTGTTTATAAATTTACAGGTGAGTGCTTTCTGTTTAGTGCAGACATCCAACAAAAGTAAACACATGCACGATACTGTGGGACACACATTGTATTTGATGCTCACCACCCTGGAGAGGCATCTCTGCTGGTGACATAGTGCTCAACATCCATGGGAGAAAGTGGGACCAAAAAGTGGGTCCATGGGACCAAAAAAAATAGATGTTTAAAATGAACGGAGAACAGATCTTTGTGCCGTTATCACTGTTTGACTGTTTATTATTCTCTTCCTGTTTATGCTGGATGATGCATTCTCATGAGTGACACTGGAGATAAGATACCTTTTGGGATGCAACATTTCCCAATGTAAAATTGGGAAGAAACTTCAGGCGGAAAGAAGATGTACTATCCGAAGAATATTTTTAAAATTTTCAGAACTTGTTTACTGTTGTGGAACATATATAGAAGTAATGAAGAAGCTGTGTATAAGAGGCATTGTTGTGGTCACTGCAGCGGACAATAAAACACCAGAGTAGGTTACCATATATACTCGAGTATAAGCCGACCCGAATATAAGCAAAGGCACCTAATTTTACCACAAAAAACTGAGTAAACATTCTGACTCGAGTATAAGCCGAGGGTGGGAAAAGCAGCAGCTACTGATACATTTCAAAATAAAATTATATTAATTGAGGCATCAGGAGGTTAAAGGTTTTTGAATATTTACATAAAACTGTCCCAACTCTGATTAAACCGTTATTCTAACCTTCTTCAATGTAAATGTGCCTATGTATTCTTCCAATAATAATAATGAGAGTAAAATCATAAATGTAATGACAATAATAATAGAGTAAAATAAAAAAATGTAATAATTGAGTAAAATAATAAATGCAATACAAATATCAATAACAGAGTAAAATAATGTAAATGTAATATAAATAATAATAATAATAGAGTAAAATAATAAATGTAATAATAATAATAATAATAATAATAATAATAATAATAATAGAGTAAAATAATAAGTAATTTTGACTCGAGTATAAGCCAAGGAGGGCTTTTTCAGCCATAAAAAGGGCTGAAAAACTAGGCTTCTACTTGAGTATATAGGGTAGTCGAAGAATCTGTTCCTGAATGCAATTCTCTGGTTTAGGAGAGCAATGATGTTTACAGAATTAAGTTAAGCAACTGATTTGGTGCCTTAGCATGTCCACACAAAAAACCCATCTCCAGATCATTCGTTGTGAGAATTGAATTGAACACACTGTCCCAAATCTAATTCTTAATGCCAATTGGATTAGACCTGCTGAATCTATGGTAACCTGGTTAAGGTATGTCAGTTAGTTCATTGCATCTGCTGTGGATTTAAGCTATTGCATTAGATGGATGAGAAATGCAACATTTCAGGAATAGAACAAGATTTTTTGAATGTATGGAGTGGGTACACGTAAGATCCTATGAGATGTTTCCTGTTATCACCTGTTCTTACTGTCTAAGATGTCAGGAAACCCCTTAGGAACACAACAGAGAGGGAACTATAAAGTGACTCCTATCTTAACCAGAAATATCAATTTATCATGGTAACATGTACAGGAAGAAGATGAATGGCCATATATATGAAAGGAAGATGTTTTGAAAAGCTGTGTTCACATTTCCGAATATCAGCACAGTTAAAAATTTTGTGGGCCAGGCTTTAGCATCACGGGTTAAACCGCCAGCTGTAGAAAATCTTGCCAACTGAAAGGTTGGCAGATTGCTGTGTATGTGATCCACCCTGAGTCCCCTTGGGGAGATAGGTCAGAATATAAATAAAGTACTGTTTATTATTATTATTATTATTATTATTATTATTATTATTATTATTATTATTATTAGAAACACAACAAGATGAGTCCCTGAGTCCCCATGGGGAGATAGGTCAGAATATAAACAAAGTACTGTTGTTGTTGTTGTTATTGTTATTATTATTATTATAAACACAACAAGATGAGTCCACAGCAGACAAGATCACTCTGCTGGCTGTTGTATTGGATCACACATTGGACACTTCCCAAGTTTTTTATTATTATTATTATTATTATTATTATTATTATTGTTATTATTATATATTATTATTACTACGACTACTAGGTAGAAAAGTATCACAGAGTGCTATTAAGTAGCACAACTATTTCAGATGTTATTTTTAGGTACATTGTCCCTAATAACCTTATATACAAATTAATAATGTATAGTATCAACACACAGAATAATAACAGAGTAAAATAATAAATAATTTTGACTCGAGTATAAGCCGAGATGTTGCAGTGAAAGACCAATCCTCTTAAGAAAATGACAATCTGCCGGTCAGCAGAAGATAGGCACTTGTTACAAAGAGAGAATGGGATGGGAAGCGACCATGATACCATCCATTCAAGTTCTCCCATTTATTGGCCAAGAGGACACTCACCTTTCAATCCCCGAAGAAGGCTCCTCACTGAATTCTGAGCTTTCACTGCTTCCTATAAAAAACAAACACACTCAGGTTAAGAAATTATTGCTATTATGATTTACTTTCACCCCTTGATCGAGACCCAAAGTGGCTCACACCTTACAAACAACACAATTTAAAACCTTCAGATATAAATACTGAAACAGAACTAAACATACAATTATTAAAAACAAGTCAATTGAAATCACACTGAAGAAGTAAAACTGTTATAAACAAGGGAAACGCCATACAGCATCCCACTGACACAATTCACAAACAGAAGCCAGATTTAAGAGCCAAGAATGAAAAATAGTTTTGCCAAATGGCTTGTGTGTTTATTCCTGAACAGCATTTTGCTGTGGTCAGCTGTAAAATACATGCTTAATTTTCTTCCTGTGTCAGGAGCAACTTCAGAAACTGCAAGTTGCTTCTGGTGTGAGAGAACTGGCTGTCTGCAAGGACGTTGCCCAGGCGACATTGCCCAGATGTTGTTACCATCCTTTGGGAGGTTTCTCTCATGTCCTCGCATGGGAAGCTGGAGCTGACAGATGGGAGCTCACCCCACTCCCCACATTTGAACCGCTGATCTTTTGGTCAGCAGTTCTGCTTGCAGAAGGATTTAACCCATTGCGCTACTGGGGTCCCCACCTATTTCAAATGTCCCTTCCAATTTTCTTTTCCCATCTGACGTGTGGAGAATAAAACCCACCAGAACTATACCTCGATATGCAAGACATCATCATACCATTCAGAGACAAAGGACACACAACAAAGGGGTGGCTTATGACTCTTTAATCAGGAACACAGAAAAAGGAGCATCGAACAACAGACTGTTTGGTTCCATGACACATCAGCCTGGCAACTCCTTTCTTCTCCATGTCCGTGCACTATGGGATCAGGGCTTTGAAAAATAGGTAATTTTCCATGAATGGAAATGGATGGGAATTTAAAGTTGCAAATGTTAAATGGATTTCTTTTTCCAAACTCAGCAATGTGTTTTGCCCAAGTGCTCAGTGACAAATGATAACATCACTCCCAGAAAGCTCAACCCTTCTCCATCTTGGTTTCCAATGTCAACATGGCAATCACTTGTGGTCAGCTGATATATGATGATGGCATTTTCCACATCCAGGTTATTATGTGATAATCACAGTGCACCACGCAGCCAATAGGGACGGGTTTTAGCACAGCAGGTTAACCACCAGCTGCAGTAAATCTTGCCTATCGAAAGGTTGGCAGTTCGAAGCCAGGATCAGGGGTGAGTGCCTGACCTTCAGCCCAGCTCACTGCCCACCTAGCAGATAGAAACCAGTAGTGAGTAGATAAATAGGTACCGCTTAGAGGAGAGATATTTAATGTTACCATAAGGAGATATCAGAAAAATGCCAGCTATTTGACCAAAAGGAGGAAGTCTGTGAAAAGGGCTCTTTGCCATGGAGGATGGAGCGACAGCACCCCCCATGCCTGGAATCGAGCACTACCTCCAAGACGCCGAAGATGGGAAAAGCCTATATACCTCTATCTGTCCTGTTGACTGTCCTGTCAGTGTTTATCGGCATTGAATGTTTGCCGTATATGTGTTCTGTGATCCGTCCTGAGTCACCTTCAGGGCGGAATATAAACACTGTAAATAAATAAAACTGTTTCTTGCACAAGTAAGTTCATGCCATAGAATAAGAAGCTCTACATCAGACACATATTTTCTTTTGGCTGTTACATGTCTGCTGGAAGCCACACTTTCTTCCGGCATATTATTGACTAAGAAGGAACCCCTGAAAGCAGTGTGGACTGTTCTGAACGTCTTGTCTACTATAAAGCATTTCATTCATAGCCAAAGCTAAGCGTTTGAAGAACATCCTCTATAGGATATCATTTCTACAATGTGCTCACTGGTGTTCTTCACTCCACGAGACTGAAAACTCAGTTGTATCTTCACTAATTTTTCTCCATTGTATGAAAGCCCCGACAAAACTCACGGAATAACAAATACAGATGCCGCATACTCTCCACACCACAAGACCAAAAACAGTTAAGTATGTTTGACAGAAAACAAGCCACAGAGAACGCGAGTTGTGTAAGTTTTCTAGGCAAGCAAAAAGCCATATTGTACAGTTAGTTCTACAGTTAGTTAATCAGTAGCTGTCGCTGGTTAATCACTAGCAGAAATAAATCACTGCCAATTAGAAGGTAGCAAATTTGAAGCCCAAGTTGGGTTTGAGCTCCTGACTGTTAATAGCCCAGCTTACGGTTCACCTAAGCAGTTCAAAAACAGCTGAGCTGTGAGTAGAGAAATTAGGGACTGCTTAAAGCGGGGAGGTTAATTTATGATACCATAAAAAATGCCGGAGATCAAAGAGCAAGGAGGAAATACTACGATAAAAGGCTCAGCGTCATAGTGAATGAAGCCACAGCTCTCTCCTGTGGACGGAAGCAAAGAACCTCCAGGAGCCGAAGTTGGAAAAAATGCTGAATTACTTTTATCTTTCTGCATGTTTTGTATGTCTAAAAACAGCACTGAATAGTTGCCGTGTATGTGCGCATTGTGATCCGCCCTGAGCCCCCTTTGGAGTGAGAAGGGCGGAATATAAATACTGCAAATAAATAAATAATAAATATTTATTTTGTTCAAAACAATTGATTCTTTTTTGCCCTGAAACTAAATGACCGCTTCCTGGTTTTGCGCTCCTAGTGGCCTCCCTGGACGCCAAAGCGGAAGAGACAGACAAGCAGAGAATCCAGCCAAGACTCTTATATGCAACCTATGGGATACTTACCTATGGAAACACCATTGGTGAAAACAGAGTTTAGTGTGTGGTTTCGGACAGGGCTGTGGGACTCTAGCACACTGTCATCCAGCAGGTGGCGGGGTTTCTCTGTCGGGAACGTTGCGCTTTTACTTTCAACTACACTGAACTGACACATCATACTGGAAAATTGGAAAAGAAGAAGGAGAAGAGAAAAGGCAAAAGGTTCTTATGTAATCCGATAACATGCATTCACTCCCTGCCTTTTGTTTCCAAATGGACATCACCTGACTGTGCGGTGGTCATAAAAGTGAGCAAGTATTTGAGCGGAAGGTGGTTGGAGCACATTGCTCCTGCACTTTTGGCTTTCAGAACTAATCGACTGCCTAGATGATCTATACAAGAGGTGGATTCAAGCGGCTGGGAGAATGAAGTTGAGGTTGGCTCAATATAGATGGGGAATCTGGAGACTAAATCTGACTCTGATGTGTCTACAAGTCAATATTCAATCCTGAAGTCAATTCGTAAGAGGATGGGCAAAGTAACATCCTAGGTTGATGTTGAATTTCCCCCCAATCTCTCTGTTTACCGTATTTTGGCATGGGTTAAGGTTAGGCACAACTACAAAGTATTTGGCCTTTAACTAATATACGATCCATGCCCAACATCAGTAGAGGATGGAAGTCAATGGCCATAAGTGGGCTGGGCATTAGCACAGCTGGTTAATCACCAGCAGCAATAGATCTTACTAATAGAAAGGTTGGCAATTTGAAGCCTGGGTCGGGGTGAGCACCCAACCTTCAGCCCAGCTTACTGTCTACCTAAGCCATTCAAAAACAGCTCAGAGCTATGAGTAGAGAAATTAGGCACCACTTAAGCGGGGAGGTATTTTACGGCACCCATAAAAGAAAATATCAGAAAATGCTGGTGATCAAAGGAAGGAGGAAGTCTGTGATCAAGGGCTCTTCATCATAGAAGATGGAGCAACAGCACCCCCCTGTGGTCGGAATCGAGCACAACCTCCAGGATGTCAAAGTTGGGGGAAAAAGCTGACTTCTATCTGTTGTCTGTCCTGTCTGTTTAATGGCACTGAATGCTTGCCGTGTTTGTTGTGTTCTATGATCCGCTCTGAAGGGCGGAATATACATGCTGTAAGTAAGTAAGTAAGTAGGGTGGAATATACATTCCGTAGGGTGGAATATACATGCTGTAAGTAAGTAAGTAGGCAAGTAAATAAATAAATAAGTGAAAGACATGTAAGACTAGACAAGCAGGGTCCGAGACAGGGGTTATATCAGGAAAGGGGGGCACTGTGAGACTAGAAAAGGGAAAGGGGAACACTGCGAAGGATGGTGTTGGTGTTAACGCGCTTTCAGGGGCTGGATTAAAACTTATTGGAGTTGGAATACACCGTAAGATCGGATGGAGACCGGAACACCCACTTGTTTCCCAGGCTGTGACTCTTCCTGTGTCGTGGGACAGGAGGAGTGGGCAGGCTGGCTGCCACCGAGGCATCAGGACAGGTTGGCCTCCTGTTGAACCTCACAGCGGCTGACACCTCAGAGGGACCTATAAAATAGACACCAATTAATGCTAAACTAAACCCTGAGGAAAGACATTGTTGGGGGTCAGATATTTTTGACCCTGGAAGAGTTGACACGAGGGATATATAACAGAGGAAGACGGAGAGCAGCGCCAGTTTGAGGAGGAGAGTCGCTGATCTCAAATGGCAGGTGATTTCTCAATCCTACCGCCATCCCTTCCTAATAAGAATCTATCCAATTAAACCACAATATCAACCAGTCTCATAAGCTATTATTTAAAACAGTCTTGGCTACTCTATGACAGAGATTGGCCAAAGGCTTAGCATGCAGAGCCAGAACAATATGCTGGGTGGAAGTGTCAGTACCGAACAAAAACATGTGCTTTGGATTTGGTTTGCGAACCGACTTGCCTTGTAAACAGTTTGTTAGTATGGACTTGTAAGCATGAGTATTGAAAGGAAGTGTGAGGATGTTTCACGTAAACCGGTGCCAGACAGATGTCAACTCTGGAGCTCTGAGTGGCTTTAGGTGCCAACAGCTATACGTTTTAGCCAGTACTCACGCTAAGCAATAGAAATGGAGCAACATAGCAAGATCCTCCGTGTTTGTGTGTATGTGTGGGTGAGAGACAGAGACAGACAAGATCAGCCATAGGTGGCTGGTTATTGCTACCAGATGGAAACCAGATAGTCTCAGTTGAGGTCATTGTTCCTAGGCCCAGAGAAAGGCAACATCACTCAAGGAATGGAAAGAGAACTCAGCGCCCATATCTGACTCTTCCATCTATCTGTTAAATATCTCCGTAAGAAGATGGTTTTTTACATGACAGTTCATGGCTGTACACATTGCGTGTATCCTACAGAAAGTAGCTCCATAGAGGAAAAAAGGGTGACACCTGATGATCATGGGTAGCAATCGGTTTCCACAAGATTACTGATCACTAACATACGATCTACAGCTCTGACACAGTGAAAGAAGCATATGTGTAGTTGGTACATATGGCAAACTTAAACATGAGGCTCGTACATTGCTACATAAAAGTGCTTGCTGTGTCGAAAGGTCTAAATCTTCCCAACATTCCTCTTGACTTTGGAGATGTTCAGATGTACCTGTAGGTATCTCAGTCTGCATTTGGACAGAGGAAGGGAAACTATCCCAGCTGCCGTAAATGGGCATGTTGTGCAAAAATATAACTTTTTCCCATTTATATTCAACCTCAATTTGCTTGAGCACTTCCTTTAGTACAGAATAATACATCTACCTAAAAAAATTAGCAATCAACTAGTGAAGATTATATTACAACCAGATATTAGTTTTATCACCCTTCAACTTGGAACTCCGGAAACATGGAAGAAAGGCATAGGTTTCTAGAAGAACCATATTTTCCTGAATCAGACTAATAACCTCCAGCTTTAGCTCTACACAAATGACCAGCCACTGCCAGATGGGACAGAGTTTTATCTATGCTGACTATCATGCCATCAGCACTCAAGAAGGAAGCTTTGAAATATTTGAACAGCAGCTCTTACATATAAGGAAAACCAGCTAATTCTTAATCCATCTACAATGCAAGCGTGTGCTTTTCACCTTAAGAACAGACAAGCATCTCGAGCTCTGAGGATTACCTGGCAAGGAATCCCACTGGAGCACTGCAGCACATCCAAATATCTGGGAGTCACTCTAAACCATACTCTGACTTCCAAGAAGAACTGCTTGAATATCAATTAAAAAGTGGGTCATATGAAAGCTGACTGGCACAACCTGAGGATCACAACCAGACACAGTGAAGACATCTGCCCTTTGCTACTCTGCTGTTGAGTACGCATGCCCAGTGTGGAATACATCTCACCATGTTAAAACAGTAGATGTGGCTCTTAATGGGACATGCCACATTATCACAGGATGGCTACATCCTACACCGCTGGAGAAATTATACTATTTAGCCAGTATTGCACCACCTGAAATCCATCGAGAAGTAGCAGCCAGTAATGAAAGGATCACGCGGGGGACATGAGAGAAGCCTCCCACAGGATGGTAACACATCCGGGCATCCCCTGGGCAATGTCTCTGCCGACGGCCAATTCTCTCACACCAGAAACAACTTGCAGTTTCTCAAGCTGCTTCTGACACGACAACCACCCCCCCCCCACTGTAACTAATAACAATGTAGCCAAACCCATTACATTGTAAGAAGGAGTTTTTCTGAAATCACCCCAACTCGCAGATTCGAACCACCCGATCTTCGCGCCAACAGTTCAGCCAGTACAAGGGTTTAACCTATTGTGCCAAAGTGGCTCCAAGAAGGAGTTAAACAATACTTTATATTCTGTTGCTTTACTCATCGCTTAGTTTGCTCTTGTAAATAAAAAGGCTTCTTTTTGCAGTCCTTTGGAGACATCAACCCTGTTCTAGGTTGAACAAACTCTGTTGCTCAACCATCACGGGAGACTTCTCAGTTGAGAAATAAAGTTTTATTTGTAAAATAATAATATTTATGCAACGCATTGTGTAATCTCAGTATTCACATATTCATATCTGAATTTTCTGTCCCAAACAGAGGAAGTGATTAGCCTAAAGTTTCAGCCTCCAAATGCAATCATTCCTACTAGCAGAGATGGATCTTTGTCTCAAATGGTCTCCATTCTAGATGGCCACTGTAAGTGCTACTATGTTATTTCAATAACTGGTATATGAGTTAGTTTCCCTTCTCCTCCCATTTCCTTTCTTGCCATGTCTTTGAAACTATAACCCAGTGGTTCCCAACCTGGGTCAGGATCCCTGGAGGGATCACCAGGGGGTTGTCAGAGGGGTCACCAAAAATCCTCAGAAAACACAGTATTTTCTGTTGGTTGTAGGGGTTCTGTGTGGGTAGGGTTCTATCATTGGTAGGGTTCCGAATGCTATAAATCCCAGCAAATACAACTCCCAAATGTCAAGGTCTTTTTTCCCCAAACTCCACCCATGTTCACATTTGGGCATATTGAGTATTCATGCCAAGTTTGGTCCAGATCCATCATTGCTGAGTCCACAGTACTCTCTGGATGTAGCTGGTCATGGGAATTCTGTGTGCCAAGTTTGGTTCAATTCCATCAATGGTGGAGTTCAGAATGCTCTTTGATTGTAGGTGAACTATAAATCCCAGCAACTACAACTCCCAAATGACAAAATCAATCTACCCAACCCCAGCAGTATTCAAATGTGGGCGTATCAGGTATTTGTGCCAAATTTGGCCCAGTGAAAGAAAATACATCCTGCATGTCAGATATTTACATTCATAACAGGAGCAAAATTACAGTTCTGAAGTAGCAATGAAAATAATGTTATAGTTGAGGGTCACCACAACATGAGGAACTGTATAAAGGGGTTGCAGCATTAGGATGGCTGAGAACCACTGTACTACGTTAGTTTAATAAGTGGTGTGTGAGTTAGTTTCCCTCCTCTTCCCATCCCCTTTCTTGCCATGTCTTTGAGACTGCAACTCAAAGCTTTGTCTGTTTGTGTTGTTTGCATGTAAGTCATTCTTGGAAAGGTTTTTTTTTGTCCGCGGAGCTGGGAAAACACTCTGAACAAATAAACGGACACATCTGAGATCAAGTCATGCTGGCTTCTTATTCCTTGTAAACCAAACAATGTCATCTGCTACCAAACATCCCTCCTGTTTACTACTCCCAATTCTGAGCATATCATTACTATTAGCATCCTTACAACTCCCAATGGAAGGAATGGCACCACTTTCCAATCGCTTGGCATAGTAAGGAAGCAAGCTTGCTTTTCATTATCCTCCCCTCGCAGGACTGTCAAGACAACACTAATGTATAGATGGAACTCATATATAAAAAGGCATTAAAACCGTATTACGAGCTGTTTATACTGGGGATCTTGAGAGAAGCCCAGAAGAAGCTGACGAGTGCTGTTTAGAAAGCTGTGGCAGGAACATTTGGAAAAGTTGACCACGTAGCTTTAATATCCCCAAGGACCTGGCTGCTTTTTTCCCTTTGCATAATTTTTCCATGAATAATCATTCAACCGCTATAAAAGAGTGGTAAGTTATGCAATCCTTTATTAGAAAACCAAGCCTCCGGAGTCAAAGCTTTAGTTCACTAATTTTAGTCAAGTAAAACACAACGGGACTTCACAGACCTCATGCTGGTCAAAGGGAACTAGCGAACACACAGTTGGGATATGCTCAAGGAAAATATCCATCTACACTGTAGAATTAATGCAGTTTTGTTGCACTCCAGGCCTGGAAACACCTATGACCACCGCACCACACGAGAGTCCGGGAATATAAGCAAGCAGTTTATTGTAGAAACACATAAAAAGCATATAAAAATCAGATTTAAGAAAGGATGATATAGAATCCAAAAAGGTTTAGCAAAAGGTGATAACCAAACAATAATCCAAATGTCTCATAAAGTTCCAAAGGTGACAAAGCTCAGGAATCACAGATTCCTGAGCTAAGTCCATAATCGGGAAGATATAACTAGTAAGACTTGAACAGGAGTACATGAACAGGAACATGGAACAGGATATATTAAATCCAAAACTTGACTTGAACCAGGAACAAGAGAACTCAGGCTTAGCTTCTCACTCTAACGCAGCGCTGCCTGAACTGACCTTAAAAGAAACAACTTGTTGTTTAATAGACACCCATGAAACCATTCCATTTGTTGTGAATTTCTTTTACAACTTTCCCACGTAATCTTTCTGAACAATGGAATCTATTCTCGGCTCTGATTTGTAAACTAAGACTTTTATTGATCTCCATAGCTGCTGGGAACCCTCCTTATTACTCAGCTCTTCACTTGATTCCTTATCTGCTGTTGCTACTTCTGACTCTCCCGTATGCCCTTGAGGCCCTGCACTTTCTGAGCTGGTTTACTCACAGAGAGAACCACAATTTCCCAGACTTGAGGGCCCATCACTTTGTGCCACAAGAAAGCTCACAATCCTCTCTAAATCATCAGTTAAATCATCACCCTCTGGTGAGTGATCTACAACAAATTTGATACCTCTTTCACTGCC